CCCTCCCTCTGATGTCTCTGCTGTGGGCACCGGCTCTTCTGGGTGGATTCTCTGCCAGCCTGGCATCCTAGTCGTCTGGGTGCAGACCCTCCTGGGCGTTTCAGCTGCCAGCCTTACCCCGCAAAGGGCCTCCAGCATGAGGCTCTGGGTTGCCGGAGAGGAACCAGGGCCTGCAGGGGCAGTGCTGATACCCAGGAGAAGGGGTTCCCTGGGGCTGCGGAGACCCCAGAGTGATTCGCTGAGTCTTTGTGGTACCTGTAGCTGGGGGTTCTGCATGACCGAGTGTGAGCGTGTGCCAGGGATTCGAAGATCATCCACGCAGCTGCACCGGGCACCCCTCCTCAGTGTTGGGGACTGAGTCTTGTTGGGTTTTGGTTTTGGTTCTGAGCCTCACTCAGCAGTGCCCAGGGCTTACTCCTGGCCTTGCCTTCAGGGATCACTCCTGGCAATGCTCAAGGGACCCAGTGGGGTGCTGGGGATTGAACCTGAGTTAGTTGCGGGAATGCAAGTGCCTTAACCTGCTGTGCTCCCTCTCTGTGCCCTCCTCCTTCCCCAAGGCTGTCTTGAAAGCATTTCACACTCCCACAACCTTCAAGGGGAGGAGTGTCCTGTTTCTCCTTTCACTTGGCTCCTTTGGGTGCTGGCACTCGCCCCAGCTCTCAGCAGAAGGTGGGGACCCAGACCCAGAAGTCCTGGTCTCCAAGGACTTGGGTCTGTGTTAAGCTGGGGTGGGGTGAGGGTGGGGGGGGGGATCAGAAGATTGGAGACCTGCTCACAATTAGCTCCTCCCTGCAGCGGGAGGATGGGCTGGCAGGAATTCTGCCTCCCTCCCCGCCCTAGCCTGCTTTGGCTGGTGTCCAGTTTGAGGGTGGGAGAGGAGGGTCCCAACACTCAGAGCCCCGATGGGCCCAGGGACAGCAAGGTCTGGGTGCCAGAAAGGCCCTTTGAACCCATGCCCACTTCCCACCCGCCTTCACTCACTGGCCAGGCCGAGTGTAGGGTCCCCGGGCTCTTGGGTGCAGCCTGCCCGGCCGAGCTGGCTTCTCTGCACGGCCCGGGTTTGGAGGCACAGGCTGGCCGGGCCGGCTCATCAGCTTTGCCTGTCAGGGCATGTCGGCATGGCCCGCAGGGCGCTGGGAACCAGGTTGTGCCTGTGCGTGGGGCACTGGGTGGAGGAGCACTGAGGGGGTGGCCGGCCTTGCCGGGGTGGACTGGGCCAGGGGTCAGAGGCCCAGGCTGGGCAGGGTGGCCATGCCCGGGTGTCACATTGCCCATATGCCTGGGATGGATGGGTCTGGCACGGGGATGGGCTCCAATGGTGGTGGCTGAGGTTGGAGGGTGACTGGGGGTCTGAGTCTGGGGGTGTGTGATGGGGCACGGAACCAGTGGGAGCCTGGGGCCAGGCCAGAGGAGTCCCCAGGGGCAGGCATTGTTTGTCACTTCTGGTTTGAAGCTTAGGCTCTGACAGGAGGTGTGAAGTTGGGCAGAGGAAGGAAACGAAGCCCAGCTGACCCAGCTGACCCCGTCCCTCTTGGGCACTTCCTGGACCTCACACCCTGCTGCCTTATCGGTTTCCCTCCTTCTCACACCCCTGACCCCGGGCCCCAGGATGCTTCTCCTCCTCTTCCTCCGTTCCTGCTGGTCAGCCTGGCCCCCATCGCCTTCCGCCTTGCCAGACCACATCACCCCGCTTTTCCAAGGGTCCCTTGAACAGGGGAGACCCTCGACCCCCCCCCTCAGATTCAGCTTCTTGAGAAAAGGGGTGCAGAGTCCCTGACTAGGTGATCCTGGAGCAGGGAAGGCCCTCCCTATTAGGGAGGGCGAAGGCTTGGCCAGAGTCTTGGACTTAGGACCCCCTAACAGTTTTAGGAGTTGGGGACTCTACTAGAACTCTAAGTGCCCCCTCCCCAGGGGTAACACCTGCTCTTGTTCTGTTCTCCCAGCAGAGAAGGGCTTGCCAATGGGAACAGTGAGAGGTTTGCGCAAAGAGATTGGATCTCGGGGTGTCAGCCGGTGGGCTAAGCCCTGAGACCACCGCGGCCCCTCTTTGAACCTCCACTTCTTCCACCTCTGACATATGGTCATGGGACAGTCTCTGAAGGGGCCAGAGAGACAGCGCAGCCAGTAGGGTACTTTCTTGAACCCAGGTTCGATCCCCAGCCCTCCATAGGGCCCCCCAAACCCCACCAGGAACACCAGGAATAGGCCCCAAGCGCTTAGGCAGTGTGGCCCCAAAACAAAACAAAAAGCCAGTTCCTGGAGATTCAGTTTCGTGTGGTAAGGGTTAAACGAGGTCAAGTGAAAGTGTCTTCCAAAGGAAAGGATGTGGCGCTCCTCCGGGGGAAGACCCTCCTGGGGGTGGAGGGGTGGGGGGGTGCGCAGTGCAGGCCCCCAGCCCTGTGCCATGGACCTACCCAGGCAAGATCAGGCTGAATGGATTTTGCAAGCTGGTCAAACAGAGGATGGGAGGGCCTGCTCAGCGGGGTAATTCCTGATTTGGGGGGAGGAAGCGGGAGGGTGCAGGGAGGCTCGCTGGGCAGGAAGGCCTGGAATAGAATCTCAGCTACGCCTGGTATTTCCCAGCTCTTGCCCCCTCCCCCACTGCCCAGGGGCCCACCCCACATTCCTTTCCCAGAGGAAATGGGGGGGGGGGGGAGGCTCCCCAGGCTTGGAAGATCCCGGTCGCTCAGACCGTGACAGCCCTGAGTGCATACTGTGCATGAACGGGAGCTGGTATGGACCCAGGTGGGGAGCTCCGGGCCTACCCTGCCACTTTGAGGCCAAAAGGACAGCCCATGTGACCCGGGACCCAGGAACACCCCCACGCAGCACCTCCCACCCATAGCCCCAGAACCCTGAGCAGAGCCAAGTGGAGCTCATGACCAGGGTAGACAGCAGTGCGCTGGACAGGGAGGAGGAGAGCGGGTCACTCCATTTCCCCGGAACAGGGAAAATGGACAGCGAGCGGGTCAGACTAAACGGCCAGGCGGCTACTGGGAGATGGGGAGCTGCTGGACTGAGCCGGGCTCTCCTCCTCTCCTCCTCCGGCAGGCATTGACATGCCTCTGGGCATCCTGGTAGCACTTCCGGCCTGGCTGTTGGGGAGGGTGAGGGGGGACACAGGGCAGATATGGCTGGAGGGGTCTGGAGGGGTCGGGGCGCCAGGATCCCGTGCGGGTGGGTGCTGATGGAGTTACCGCGCTTCCTGCCCCACTGAGGTTCTTTCCCTTGCTCTGCCCGACCTCCTGACTCAGCGCTGGCGGCTGCCTAGCTCTTCCCGTCCGACTTCCGCCGGGGTGGGGGCCCGGGCAGGGTGGGGGTCCAGCTCCTGCTCAGGGGGCCTGGTTCAGCGGCAAACAGGAAACTGGAGAACAAAAACCACTCCCTGCCCAACTCCCCTCACCCCCCCTCCCTTCCTTCTCCCTCCCTCGCTCCTGCTCAGCCCCTCAGTTCTTGAGTTTTGCTGGGGTGGGGTGCATCCACTCCCTCCCCATCTCTAGCTTGACACCCGTGCTGAGGACAGGAAGGGGCTCTTCTGCCCCCTTTGTCCTTCTATATTGCTCCACAGGGACATCTAGATATGGGTGCAGGGCAGGGCGGGCTGTTCCCCACCACCCCAGCCGCCCTCCCTCCCCATGTCTGGCTGGGACATAAGATAGAAGTCAGGGGCCGGGCGGAGAGATAACTCAACAGGCTGAAGCACGGGCTTCACCTTCTGGAGCCTGGGTTTGATCCCTGACACTGAATGGTCCCTGTGAGCACTGAGGCGGAAGTAGCACCTGAGCACCAGGGGATACCCAGGGCCAGAGAGATGGCATGAAGGCTGGCACTTGCCTTGCATGAAGCGGACCTGGGTTTGATCTTCAGCATCCCATGTCGTCCTCCAGCATCGCCAGAAGCGATTTCTGAGTGTAGTCAAGAGGAAGCCTTGAGCACCACCCAAGCTCCCCTTCCCCTAGAAGTCAGCAAGCAAAGGCAAAACCCCAAAGTTGGAGTCAGGACTAGGGGGCCTCAATTTCCTTCTCTGAAAATTGGGCCAGCACAGTGGCCCCTGCTCCACACTGAGTGGCACTCCCCCAACCCCCCACCCCCATGTGAGTGAGCAGTCAGAAGGCAGGAAGGAGGAGGACATCTCACACCAGACCTCTCCTGGCCCCACCCGGGAAGGGGCTCCGGACAGAGTAAGCCAGGAAGGGGAGGAGGCCAGGAGCTGCCATCAACACAGGCTTCCGGTCCCACTGACTCCCGCCTGCGGAGCCCGTGGTCTGCCTGTGCTGGCAAGCCTGGGCGGTGTTCCTGGGCCCAGTGTGGGTTCCTGGGTTCTGTGTGGTAAGGGTTGGGTGGGGGTCCTGGGGAAGAGGGTAGTACTGGGGAATCCTGCAGCCCCAGGCAGGATCTAGTGTGACACTGGTGTGGAGTGGAAGGAGAGTGAGCGGAATGCAGGCGTGTGGATGCGAGCATGTGTGTGCACGCACATGCGGCTCTTGTGTGTGTGCACATGTGTGCAGTCTAAAGGATCCGGCAGGGAACATATCATGTACCCATCAGCTCTCTGCCTCCAGGGCTTGTGGGCAGCCTGGGGGAATGGGTGGGTAGTTGGGTGACTGGTGGGGGAGGGCTGCTGTACCGTTAGGGCACGCCTTTGCCTGCAGATGTGTCCGTAGGGAGAGACCCTGTATGCACGGGTGGGTGTCCCAAGTGTCTGGGCACAGGGGACTGGCGTCCCCACACGTGTGATGTGTGTGTGGTGCGTGGACAGAGGGGCGCGTGTGAGGGTCCCTCGGGAAAGGGGTGCGTTAGGTGTGTGCAGGGATTAGCGAGCTGCCTTGAAGGAGCATCTGGGACCAGGGCACTGGGGCTGTTTGCTGGGGCGGGGAGGAGAGGTGCGCACGTGTGCCCTGCGCAGGATGTGCGGTGGGGCTGCGGGGGCGCTGTGTGGGTGTGTAGGACCGGCCCCGCAGAGGGGCCGCCCCGGAGGGGGAGGCGTCTGCCCGGCCCGGCTCTCCGGCTAGTCCCGGCTCGGGCGCCTTCAGCCGGGAGGCGCCCGCGGCGCGGAGCCCCACCAGCCGTCCTGCCGCCGTCCGCGCGGGCCAGCCGTCCCCTCGGGGCCTCTGGGCCCCCGGCCCGCGGCTCCGGGGGACGATCGGGGACCCCAGGGGCCCCGCCGTCTCAGGGGGCGTCCAGGACGCCGCCCGTCGGGCGCCGAGGAGTGGCCGCGGTGCCCCTCGCGGCGCGCCCCGCTCCGGAAGCGGAGCCCTGGGCACGCCTGGGCCGGGGCGGTGGCCGCGCCCGGGGACCCCCGGCGGCCGCGGGGCCCGAGGGCTGGCGCTGGGAGCGCGCCGTCGGCGTGGACTGCAGCGCCCCGGAGCCGCGCTGTCTCTGGCTGCCCTGCCGGAGCCACCTCGACCATCGCCGCGACCGACGCGCGCCGGGACCCCGCCGGGCCAGGGTGAGCGCGCGCGCTGCCGGGGTGCGGGGCCCGCCTGGCCTCAGGGTGGGGGCGCCGGGACCACCCGAGCGGTCCGCGGACGCGGTGCCCGCCGCACGGGCACTGTCGGGGTGCTGCTGGACACCGCCGTCTGGGCGCGGGCGCTCGGCGCGCTCTGGGAGCGACGAGGGGTTCGTGACGTTTGGAGGTGCCAGGGGCAGCATCTGGGCTGGAGCGGACCTGCTAAAGGAGGGGTAGGCACCCGCATGCCCCCCTCTCCCCCACCCCAGCGATGTCAGGAGAGCTCAGAGGGGGTGGGGACAGAAGCCCGATGTCCGGGATCGACCCGGCTGGCAGGGCGTGAGTCACAGTGGGCACCGTGCCCAGCCAGAACGTTGTGCTCCCCGCGGTGACCTTCTGCTGGGGGAGGGGGGCGTGGGGAAGCTGACTCCCGGGTTCCAGGATGGGCTTTGCCAACCCCCCATGTGTACGTCCACTTCTAATTCCTCCACGGTCCTCTGTTCCCCTCCCCTCTTCTCTCGTGCTCAGGTCAGGCTCTGTCTCTCCCCCACTGAGGGCGGGAGCTTGGGGAATGGGGGCATCTGTGGCCCCTGTCCCCGTGGAGGGCCAGAGCTGGGCCCCACTGCCCAGGCGCTCCTCCTCCTCCTCCTCCCCCTCCTCCTCCTTCTCCACCTTCCCTGGTCCTAGGTCAGAGAAGGAGAGGCAAAGCAGCACACGCAGGATTGGGTTTGAACCCAAGCAGGAACTTTGCACAGGGGAGACCCAGATCTGGCCCTAGGTGGGGTTGTATGTGTGTGTGTGGGGGGGGGTGGGGGTAGGGCCACCACAGCTGTGACAGGGGCATTCCACAGGGACACTCCCAAGAGCCTGGTGGAAGGGAAGGAAGGAGACAGGGAAGGAGGGAGAGCAGAGATAAGGGAGGGACAGTGGGGCCTCGCGGTGGGCTGGGCCTGAGGAGGCCTGCTGGTGCCTTGAATCACAGACAGCGTCCCCCCCCCACCCGGAGTAGCACCCCCCTCCAGGCAGCTGGCAGCTCCAGGCAGGATGTCTAAGGGGGGAGGGACGGGGGGCGTGCGGGGACCTGTCCCAGTCACTTCTCATCACTGGGGCAGCTGGTGGCTTAAACCTAATCCAGGACACCAGCAAACAATGGTGCCTCAGCTGGGAGCTTGTGGGGTGGGGGGTGGGGGAGGTAATGGAGGGCCTGGAGGGGGGGGACAGGGGGGTCCCTCTGGCCCTCTCTCTCCTCTCCCTGATCAGTTCCTCGCTGGGCCAGCAGTGAAAGGAAATCCAGGGGATTTTAGATCCCAGAATTTCCAGAGAACTTTCTCCTGGGGATATCTTGGAACCCCACCAGGCTGGAGCTCGGAGGGAAAGTCCAGGGCACAGCCCAGGGGGAAGGAGCCCAGGGCCATCACTGGACCTCCCAGACTGGGGGCCGCGCAGGTTTTGCTTGACCCCCTCTTTGGACAGAGAGCTCCCTGCTGCCTCCGGGTACTCTCCAGATGGTTGTGATTACAACAGCCTTCCTTATCTGCAGACTGCCTCAGTGTCCTGATGTCCCACCTGACAGTGTCCTCTGGGACCAGGGGGAGCAAGCCAGCCCACTGCCGCTGTTCCCTTTAAAACATTCTTCTGAGAGTCAGAGAAATAGTACAGCGGTTAAGGCACTTTGCAAGCTCCAGCTTCTGTGTGACGCCCCCCGGCACTGCATATGGTCCCCTGATATATGGTCCCCAGAGGCCTGCCAGTAGCTCCGGAGCACAGAGCCAGGAGAAATCCTGAGCACCCCTGGGTGTGGCTCAACACCCTCTCAAAACACTTCTGTGGCTTGAGTTGGAGGTGTGGCCCCCCACAAGGGGCTCGGCTAGTATGCGCTCTGTCCTGTCCTCCTGACCAGACCCCCTTCTTAGTAGCAGGAGAGGCACACGTGGACACGCTCCAGCGCGGAGCTGGGGAGAAAGAACTAAGTGTGATGTGGCATCACTCCCTCACCTCAGACCTGGCAGGGTTCCCCTGCTTCCTGCGGGCTGAGAAGGTCAGGATGGAGGTGCTTCTTGTCCCCGAATGGTTTGGACTGGGGGCACCAGAGAGGCCAGATGTGATGTTGGGGCTGGAAGGGGCCGCCTGATGACAGCCTGCCCCTGGCCCTCTGCCCAGCCTCCCTGCACGCACCTCTCTGGCCCCCCCGCCCGCCCACTTTCCTCCTCTGTAACTGAACAGGAACCCCCAAAGGAGCCCCTCTTGGGCACTGCCCATCCTCTTCTCTCCCCAGAAGCAGCTCTTTGTCACCTCCTGCCCGATCATCTCCGGGAATCTGGAATAGTCCAGAAGGCGGTGGAGTCCCTCACCCTGCCTGGCTTCCCTCGTCTTCCCGTGAACCAGCCCTCTGCCTCAGAGAGTCCCTTCAGTTGTCTGTTGGCCTGCATGCTCCCCCGTGGTCCTGGGTGGCCCGGCTGTGCCTGCGTGTCAGTCTGTCTGTCTGTGTGTGCTGTGCATACGACCCTGGGCAGGGACGGCAGCCCATGGGAGTGCCACCACCACCAAAAATAAATAAATAACAGGGGCTGGAGCGATAGCACAGCAGGTAGGGCGTTTGCCTTGCACGTGGCCAACCTGGGTTTGACTCCCGGCATCCCATTTGGTCCCCCGAGCACCGCCAGGAATAATTTCTGAGTACAGAGCCAGGAGTAACCCCTGTGCAATGCTGGGTGTGACCCAAAAATAAAAAGAAATTACAATTTAAAAAAAATAACAAAAAAGAGACTGATGCTGGGCAATCCATGGACTCATGCATGCGTGCTGGATGGAGTGTGGGCGGTCGGGCGGGCCGCGTGACCATGTCCGTGAGCCTGTGGCACCTGACAGAGTTGGTCCTGGCAAGCCTGCTGTGGCCCAGTGCCCGGCCCATAGTAGGGCCTGTGTGAACGTGGAGACGCTCCAGCGCCTTCCTTCCCTGCAGGTGAGGACAGTCGGGAAGCTGGCGGCTGCGTGGCCACTCACCCACCCCCACCCCGGCCCTCTGTGCTTTCTCCTGCAGCTGCCACTGGGCCCACGAGATGGGTGCTCCCCCGGGCGCTCCCTCCCGTGGCAGGGGCCACGGACGCTGCTGCTGCACAAGAGCCCCGAGGACGGCTTCGGCTTTACCCTGCGCCACTTCATCGTGTACCCACCCGAGTCGGCCGTGCACTGCCGCCTGAAGGTAGGGCAGCCCTGGCTGCAACCCCACTCTCCGGTCTTCCTCCTGGGACCTTGGACAAGGGGCCCAGCCCTCGAGGAACGTTTGCACTGTGGGGTGGTGGAGCAGCCCCGCCAGGTTCTCCAGGCTCCGTCTCCTCAGGAGAAGGCTCGGGCCGTTCCAAGGCAAGAGACCGAGAGTTAGGGGGCGGCCACCCCCACCCCCAGATTTGGCCTCGGGAAAGTGAGTGACGTATTTTTGGAGACAGGGTGCCTGGGACACCTTGCCCACGGGCTACCCCAAACTGGGTCTGTCGTCCCTTCAGTCAGTTTTTTTTTTCTTTTTGGGTTACACCTGGCGATGCTCAGGGATTACTCCTGGCTCTGCACTCAGGAATTACTCCTGGTGGTGCTCGGGGGACCAAATGGGATGCTGGAAATCGAACTCAGGTCGGCCGTGTGCAAGGCAAATGTTCTGCCCGCTGTGCTATTGCTCCAGCCCACAGCCAAAGTTCTTGAGAGTCTGTGCTGCCTTGCTCTGGGTGCCCTCTGGGGTGCCTGGGCCACGACAGTGCTCTGTGCTCTGGGAGTGGGGAGAGCCCCAGGCTGGGCTGCAGGGACCTGTGTTCTGGCCCTGATGCCACGCTGGGGCTGCAGTACTAGGGTTGGGTTCTCTGAGCCCAGGAACCAGGGTGTGGGCTGGGGGCACAGGGGCTCCCCAAAGAGAAACAGACATGCAGGGACACGCGTAGGGGTCTGAGCAGCTAACAGCTGTTCTTGCTCATGGGGCTGGTGTGGACCGGAGCAGCTGCCCAGGGGGCTCCTGGGAGAGTTGGAGCCTTCAGCTTCTCTGTCCCTCTCTGTGTTGGGCACGGAGAGGCTCAGGTCCCTGTGCCCGTGCCATAAGGCAGCTCGAGCACCCTCTGCATTCGGGCACCCGAAGAAGCTGCCCTTGTGGCTGCAGCTGTGTTTCCGGGCATGGTCCAGAGGGGGACGGGAGGCGCTGCCGGGGGCCAGGGGCATGGCCCCATCACTCACTGACCTCGGGTTCCCTTGACATCCCCCTTCCTGGCCTCTGCCATCTTCTCTCAGGGGCTGCTGTGGCGGGGCAGGAGCGTGGGTGGGAGAGTGACCCCCGCCCACCAGAACCGTGGTCGGTGATGGCCCCTGCCCCCATCCCAGAGCCCACTGGGTGCTCCTCCCTGCAGCAGCCACAAGGGCAGCCCGTTCTCTCTGCTGGGTCCTGCTCCTGGCCCTGGACAGGCCCCTCGCTTAGCTACCAAATGGTTGATCCAGAAAAAAGGGCAAGAGACTCCCAAGGGCCTGAGCTGGCCCACAGGGCGGGATGTTCCTGTCTCCTACCCTCTCCTGGCCCTCCTTCCCGGGTTGCCTGTGGCCACTGTCCTTCCTGCTGTGTTCCAGGGTGATCCTAGAGGCCTCCCAGGGCATCTCCAAGTTCAGTTTCTTTTTTCTTGTTTTTGTTTGGTGGCTGGAGTGATAGCACAGCGGTAGGGCGTTCGCCTTACAAGCGGCCAACATGGCCGACCCGAGTTCGATTCCTCCGCCCCTCTCGGAGAGCCCGGCAAGCTACCGAGAGTATCTCGCCCGCACAGCAGAGCCTGGCAAGCTACCCGTGATGTATTCGATATGCCAAACACAGTAACAACAAAGTCTCCAATGGAGACGTTACTGGGCCCGCTCGAGCAAATCGACGATCAATGGGAGGGCCTTTACCTTTTTTACCTTTGTTTTTGGGCCATACCTGGTGGTGCTCACGGATACTCCTGGCTCCATGCTCAGGGATCATTCCTGGTGGGGTTGGATCAAAGGACCCTGGGGTGATGCCACGGATGGACCCAGGGTCTCCTAACTGAAAGCCTGCACTCAGCCCTTAGATCTATGACCTGGCCAGGGATTCAGTTTCTTTTTTCTTTACCTTTTCTTTTTTTTTCAATAGAACCCAATTTTATTTATTTTTTTCTTTAGCTTTTTGGGTCACACCCAGCAATGCTCAGGTATTACTCCTGGATCTACACTCAGGAATTACTCCTGGTGGTGCTCGGGGGTCCATATGGAATGCTGGGGATCGAACCCAGTTGGCCGCATGCAAGGCAAACCCGTTGTACTATCGCCCCGTTGTACTTTCTCCCCGGTCCTAGGGAGGTTCAATTTCTTAGCCCTGCGCCTCGAAGCCGGAATCTTCTCTCCTGGCTCGGTTTGCACATTCCCTCTCACTCACGCACTGTCCCGGGCTCTGCTCTACCTGACCGCCCAGGCCTCCCCAGGACCGGCATCCCTGACGCTCCTGACTTCTACAGCTGAGCAGGATCACTCTTACTTTCCTTTTTGTTTCTGGACTATTGTAATGTTTGGCCACACCCAGCTATGCTCAGGACTGACTCCTGGCTCTGCGCTTAGGCATCACTTGCAGTTCTGCTGCAGGGACCATGTGGGGTCCCAGGGATCAAAACCAGGCTGACCAAGTGGAAGGCAAGCATCCTACTTGCTTCACTCTTATTCCAGTCACATTATTATTACTATTATTATTATTATTATGTAGATGCATTGATTAGGCTGATTGAATTGGGCATGAACTCCACCTTACTTTTTTTCTTTTTTATAAATTTATTTATTTATTTTTTATTTTTTAATTTGGGGGTCACACCCAGCAATGCTCAGGGGTTACTCCTGGCTTTGCACTCAGGAATTACTCCTGGCAGTGCTTGGAGGACCATATGGGATGCCGGGGATTGAGTCCAGGTTGGCCACGTCCAAGGCAAACGCCCTACCTGCTGTGCTATTGCTCCGGCCCCATCTTTTTTATAAATTTATTTATTGAATCACCGTGAGAACAGTTACAAAGCTTTTGGGTTTAAGTCTTGGTCATACAATGATGAAACACCCGCCCCTTCACCAGTGCAGTCCCATTCTTACTTTTTTTTTTTTTTTGCCTTTTTGGGACACTCCTGGCAATGCTCAGGGGTTACTCCTGGCTCTGCACTCAGGAGTTACTCCTGGCAGTGCTCAGGGAGCATATGGGATGCTGGGAATCGAACCCGGGTCGGCAGCGTGCAAGGCAAATGCCCTACCCGCTGTGCTATCTCTCCAGCCCTCCATTATTACTTTTTAAAGTTTTTTAATCACCATGAATTACAGTTACAAAGAGATTCATTTATTTAGTTTCAGGCATATCATGTTCCAATACCAGACCCTTCCCCACCCTGTTTCCGTCAATGTCCCCAGTTTCCCTCCAGCCTTCCAGACCCTCATTCTTACATCTTGCCCCTACTCCTGCCTCCAAGCCCCTGTGAACTCCATTTCCTCCCCATACTGCCTCCTCCCAGCCCCCCTCGACTTGCCCCTCCACCCTCCAGGGATGCTAATCAGGCCTCCCCTGCCCTTCTCCAGCCAGATAGCTCCTGTCTGTCTCTCTGCTGCTTATCTGCGTCCCCAGGCTCCAGGCCCCTGGGCCTCCCGGGCTGCTGGGGGCCTCCTCCCTCCCTCCAGTTGCCAGGGAAGGGGTCACGGGTTCCCCCCAGAACCAGGGGCTTTCGGGTGTTGATGTGGGGGGGAACAGCCACCCTGGGGGAGGGCTCAGGGCACAGGCAGCTGAGGTTCCCATGACACCCCCCATCTAGGCCCCTCCTGCTGCTGTGCTCCTTGAAAGGAGATAAGAGGGGAGGCAGCGGGGTGGGGCGCCTTGGAGGGGCCACCCAGGAGGTGCGCTGGGGGCCACACCCAACTGTCTGTCTCCTGCAGGAGGAAGAGAATGGAGGCCGAGGAGGAGGTAAGGAGGGGGCCATGGTTGGGGATGGGGCCAACTTGTCTCCCCCTCTCCCTGCCCCCACCCCTGCACTACCCATCTTTGCTATTGTACATCCACCCTGGGCGTCTCTGTCGCCCCCCTCTTTTTTTTTTATCATTTCTCTCCCCTGCACTTGTCCCTTACATTCTGAGTGTGCAGCCGCCTGCAGGGGGCTGAGACCTGGCTGCTGCCTGGATCTGTACCTCAGCCTGGGCTGGGGGTTGGGGCTTGCTGCAGTACTGGGCTGTCACCCAAACAGCCCCTTGTGTGCACCCAGGCTCCCCAGGGATTCCAGGCCAATCCTTCCTGGTGGCCCTGAGTGGACACTGTCCTCTCAAGTGGCTGTCACAGTGGCCTAAGTGGGGAGAAGCACCCTGACCTAGTGCAGGCCCCCTTCCCTGTGGGGGTAACATACCGGGGCACCGATGTGGGGCTGCCCGTTCTGAGGGGCTCACGCTTCTGCTGGGGGTCCAGAGTCCTGGAAAGGTGTGTGTGTGTGTGTGTGTGTGTGTGTGTGTGTGTGTGCATGCGTGTGTGCACATTCATGTGCATCCTTGTTGGCATGTTGGTGTGTGCACATGTCCACCTGCCCTGCTGGACTGTGAGTTCCCCAGGTTCCTTTGGTCTCTCATGCAGCCCAGCACTGGGGGACAGATGTTTAAGGAGCCCCTATGAGTCCCCAGAGAGTTTCCCCTCATTGGGCAGCTGCACCCAGCTATACTTTGGGCTGACTCCTGGTTCTGTGCTCAGGAAATCCCTACTGGCGATGCTCAGGGGACCATATGGGGCGCCAGAGACTGACTCTAGGGTTGCTACGTGCAAGGCAAGCGTCCTGCTGGCTGTCCTGTCTCTCCAGCCTCCTCCCTGCAGGCTTTTATTTTACTCAGCAGCTCTGGGGGAGACTCCCTAGGGCTTCTCATGCTCTGTGCTCACATGCGTACCAGGTTTGCCACTTGTCCCTTCCTGGAGGTTTTTCTTTCTTTCTTTTTGGGTCACACCCAGCGATGCACAGGGGTTACTCCTGGCTCTGCACTCAGGAATTACTCTTGGCCATGCTCAGGGACCACATGGGATGCTGGGAATTGAACCCAGGTCAGCTGCGCGCAAGTCAAAATGCCCTCCCCGTTTTGTGCTATTGCTCCAGCCCCTTCCTGGAGGTTTTGTCCCAGAGTTTTTATTTCCCGCCCATATGGTGCCCTCCTATTGGGTTCTGGGCCTCTGGTATCCTGTGGACATTTGGGTCTGTGTCTGTGTGATTGTGGCCATCCTGAGTGTGAATCCCCATGTGTGGGGGTGCCCTTGCTCACCTGGCTCCTGCCCCCCAGGACCCTCCCCCCGGCACCGCTTGGAGCCCGTGGACACCATCTTTGTCAAGAATGTGAAGGAAGATGGGCCGGCCCATCGGGCTGGGCTGCGCACAGGTAAGCACGTGGTCCCAGGGACCTTCTTTCTCCCTGGGGATGCCGGATCCAGGTGTTGGGACACTCCTGCCCCCTCCATTGTCACCTACGTTTAGTGCAGGGGCTCCGGGGTGAGGCTCCGACCCCTGCCCTGCTCACACATGACCCCGTGTCGGCAGGAGACCGGCTGGTAAAGGTGAATGGGGAGCGTGTCATCGGGAAGACTTACTCCCAGGTCATCGCTCTGATCCAGAACAGGTGAGTGCCCCCCTTCCCTGAGCCCAACACCCCCCCCCAGGCCCTGTGGGGAGGAGACGGGTCATTGGGGGATGGGGGGAAAGGGGATTGGTGACTGGGATCCCCATTCTCCCTGGCCTTGTGGGTCTGTGCCGGAACTGACTGCTGCCCCGTCTCTCTCTGCAGCGATGACACCCTGGAGCTGTCCATCATGCCCAAGGATGAGGACATCCTCCAGCTGGTGAGTGCCCTGCGCTGCGGTGTATGGTGGGGAGGACAAGACCCAGGAGAGAGTGCAGGGGCCGTGCCAGCCTGGTGTTGCCCAATCAGGGAAACCAGGGGTGGGGACTGGCGCTTGCTTCATTCAGGGCTCTGGCCGGTGAGGGGAAGGTGCCACGCTGGGCTGGGCTGGGCTGGGCGGGCGGGATTCCTGCCTTCGAGCCTGTGAGGGTGACCCAGCGGGCCCAGCCAGACTGGCATGTTCGGGTGGGCTCCCCGGAGACACCTATTCCTACATCCCGTGCCTCGCTGGCCCGAGCACACTTCCTGCAGATGTGACCGCGCAGGCGCAGGCTGGCGCAGACGCACTCACTCAGAGGCCACTCTGTGCCCTCCGGTTCTCGAGGGGCGGGCGGGCCACCCTCGGCCCGCTCACATGGGCCCACCCTACACCCTTCACTGCAATCCGCGATCACACACACTCACGAGGGCACACACCAGCAGCACCGGGCACCAACCCAGACTCGGCCCACGCCCACCCCCCCCCGCCCCCGCCCCCGCCCCCGCCTGCCACCCACAGACCCCCAGCACCACAAAGCCCAGCTCATCCTGCACACAGCCCCGCACCTCAGCACCCGGCCCCAGCGTTTCCCAATGTCCTGCCCAACTGAGGCCACACATGCCCTCCCACCGCCCACCACAGATGCCCACAGCCCACAAGGGCAGCATCAGCTCCCACCCTGCTGGGCCATGCCCAGCGCACGTGCCTTTGGGGGCACGGTCCCACCCACGCAGGCACTCAGCACTGCCCCCCAACCCCCGGGGTACACAGCAAGCCCCGCGTGTGCCCGCCACACACCCACTCACATCTGCACACAGACTCTCTGAGCCCGGGCAGCCCCTGTGACCAGCACGCGGTCTCACTGTCCCGGCAGATGGCAGCAGCCCGGCCTGCCTGCAAGGTCACTGCCCCCCAGGGGAGGGCTGGGCGCCCGGCCCTCTGGCCCCGCCCCAGCCGGGCCTGGCTGCTGCCTGGATGCGCTCCCCTAATCACTGTAATCACCGCCGGGGAGCCGGGCCCTGCCCCAGAAACCTGACCTCAATCGTCCCCTCGCCGGGGCTGGGGAGGGGGAGGCGAGGAAAGGAGCGCAGGCGGAACAGTGCTCTGAGCCCTGCCCAGACCCCAGACCCCATCCGCCCCCTCTCCCCCAACCCCGTTGCTGGAGCCAAGCAACTTAAGGGAGGGGGCGGCCGGGCGGGACCTCGGGGATCCCCACCCTCCCCAGCGGAAGAGTTTTCGAGGAGTGGGAGGGGACAGTAGCCCCGAGCTCCGCTCTCCAGGCTGGGGTCCGCAGGTAGCCCCGAGGTCAGCGTGAGGGGGCCTCCTCCGGCTCCCCATCCCGGCGGCCAGAGGGTGGGGCCCAGGCATTCCTGTGGCTGGGAGCCGAGGCCGGAGGCCAATGGGGCCGCGGCAGCTGCTGACGCCACCGCCGACGCGGCGAGGCCCCTCCACACCCATCCTCCCCTCCCGCCTCCTCCCGCCAGCCAGAGCCGGCCTGTGGGGGCCCAGGCCACGGCGCCTCGCCTTGGGGAGGGCAGAGTGTGTGTGTGGGGGGGCAGAGACCCAGCCCGCGGGGGGCTGTGGCGGGCGGCTGGGGGCGGGGAGGGCGGGGCGGGCGGGATGCTGCTGATGCCCGGCCTGGGGAGCTGGCAGGATGACGGCAGGAGGGAGAGGTATGTGGGGGCTCTGGCCTCTGGGCGGGGGTCTGGAGGGGCTGAGCGAGTGGGGTGTGGTCCTACACACCACGGGGGCTCCCTCGAGGGAGGAGCGGTGACTGGTGCGCCCGTGTGCTTGGCTCATTGTGCTGGTCCGTGTGTCTCTGGGTGTGTATTTTCCCGGCTCTTGGAGGGATGGCGCGCGCGTGTGTGTTTGTGTGTGTGTGTGTGTGTGTGTTTGTGTGTGTGTGTTTGCTTTCACCCGCTCACCCTTTGAGACTGAGCTCTCTCTGAGACGGCCCCCCAGCTGGGGCCACCAGGCCACTCTCCCTGGGGCTGCCTCCTTTTTCGGCCAGGCCTGGGCACTGGCCCTGTCACCCCTCAGCAATGCAGCGTCAGCCTCAGCGCCCTGTGCCAAATTCCAGGCCCGGGTGGCAGAAGGCGGCCCGGGTCTCTGTCAGCCTGCCCCTCCCCCAGCGTGCTCACAGAGGCCAGGAGGGGCAAGTGCCTCCTCACCCCCAAGGCCCACGGCCAGGGGACCCCCTACCCCACTCCCTGTCCAGGGGATGGGGGGCAGCAAGGCTCTCCCTGCCTCTGCCCCCAGCCCACCCCTCCCTGGACACACCCCTCATTCTGCCTCCTCCCTGTTGCCTGCCAACCCAACTGTCCCTAGTGGGTGTCCCTGCTTGGCTGACTGGCTCTAGGCATGGAGGGGGACCAGGAGCTTATTGGCCCTTTGAGTAGTGGGGCCCCAGGAAGCAGATGTTGGCATGTTTGCAGCGCAAGGCAGTCCCTGTCACAAGACTCAGCAAAATTCTCACCCACCTCCCTGTGTGCATGTAAGTATACATGTGTGCACGAGTGTGTATGTGAGTGTGTGGGTCTGCGTGTGAGTTTGTGAGCGTCTGTGTGTGTAACTCTGTGTGTGGGTGTACGTGTGTGCCTGTGGGTATGAGTGTCCGTGTGTGTGTGCCTGTGTGAGTGAATGAGCGTGTGTGTTTCTGCGAGTGTACTGGATGTGTGTCTCTAGGTGTGTGTGTGCTGCTGTGTATGAGTCAGTGAATATGCACATCTCTGTGTGTGTGTGAGTGCATCTGTAGTTTGTCAGTGTTCGTGGGAGTGTGTCTGGATGTGTGTCTGTGTGTGTGTGAGTGCCCGAGTGTGCTTGTGTGTGCTCCTTGAGTATATGGGTGTGAGACTATACATGTGTGAGTATGTGCTTGAGCGTGGGCGTGTATCTGAGTGTGTGTTTGTGTTTATAACTCACAGGCCTCTCGTTTTTCCTTTGTCCCTCGCCCCCACCCCACTCCGGCTTCTCTTTGGAGCCTGCTTCCCCCCCACCAGCTTACAACTCCCCACTTTGACCTTCCACCTCCAGCGCCTCCTTCTGGGGTGCGGTCCCTGGCTGTGCCCCGTGGGACCCGCCTGGCCCGGCTCACTGCCTCTGTGTCCCCGCCAGGCCTACTCCCAGGATGCCTATCTGAAGGGGAACCAACCATACTCCGGAGAGGCCCGCAGCATCCCAGAGCCGCCCCCGCTCTGCTACCCCCGCAAGACCTACGCAGCGCCAGCCCGGGTCCCCACCTGGGCCACTATGGTGCCTGAGCCCCTCTCAGCACTGCCCAGCGACCCCCGGAGTCCTGCTGCCTGGAGCGACCCCGGAGCCTGTGCGGTGCCCGCCGCCCGCCCGCACTCGGGCATGAGCCAGCCCCGCCCCAGCCCTGGTGCCTTCCCCCGCCTCCCCGCCGAGCCCCGGACGCCCCGTGCCTTCCCGGAGCCTGGCAGCCGGCCGCCCCCCAGCAGACTGGAGTGCCAGCAGGCCTTGTCGCACTGGCTGTCGAACCAGGTCCCCCGCAGGGCGGGGGAGAGACGGTGCCCCTCCATGCCACCCCGGGCCCGCAGCGCCTCCCAGGACCGCCTGGAGGAGGTGGCAGCCCCCCGCCCGTGGCCCTGCTCCACCTCGCAGGGCGCCCTGAGCCAGCTGGGCCAGGAGGGCTGGCACCGAGCTCGCTCCGATGACTACCTGAGCCGGACCACCCGCTCGGCCGAGGCCCTGGGACCAGGAGCGCTGGTGTCCCCCCGCTTCGAGCGCTGTGGCTGGGCTTCCCAGCATCCGTCTGCCCGCGCCGCAGCCTGTCCACCCAGAGACCTGTCCGGGTCCCAGGCCCCCGCCCCAGCCGGACTGCAGGGCCTGGACGATATGGGGTACGTGGGCTACAGGAGCTACAGCCCCTCGTTCCAGCGCCGGACGGGCCTTCTGCACGCACTCTCCTTCCGGGACTCTCCCTTCGGGGGGCTGCCTACCTTCAACTTGACCCAGTCCTCAGCCGCATTCCCACCCGAGGCTGCCGAACCCCCCCGCGGGGGCCGGCCGGAGCCCAGCGTCACCCGGGCCCTGGAGCCGCCACCTGAAGAGCCCCGGGACGAGGTGGTGCTGAGGCAGAAGCCGCCCACAGGCCGCAAGGCCCCCGTGCCCCCCGCCAGGCGGATGCACCTTGGCCACGCAGATGAGGGCACCGAGCCAGAGGCCAGCGGGCGTGGGGAACGCCTGGGCAGGAAGGTGACGCCTTTGGCCACCACAGAAGATTCTCTGGCTTCCATCCCCTTCATCGGTGAGTGGCTCGCAGGGGACTCGGGTATCCTGTGGGCTCTGCCCTCCTGTCCACCCAGGGCGAAGCTCTGCATTGGGTGTTGACAGGCCCACCTGTTCCTCTGTTCATCTGTCCTTCCCTCCTTCCCTCCGTTCACTGACCCTCCCAGTCCTTCCTTTCCTCCTTCCTCCTCCCCTCCTTCCCTTGCTTCCTTCCTCTTTCTTTCTTTCTTTCTTTCTTTCTTTCTTTCTTTCGGTGGGGGCAGAGGGTGGGCACACCTGAGCTGTGCTCAGGGTTTACTCCTGGCTCTGTGCTCAGGGATCACTCCTGGTAGCACTTGGGGGACCATTTGGGGCACAGGGAATTGAACCCAGGTTGGCTGCATGCAAAGCAAGTGCCTAACCCGCTGTACTACCTCTCCAGCCCGCCCTCTTCCCTCTCTTTGTTTCTTTGGCCGCACCTGGTGGCGCTCAGGGACACAGTCGTGTGAGGGACTGAAGCTGGACCTGTGGCATGCAGCTGTCTCTGGACCCCTTCTATCTTTTTTATCCTTTCCTGAGACTTCCACTACTCCTTCCTTCCTTCCTTTCTTCCTCCCCATACTCCTCCCTCCCCCCTCCCTCCCCCTGCCATCCTGCTTTTCTTTTCATCACCCATCCTTTTGTTCTTCCCTCTCCTCTCCATCCCTTCTCATCCAGCAGATGTTTGCCTCGGGACCCTGCTGGGGCCACTCTCCTGGAGGGTGTGGTCCATGGGTGGGTGGGGCGGTGGGGGTGGCCAGAGCACCGGATGCTCTGGGAGAGGGGCCTGGCGAGCAGGAGAAGAATCTTGTAGCAGGGATGTGTCCACGGAGCCGTGGGAGCTGAGAAGGACTTAGAGGAGGAGCGTGAGAAGATGCAGGGGCAGAAGAGAACGTGCAGAGCCTGACGCCAGACAGGCAGGGGGCGCTTCCTACCCCAAGGGGACTGGTCGCCCCCAGAGCAGAGGGAAGACGAAGGACTGGACCCCTTTCCAGCAGACATAGGCGAGCAGGAGGGTGGAGAGGCTCCATGAGCCCAGGTCTCCTGTGTTGTTGGAGGGGGCGCCTCCCCGGCCCTTGGGCATGAGAGTCAGGCAGGAAAGGGGTCAGGGCCGGCCCAGGAGAATGACTGGGCAGCATCCTAGCACTAGAGAGAAAGTCAGTCCTGGGGGGCCGGAGTGATAGCACAGCGGGTAGGGCATTTGCCTTGCACGCGGCCGACCTGGGTTTGATTCCCAGCATCCCATATGGTTCCCCGAGCACCACCAGGAGTAATTCCTGAGTGCAGAGCCAGGAGTAACCCCTGTGCATCGCTGGGTGTGACCCAAAAAGGAAAAAAAAAGTCAGTTCTGGACCCAGAGTCATGAGCTGCAGTGACAGGAGTGAGTGTGAGCCCCAGGGTGCCTTGGAGAGGGTCCTGGCCACCTCCCCTCTCCATCTCTCCTGAGTGGGCATCCACCGCCCTGCATTGGGGGGGGCAGGGCCAGTCTGTGCCAGGAACTCTCCCCAGGAGCCCCTTGGGGATCCTTCCACTGATAGGGGGGGACAGACCATCCTCAGAGACTGGCCAGAGCGAGGGGTTCGCCCCCAGTGGGCGGATGGGGAGGCGGAGTTGAGTTCTGCTCCCGTGGCTCGGTGGTCAGTTACCCTGGGCTCTGCCACACAGGCAGAGGAATTAGGGGGTTACCAGCTGGGCACAGGGGCTGTTGCAACTGGGGATCCCCCGCTTTGCGCCGCCTTCAGCCCCGTCCCTCCCTCCGCTTGTGCAGACGAGCCCACCAGCCCCAGCATTGACCTGCAGGCCAAGCACGTCCCCGCCTCGGCTGTGGTGTCCAGCGCCATGAACTCGGCCCCCGCCCTGGGCACCAGCCCGTCCTCCCCGACCTTCACCTTTGCCCTCGGCCGCCATTACTCACAGGACTGCAGTGAGTGCCGCTGGACCGGGCGGGACGGGGCCGTTGCTTCTCTGCTTCTGCGCCTTCCTGGCTGCAGGGGAGGGCCTGGGCACCCCGCACCGTGGCCCTTACTGACCCGGGCCCCCCGCCGTGGCTTTGCAGGCAGCATCAAGGCAGGTCGTCGCTCCTCCTACCTGCTGGCCATCACCACGGAGCGCTCCAAGTCCTGTGATGATGGACTCAACACCTTCCGTGACGAGGGCCGCCCTCTGCGGTAAGGCCCAGCCCCCTCCACTCCTCGCCCCCCACCCTCCGTTTGTCATTTTGGGCCACACCCAGTGGTACTCAGGGCTTACTCCTGGCTCTGCACTCAGGAATCACTCCTGGGGGTCTGGGACCCTATGGGGTGCGGGGGATGGAACCTGGGTCGGCTGCCCTACCTCTGTACTATTGCTCTGGTTTCTCTCCTTCTCTTTCTCTCTCCCTTCCTCCCCTCTCTCGGTGGAGTTGGGAGTCTCCCAAGCAGCACTCAGAAAGTCTGGGTGCGTATCATGCCTGGCAATTCTCCACCAACTAGCCTGGACCCCGGCACTTTGATGCTGTCCAGACCAGCCAGGGCCACACTCGCAGTGCTCGGGGTTCAAACCCGGGGCCTCCCAGACCAGACATGCGCTCCTGCCCCTTAAACTGTCTCCCCACCCTCCAACTGCTCTCAGAAAGCCTCAGAGACAGTCCTGGGGTTCCGGCGCTCCCCTTGCATGCGGCCAACCTGGGTCCAACCCAGGCCCTGCACATGGCCCCCCGAGCCCCGTCAGGAGTGACCCTTGAGCACAGAGTAAACCCTGAGCACCACTGGGTGTGGCCCCAACTCCCTCTCACCCTGGAAAAAAGGAGGCTCCTGAGTGCGGGGGCCCAGCGGGGGCTGTTGGGGTAGAGACCACATGCAAGGCTCACCCCATGTCCCCTCTCCCAGGCGCCTCCCTAACCGAGTGCCCAGTCTGCGGATGCTTCGAAGCTTCTTCACAGACGGGGTAAGTGGCGAGTCTGCACAGCGGGCAGGAAGGGTGGGGGGGATCTACGGGTACTGCAGTCTTAGCACAGCAGCAGCGAGAGGCCAGGCTTCTGGCCGTCTACTCCTCCCTCTCACCATCACACGTGATGCTGGCACTGTCCCTCTGAGGCCCGAGCACTCCATGATCTCAGCGGCCGGTTCCCTTGGTCACCTCCCACCGCTTGGTTAGGCTTTCCTGGGTGCAGCCGCCTTCACTCCCGGCTCACGTCTTCGGCCACTTAGCCCTGTCCTCCTTGCCCCCACTGACCTCTCTCCTGCCTACCCGGGAGATGGGGCTGTCTCCCTGGCTTTGCTCAGGGCTTCACCCCCGGGGGTGCCTAGGCGGGGCCTGTGGCCATCAGTACCTTGGGGCTCAGTTGGGAAGGTGGGGTGCGGGGGCTGGTGTGAGAGCCCTGGAGTGCTGGGGTTTAGGGACAAGGGCTCCGATTCCAGCCCCTGCGGCCCTCCTTGTCCCCGACTTACCCCATCCACTGTTTCCTTGGCGGGCCTGTTGACGCTCTGGCTTCCTCTGTTTAACTCCTCGTGCGCCCGACTCCCTGCCACACTTGCTCGGGCTGTTGACGTCCCTTATCCCTGCTTCCCCTGTTTATTGAACTCCGTGTTGACACAAGCGCTTCCTCTGTTTCCTCAATTCCTCTGTGTCTATAAAGCTCAGGAAGGTTCCAGATTGACCTTCCTAGCGTTGGCGGGGCGTGTGGCCGGCAGGTCACAGCCTTTCCTCCGCTTGAGCTTCCCATGACCCAGCTCCGAGGGGTTCAGAGAGGGCCAGCCAGGCCCCTGAGGCCACACAGCAGAGACCCCGGCCAGACCCAAGCTGAGTGGGGGAGCAGCCCATGGGGTTCCCACGATGCTGGTGCTCCAGGCACCCCCTGCAGCTGCCCGGTGCTGTCTCGCTGCAGTCCCTGGACAGCTGGGGCACTTCAGAAGACGCCGAAGCTCCTGCCAAGCGGCACTCCACGTCGGACCTCTCGGATGCGGCCCTCAGCGATGTCAGGAGGGAAGGCTGGCTGTGCTATAAGCAGGTCCTCACCAAGAAGGGGAAGGTAAGCCAGCGGGAGGGGCAGCCGGAGGAGGACAGAGACTGGCCTGCGCCCACCCGCCGCCTCCGGAGGTCCAAGGGGCAGAGACTGGCTGCCAGGGAGAACTTTCCGGGGATCCAGAGGACTCAGGACAAGGAGACCGGCCAGAGCAGTGGTCTCTGCTGGCGACGGAACTGACCAAGTGGTACTTAGAATCGGGATGGAAGCGGCCAAAGGTGATCTGGAAGTCACTCCTCACCCTGTGCCCGCCCCCAATGGCCACTGGGACTCCTGGCCGTGAGGCCGAAGGACAGGCGGCTCCAATGGGGCGCAGTCAGCCCTTAGGGGCTGAATGGGCAGCGGAGCCTTCAGGTTTCATCTGGAGGGGGCCGGGAAGGCCCAGAGCCCTGACCCTCCAAGTGAATTCGAGGGTACCAGGGAAGAGCCTCGGCTAATCCAGGGGAGAGTTGAGGGAGGGAGCGCAGGCCCGGGCCGGAGGTGGGGGGTGGCAGGCCTGGGGGAGCCCAGCACCGATGACTCACTTGCCCGTGACTGGCTGTCCCTGCCTGTAAACGGAATTAATAATGACCCCAGCTGGTACTCCTGATGATGAAGCTAAGAGCTCATTGAGCCTAGCAGCCATGTTTCTGCTTGCTGCTCTTACTAGAACTTTCCATCCGGCCTTCTCAGGATCTTGTACCAGCAAAGAACCTCAACTTTTATTTTATTTTAATATTTGGGGGAGGGAGAGGTTACACCTAGAGATGTTCAGGCATCACTCCTGACTCTGCACTCAGGGATTCAGGGATTACTTGTGGTGGTGCTCAGGGGACCATATGGGATGCCAGGAATTGAACCCAGGTCAGCCACGTGTAAGGCAAACACCCTTCCCACTGTGCTATCTCTTCAATCCTAAGAACCTCAGCTTTGAAAGCACACAGGCTTGACCTTCTTTTTTTTTTGTTTTTTGGGTCACACCTGGCGATGCTCAGGGGTTACTTCTGGCTTTGCACTCAGGAATTACTCCTGGCTCAGGGGACCATATGGGATGCTGGGAACCCAACCAGGGTTGGCTGTGTGCAAGGCAAACGCCCTAACCGCTATACTATCGCTCTAGCCCCGGGCTTGACCTTGCCAGCCAACTTTCAGCGCCAGGCCCTAGGCAGCCCCTTTAACTCCCTAGTCTCACTTTTCAGACCCCTGAGATGGGGGCAACAATGTTCTTTCCCCACCAGTGTCTGCCTACACCCCAGCTCTTGGTGGAGCCTGGGTGGGTGGTGGGGGAGCCAGGCTAGACGGCCTTGTTCTGATGAGGAGAAAAATGACATTGCCTAAGAGTGACAAGTGCCTGACTGTGCCGGTGGGGGCGTCCGGGGGAGAAACTTCGGCAGGTCACCATAAACTCAGGTTGGGGAGGAGGTGCAGGAGCCAAGTTAAGAGGTGGGCACCTCCCAGGGCACATGGGACCTTTGAGAGGTCAGGATGGGGTGGAAGTGTGGCCTCGGTGACACACAGAGGCAAGGCCACCACTGCCATTGTCAAGGTGAGCAGAAGACACCAGGGAGCTGGGAGGGGACAGTTTGCAGTTCAGAGGGAGGTTCTAGGGGAAGGCTGACCTTGCTGCACACAGGGCGGGGAGGGAGGAGGGAGGAGGCAGCCCTGGTTTCTGGGTTCTCAGCGTGGGCTGTGGGTGGCGGTGGGGGCCCTCCCCTGAGCCACAGGCCACTGGAGCAGCAGGTTTGGGGAGAGGAGGCCCAAGGTTCCGCGGAACCTTATGAAACCAGCGGGCTCTGAGATACCCCAGTGGTGGTGTCCTGAAGATAGGGGACCCCCGAGGCCTGGCACTCGGGAAGGAGGTCTCAAGAGAAGGCACCTGGGGTGCATGGATGTGGGCATGCAGAGGGAGAAGACGAGGCATCACGGGGGGTGGGAAGACCACGGAGAAGAGGCTGCAAATGGCAGGAAAGCCTGGCAGTGGGTGCTGGGGTAGTGGGGCTTGGGGTGCAGCTGAGGAAGGGGAACCCCATATAGACAAACTTTGGAGCCCCTGGGACGCTCCAGCGAGCATTGCAGACCCCTGTCAACTACTGGCCTGTCCCCCACTTCCAGGACCCCAGAAGTTCTGGCACAGTGTTTCCTGGGCAGGGCGATGGGCTGGCCCCTCCTGCCCAGTGGCTATTCTGGAACCTTCCATGCCATCAGCCCAGGCCCCTTTCATTTGAGTACTCAGTGTTGGGGCGTGGATTGGGGACAGAGTTTTTCAGGTCAGCTTCATGCCCTGTCTGCCACTGGGACACCAGCCAGGGGACCGTTCCCATAAAGCCAGATGATCCTGCCAGCCAGGCTGGCGAGAAGGGGTATTAAACGTGCCTGCAGCTGTAAGTAAGATCCAGCATTGGGGACCCCCAAGGGGTGCTCAGGGGAACGCAAGGACTACTCCTGGTGGTACTGAGCCATCAATGCCTGGACCTGAGAAAGCAGCGCTGCTGTGCCCGGGGCCACCAGGGCCACATTTGGAGATGCTTGGGAGACCAGGCAGCACCAGGAACCCAACCCGGTCGGGCTCAGCATTGGAGCTGGCTGCCACCATGAAGACCAGTTTGCTCACCTCTCGGTTTACCATCAGGGACTTTGATGCCAGGGGAAGGGCCTTGACACGTCCTAGAATACCTAGTTGGCCAGGCTCAGAGAGGACCCTTGTCCTTGCCCTCCCACCCCACACATCAACATTCTCCCGGAAGGGCCCGGAAGTTGGGGGAGGTGGGCGTGGCCTGCGCTCTGGGCGTGGCCTATCCTCAAGGGCGTGGCCTTGGCCCAGGCTGACTGTGGAGCTGGGCTGTTCCCTCTCTGCCTGCATTAAGGGCAGAGGCTGGTGCTGGGTGCGTCATAGCAGTGGGCCACCAGCCAGAGGAAGGGAGCCTGTCTGGGTGCTCCGAGACAACCATTCATTTCTTCAGTAGCTAGTGGTGCATGCTCCGTCTGTCGGCGACGTGGAAGGACCGACGTCTCCCTGCGCAGGCGCAGGAGGGTACCATTGCATGGCACGTGCGTCGCTTCCAGCCTGCGACTCAGTGAGCTCCGGGGAGGATGCGCAGGGTAGTGACGTCTGATATCAGACCGGAGGGGTGAGGAGGCCAGAGATGGGGACTCCAGTAGAGGGTCCCCACCGCGTACGGGCTTGGCTTGCTCTTGGCCAGAAGCCCCTTTGGGAGGCAGGACGAGAAAGGAGGTGGGAGAAGAGATGGGTTTGGAGAGGCTGGGGACCAGGTGATGTGAAAGCTTAGACTGCTGGGCGGGAGAGATAGTACAGTGGGTAGGGCGCTTTCCTTGCCCGCGGCAGACCCAGGTTCCATCTCCAGCATCCTATGTGGTCCCCCGCGCGCCACGAGGAGTAAGTCCTGGATATCACTGGATATGTCCCCAAACAAAATAAAACAAAAAAAAATTGGATACCAAGGGGCTGTGCGAACCCAGAGAGGCTGCTGAGGGGCCCAGGGTCAGCCACACCCCCGCCTCGCCCCAAAGATGCCATCACACCTACAGGGTGTGACAGCCAAAACGTCTTAACCAGCTGGAACCATCTACAGAGGGTAGGGCACTTACCTTGCATGTGGCTGACGCAAGTTTGATCTCTGGTGGCATCCTGTATGTTCCCCCCAAGCCCTGCCACTAGTGATCTCTGAGTACAGAGATGTGGCCCCCAAACCAGTCCCCTCCCCCAAAGAAAACAATGTCCTCCCCTGTGGATAAGTTCACCCCAGCTGGCAGACGTTTGTGTAGAAGATGGGGTGGAGTGTTAGAGGGGAGAATGAGCAGGAACAGTGCCTTCTTTTTTTTTTTTTTTGCTTTTTGGGTCACACCCAGCGATGCAAAGGGGGTTACTCCTGGCTCTGCACTCAGGAATTACTCCTGCCGGGTGCTCAGGGGCCCATGTGGGATGCTGGGAATCGAACCCGAGTTGGCCGCGTGCAAGGCAAACGTCCTACCCGCTGTGCTGTCGCTCCCGCCCCAGATACAGTGGCTTTTTGAGAACCAAGAAAGGGTTTGGAGAGAGCAGGGGAGCCTGGCTGAGTCACAGAACTCTGAAGGCCTGAGAGAAGGAGCCCCGCTGATGGGTTCTGGAGGGAGAGACATTAAAGCGGCTGTCAGGTGTGTCAGCTGCTGTGTGGGGTGCCCAGGAATGGCCTGATGAAGACTTGGTCATGTTGGAGGGGACCTCGATTGCACTCTGAACCCTCCTGGGGCCTCTTGTGCATTGCCAAGACCAGATGGGGTTGCATGCTAGCATTTATCTTTATTTATTTATTTATTTATTGTACTTATTTATTTTTGCTTTTTAGGTCACACTCAGCAATGCTCATGGGTTACTCTTGGCTCTGCACTCAGAAATTACTCCTGGTGGTGCTCGGGGGACCATATGGGATGCCAGGGATCGAACCCTGGGTCATCCGCAGTCAAGGCAAATGCCCTGTCCTCTGTACTATTGCTCCGTCCCCAGATGCTAGCATTTATGGAGCGGGAGAGGGCTGGACATGGCTCCACAAACTCACGAGTTTTTGCACACAGGAACCCCTGCACCCCCCAGACCCTGGAACTGCATGTTCCCACTGGCCCCCAGCAGAAAGCCACAGCAGTTCCTGAGCACCAGCAGGTTTGGGCCAGAAAACAGAACAAGACATTAAAAACTGGACCTGAGCGATAGTCCAGCCGGGAGAGCGCTTGCCTGACACACATCAGACACAAATGCAATCCCCAGCACCCTATATGGTCCCCCGAGCACAGAGCCAGGAGTAAGTCCTGAGCACTGCTGGGACAAAAGAAAATGGAGTGAAAGGGAGCCGGGAGCTCTCAGGGTCAGCTTCCAGCCGGGAGAGAGGCTGAGCTTCGGGGGTCCTGAGGTCCTGAGCTCAGGGCCCCGCGGGGGCGGGACTGGGAAGCACCGGAAGCTTCTGGCGGGCCGGAGTCGCAGCCTCGCAGCCGAGAGAGCGAGCTGGGACCCAGGCCCGCCTCTCACGCGCGCCCCTTCCGTCTCTCCCTCGTGTCTCCTGCAGAAAGCGGGCGGCGGCCTGCGCCAGTGGAAGCGGGTGTACGCCGCGCTGCGGGCGCGCTCGCTCTCCCTGAGCAAGGAGCGGCGGGAGCCCGGGCCGGCGGCGGCGGGGGCGGCGGCGGCCGTCGCAGGTGAGGACGAGGCGGCGCCCGTCTGCATCGGCTCCTGCCTGGTGGACATCTCCTACAGCGAGACCAAGAGGAGGCACGTGTTCCGGCTGACCACCGCTGACTTCTGTGAATATCTCTTTCAGGCTGAGGACCGGGATGACATGCTGGGCTGGATCAGAGCTATCCGGGAGAACAGCAGGGCCGAGGGCGAGGTGAGGGCTCCGGCCGGCCCGGGGGGCCAGGGAGGGCAGGGGAGCCCCTCTCTCCGGCTGGGCACTCCTGGCGCCCTCCGAGCTTCAGTTTCCCCTTCATGCAAAAGGGACAGGCAGGAGCGCCCCTGGCCACTGTAGGCCCAAGGTTTTGGGGTGACATGGGAAGGTGTACACAGAGTCCAGCAGCCACAGTAGTTGCAGGAAGCACAGTCATGACCTGCCATGGCCTGCAAGATCTGGCTCTGCCGGGACTCCCCCCCCCCCCCCCACCTTTTTGCTGCAGGCTGCAGTTCAGAGGGTCTCCCTTGGTGGCTTTAGAGAATGAGGTGCCCCCCCTCCCGTGCCAGACAGGCCTGAACTTTCTGGCACGCGGTCCTGTCTGCAGGGCATGGACATGTTGACCCTGGGCACAGGCCAGGAGGCCAGACCTTTGGCAGTAGGCAGTGGGGCTTGGGCCAAGGGACTTTGGCAGGAATTTGGGGAGAAGGGTGCCGCTGGCGCCCCCTCCTGGGAAGCAGCAGTAGCTCAGGGAGGGACTGGCTCTGGGCTGCAGTTTCCACTCCAGCCCACCTGCTCTACCCACTGCTCATCTGCACGGATTTGTGCTGCAGGGCCTGGGCTGGGGGTGGCGAGTCTGTGACACAGGACAGCAGGCCTGCCCTGGTCCAGGTGCTGGGCCATGTGCTCTCCTGCTTGAGCCCCACTCCTAGGCCCCCAGAACACGGTTACTGCAGGGAGCAAAGGGGCTGGAACCAGGGTCCCTGGCCTGGAGAGGTCTGGCTGGGCTGTCACCGACACCGCTTGGGCAGGGCTTCTATGCCACCTGCATGATCACACGAGCAGTGCACATCAGCTCCTGCATAATTTTCTCCCCCAGCCCTGCGCGCACCATATTCCCTCCCTATGTAACTGCCGAGGGAACAGAGGCTGAGGGAGGCCAAGTGGGTTACCCTAGGTCCCCCAGCTAGTGAGGAGGGCTCAGGAGTCCTGCCCTGGTCTCACCCCAGGGCCTGGCGGGCATGTGCAGCAGAGGGGAGGCTGAGGCAGGCCAGGGTCAGCATAGTGGGCTGGCGTGGGCACTGAAAGCCTCTGTTCTCTCTTCCCTCCCTCTCCAGGACCCCGGCTGTGCCAACCAAGCTCTGATCAGCAAGAAGCTTAATGATTACCGCAAAGTGAGGTGAGTCTGTGCGCACGGCTGGCACCCCAGGCAGAGGTTCTTCCTGGCCCACCATGGGGGGAGGCCCCTATCTGCTGGGGTGGGGGCAGCAGGGTGACTGGGGCCACTGACCTCCAGTTCCCAGAAGGCAGGTTGGGATTGCAGCTGTCCGCAGTGCTGGCCCCCAGGTGAACAAACTTCCTTCCTTCCTTTTTCTGTGCAGCCATAGCTCTGGGCCTAAGGCCGATTCCTCCCCTAAAGGCTCTCGTGGCCTGGGGGGCCTCAAGTCTGAGTTCCTCAAGCAAAGTGCGGCCCGGGGCCTCAGGCCTCAAGACCAGTCTGCAGGGAATAAAGGTAGGAACAAGACTGCTGTGTGTGTGTGTGTGTGTGTGTGTGTGTGCGCGTGCGCACGCAGTGTGGATGCAATTCTGTACATGCATGTGCCTGTGTGTGTACATATGTATGTGCATAAGTTTGCGTGTGCTCACATATGCATGCTGGGGCATATGTGTTACATGCAGGTGTATGCATTTGTGTGCACATTTGTGCATGCATGCTTGTATGCCCATGTATGTGCTGTATGTGTGTGTATATGCGCATGCTTGGATGTGTGCTTGTGTGCCTGCTTGTGTGTGCACATACACGCCTCCCAGCGGGCGGTGTGTGTCTGTGCACATGTGTATGTGTGCACATGTGTTAGGCTTATCCCTAAGCCTCTTGTCCAGATGTGTGGGTCTGCGAGGGTTCGGGGACCCCCAAGGTCTCTGGTCTGGATGATGAAGGGCTGACCTCCCACCCCGGGGGAGGCAGAGCCTTGGTAGAGGATGCCTTTTCAGGGCCAGGGGGCTGCCTTTTTGTGGCCTGGGTGGCCTCGAATCTGAATACCTTAAGCAAAGTGCAGTCCAGGGCCTCGGTCTCAGGACCAATCTGGTTTGGGTTGCTAGAAAGTTCTACCTTTGCTTTTGCCACCACCTGGAGTCAGCTTTGAGGCCGCATGGACATCCTCAGGGTGCACTGAAGCTTTCCCAGGGATAAACTCCTGTCTGGACTTTCTCCCTCGGGCTGTGATGTGCCTACTCCAGCCTGGGATGCTCGGCGGCATCCCAGGTGTCCTCTCGTGTGTGCGTGTGGGGAGCTTGCTGCCTTTCCTGGCCGCTAGCTCACCCCCGCTCCGTCTTCTCCCCAGATGACGGTGCTGCCCCCCCCAGAACTCCATGGGGCATTAACATTATCAAGAAGAACAAGAAAGCAGCACCCCGGGCGTTTGGGGTCCGGCTGGAGGAGTGCCAGCCGGCCACGGAGAACCAGGTGGGTACCTGGCCCCGGGGCCGGGGTCGGAGGCTGGGGCCTATGGAACCAGTTCTTCACCAGGTCTCTATACAGACATGACTGGGAAGCCAGCCCAGGAGGGGACGTTCCCCCCAGATGCTGGTGAGGGCAGCAGAGCTGAGGTGGCGGCGGCATGCCCGGCCCTGCCTGCATCTGTCACACCCCAGCAAGACACCCACACTCACTCTTTCTAGAATGGTCCCTGCAGGGTTCTGCCTGGCTTGCAGTCCCCCACCCTACCCCTTGTGAGGGGCGCTCACCCACGCTCACGTCCTTCTGTGTCCACAGCGTGTCCCGCTGATCGTGGCTGCCTGCTGTCGCCTGGTTGAGGCTCGGGGGCTGGAGTCCACGGGCATTTACCGGGTGCCCGGGAACAACGCAGTGGTGTCCAGTCTGCAGGAGCAGCTCAACCGTGGGCCTGGGGACATTAACCTGCAGGACGAGGTGTGTGCGGGGTGGAGGGCCTGTGCCGGGCACGTGGGGGTGTTTGCTGACAGGAGACCAAGTTTGCAGACTTCTGGTTTGGGTAGCTGCGCCCTCCCTCTGGTCGGCTGTGTTGGCTCCATCGTCCCCAGGGGTGTACGGGTGCTGGGCGAGGCCTCCCAGTGGGCAGGACAGGGGCCACTGATGGGATGCCCACCACTGCTTATGGTTCAGGTTTAAGGGACCCGGGGACTGAGGGCAGCTCCCTGAGGCCCAGAAAGAGCTGCCCACATTGGCCATGTCCATGACCCAGAGCGAACAGGCTGGAAGCCTTGAACATTCGCCCCCTTTCTTTTTTCTTTATTTTTTTTTGCGGGAGGGAGAGGGCATCCACCCGGCGAGGCACAGGGGTTACTCCCGGCTCTGCACTCAGGAATTACTCCTGGTGGTGTTTGGGGGGCCATGTGGGATGCTGGGAATCGAACCTGGGTCGGCCGCATGCAAGGCAAACACCCTACCCACTATGCTATCGCTCCAGCCCCCTCTCCCCCTTTCTTTCACAGCCTTTTAAACAAGGGAAAACGGGGACCAGGTTCAGGGGTCAGGGACAAAGGCGTTGATCCCAGCATAACACTCTGCCCCTCCTCCCAGGCATCACCGGACATAGCAGCGCTGGCCTGAGGTTCGGTGGCTCCCAGTCCCTCTGGGGCATTGCTTCAGACCCCCTCCCTCCATAACTGAAAACAAGTGTGAAAAGTGTGAAGGCCCTGTGAAGCTGGGGGCTGGCTGGGCTTGACCTATGTACTCCTGGTGCAGAGGAAGGGGGTATCGGTGCTTCCGGTTTGGGGGGCTGTGCCCTCCCCCTGGATGCCGGCCCAGGCCAGGGGGTGTTTCCCAGGATCTTGGGGTCCCAGAGATACTGGGGGAGGCAGGGGGCGGGCACTTACTTTTTTGTTGTTTGTTTTATTTCTTGGACCACACCCAGTGGTGCCCAGAGTTTACTGCTCTTGGCTCTGTGCTCAGGGATCACTCTTGGCAGGCCCTGCCCACTGTACAGCCCTACCCACTGTATTGTTGCTCCAGCTCACCCTCACTTACTTCTCTGAGAGCAACCCCACCTTGATCTGTTACTTGTTGGGCTGTTTTTGGTTCTGGGGCCACACGTGGTGGTGCTCAAGAGTCTCTGTGCTCTGTCCTGGGGGCCCCTGCGGTGCCAGGGGTTGTTCCGGGCCTCCAGCATGCCCGGCCTGTACTCGGCCCCTCAGGCTTTCTCTGGCCCCTGTGTGTCATTCTGGGTTCATGTTCAGTTTTACTTAACACAAGCTGAGAAAGATACTTGGAAAACCGCCAGTGTGGGCAGGAGGTCCCGTGAGTCACGTCCCTTGGGTATAGGGGGTGGCAAGAGGACCATGACACTCAGCCCAGGGCCTGAGTGTGGCCAGGCACCCTGGGACAGAGACAGGATGCTGTGAGGGGGGGGGGGTCAGGGCAGCGCTTCGAAGCAAGCACTGGAGGCGCAGGAAGGGGTGAGGCTGTGATGGCTCTCTGGAACCCCAGAAAAGGCTCTGAGCATTACATGGAGCAGAGCAGGGCCCCTGGGCTCATGGCCACAGGGCCGGGAGCCAGGCTGTGGACAGATCTGCTGGGGAGGCATGAGGGAGGGGTAGGGAAAGAGGCTCCTGGTGGTTCTGGGTCAGGTGTGGGGAGAGTGGCTCGGAGGGCGCACAGGCCTTCATGTGCAGGCCCTGGGGTCCGTCCCCAGCACTGTGGGAACCTTCCAAGCTCCACTGGGTGCGGCTCTGGGGGCTCCCAAGCACCTCCAGGTGTCCAGGGAGGAGGTTAGGGATCTAGACTGAGTGTCTGGGGACTGGAGCTATAGCACAGCGGGTAGGGCGTTTACCTTGCACGCGGCTGACCCAGGTTTGATTCCCAGCATCCCATATGGTCCCCTGAGCACCGCCAGGAGTAATTCCTGAGTACATGAGCCAGAGTAGCCAGAGTAACCCCTGTTCATCGCCAGGTGTGACCCAAAAAGCAAAAAAAAAAAAAAAATAGACTGAGTGTTTGGATTTAGAGCTCGGCCCCTGAAGTGTGGGGAGAGGAGGGGGAGGAAGAGGAGGAAGAGCTGTGTGGGAGGGAGGTGGGAGGGCCAGGGAAAAGCCAGAAGTTTGAGCTGGAGGCGGCAGAGACTCTGGTTCAAGTCCTGACACTGCCCCATCCCCTGAGCATCACTGGGGGCACTGGGTGCAGCCCCCGAAGTCAGAAGGGAGTGGGGGAGGACAGGAGGGGGAGGATATGTCAGGTGATGCCCTCCCCCCGCCCCCCAGGATCTGGGGTGATGGTTAGTCACCCATACAGGCATGACCATGACGCCACAGCCAGAGACCAGACCAAGAGTGGGCTGGAGAGGGCACGGGGTCAGTGCTGGGTGGGAGGCGAGTGCAGTGCCTGCCCCCTGAGGGGCGGAGGAGGTTTGCTCTCTGTGTTGTGTTGGGGCTCTGGAAGTGAGTTGCTGCCTGACCATGCCTGCTGGGAGGGCACTGCCTTGCAGCTGGGTCTGTGCGCCCTGTGTTTGCTGGAGGGGATTGTGTGGCCTCCGGGTCCAGTGCCTTGGTTACTTAGTTACCTTAGTTATTCCCTCTGCTCCCAGCTTGCTGGGGCCTAGGACTTTGTGGGCGGATGGTGCCCCCTGGTGGTCAGACAGGATAATGACCGGCATTCTCCAGGCCAGTGCCCGTTTAGTTAGCTCAGGGTTTCCTCCCTCCGACCCAGGTGGGAGGGCTGCAGCCACCCGCCCCCTAGAAGCCAGTGAGCACCCAGCCTCCCGCTGTAAAAACCTGAGTGTTTCCTCCTTGGGGGGACAGTTTAGCTGCAGTTGACCAAGTGAGGCCCCCACCCCCCCGAGCCTGGTGCCAGGGACATGGGTCCTGCCCCTTCCAGGTCAGGGGCAAAGGGGAGTCTAAGGAAACCAGGGGACACCCCAGTCCTGCAATGTGGCAGGGGCCAGGGGCCAGACCCTCAGGCTGGGGACTGGACCTGGCCACTTTGCCTGTGGCGCGCAGTCCCAGAAGGCCTCCCTGAGGAGGTGATGTTTAGGCAGGTTGAAGAGTGGGGGGCTTATGCAGAGGAAACAGAGACTTCACAGGCAACGGGCCTGAGACAGGAAGATATAGAGCTGGAACAAATGTGACATTGCCGATATTTAGGCATGGGGGGCAATTTGGGTTGGAGCTGGGCGCCAGGCCTGGTGCCCGGGGGTCCAGCGGGCAGGCTGGCTTGGTAGGAGTCCAGCAGGCAGGCAGACACCCCACACAGTGTCTGTCTGCTCCAAGAGGCCATCAGTGCCTGCTGGGTTGTGAATGCTGGTAGCAAGGCCCGCAGTGGTGAGGGGGCTAGGACCACCACACCGGGGCACTCAGCTCTGCGTCCCCTGACTCCACAGGCTCGACTGACCCCCGGTCTCTGGGCCTGACTGTGGGGTTGGGTCTGCAGCAATGTGGGGTGCCTTGGAAAGGGGGCCTGGGCACAATGGGTTGGGACGGCCTGTGTGACGCTGTGCCCCTGTCCCCAGCGCTGGCAGGACCTCAATGTCATCAGCAGCCTGCTCAAGTCCTTCTTCCGGAAGCTGCCAGAGCCACTGTTCACCGACGGTGAGTGGGACAAGACGGGACTGTGAGGCGGGAGATGATGGGATGGTGAGGGGGGCCGTGAGTGGGGGGACACGCTGATGGCCACCTCCAGAGCCTGTGATGGCTCACGGGACACTGTGGGCTCTGTATGGGGTCCCAGGCTCCATCTCCTGCACAGTGCTCCCTTGAGCACTGCCACAAGTGGCCCTCAAACTCCGAGCTGAGGGCAGCCTCCAAGCATTTGCCAAGTGTGGCCCCAACACATTCTCCCACCCAATTTTATTCTGGTTTGTCTGGTTCACTTTAGGGATTTTTGTTTTATTACCAAATAAATCCCTGGGGAGGGGGGGTAGTGGAGAAAGAGCACAACAGGTGGAGCACTTGCCTTGCACACAGCTGACCCAGGTTCAGTCCCCAGCACCGAGTATGGTCCCCTGAGCCCCGCCAGGAGTGATCCCGGAGTACAGAGCCAGGGGTAGCCCACAACATATCTGGGTATGGCCCCGAAACCTAAATAAATGAATGAAAATAATTTTTAAAGCAGTAGATGATTAACCTGGTGACTTCAAGGACATTCATTGAAAAACATCAAAATTGGGACTGGAGAGATAAGTACAGCAAGTAAGGCGCTTGCCTTGCATAAAGCCCAGTCCCTGTACGGCCCCCAGCACCACCAGGAGTGACCCCTGGGGGCCGAGCCAGGAGGAAGTCCTGAGCACTGCCGGGTGTGGTCCCAAACCCAAACCAACAGCAACCAAAAAAATCCCAAAAGTAAAATGAAAATAAATCAAGCATAGTCAAAGCTGTCAAGGTAAAGGGTAAAAGGTAAAGGCCCTCCCGTTGATCGTGATTTGCTTGAGCGGGCCCAGTAACGTCTCATTGGAAAGCTGTCAATCTTCCTTTAATGCATTCTGCAATAAAGACAGGCCCAATGATGATAAAATGTTTTTCCTGATTCTCCCCCCAGTGTTTTAACAGCTTCCCTCCTGACGGTAATGCCCTTCATCCCGCCTGTGCTTTGTGAGCAGGGAGTGATTTCCCTCCTCGGGATGTGGATGCCTCCAGATCCCCAGCACTTGGGCCCCTCTCCCCACCCCACCCCCCACCCCCGGGAAACTGTAGCGTTGGCCCTCCTGCCTTCCTCAGCCTGGCCCAGCCTTTCCCCGGTTCCTGCAGCCCTGTCCGTGCTTGCTCTGCTTTGCCTGGCTTTTCTTTCCTCTCCCTTTCTTTTGGTTTGGGGGCCACAGCCCTTGGTCCTTGGAGGTGGCGCCCAGCAGTGCTCACTGCGCCATGTGGTGACAGGAATGAAACACGGGTCGCCAGCATGCCAAGCCTGTGCCTGGCCCGCTGAGCTCTGTCTCAGCCCTCGCTCTGCTGGTTTTGACCAGGAAAACACTGGTGTTTCCAGGTCGGAGGGAAAACTCAAGGGCAAAGGCTCTTGCCCTGCACACTGCCCACCCTGGCTGTATCCTTGGCACCACATAGGGTCCACCAAGCCTGACCAAGAGTGACCCCTTAGTACAGAGCCAGGAGTGAACCCTGAGCACCACAAGGGATGGTCTCCACCGAACAACCGCCCCCCCCCCCCCCGCCCCAGGAAAATGCTGGTCTGGTCAGGCAAATCTGGTCAGTATCCTCTCGCCAAGGAATATTCTTTACTATCCTGATGCTGAGATTCAACCAGATGGATTTTCAGGGTAAATATCACATTCCAGACCAGGCCTCACATGTGAGAGACCAACTGACCCACCCCCCCACCAACCACCACCAAATACCATCTTCCTGTGTATGCTTGTCTATGTGCGTGTCTGTATATGTATGCATATATGGTGTATGTATGTGTCTATCTATCGCTGTGTATCTGTCTATTTGTGTGTGCATGTATGTGTGTTTGTGTATGTGTCTACGTATCTGTGTCTGTGTGTGTGTGTGTGTTTATGTGTGCTTGTATGGGTGTGTAGTGCCGGGAACTGCACCAGCTCACACACACACAGCCTGAGCACTGTGACTAAACTGCACCCCAGCCCACGTTCCACTGGCTAAAGTCCCCCCCTTGAACTTTATCTGTGGGGGTCTCTGGGGAATGATGATGCAGGCAGGGAAGTATGTCTGGAGACTGGAAGGCCTGTGTCTTTCTTTTTTCTTTAGGCTTTTTGGGTCACACCTGGCGATTCTCAGGGGTTACTTCTAACTCTGCACTCAGGAATTTCCTAGCGTGCTTGGGGAACCATATGGGATGCTGGGGATTGAATCCAGGTCATCATCATACAAGGCAAACTCCCTCCCTGCTGTGCTCTTTCTCTGGCCCCCACATCTATCTTTCTGAGTCTCCTTCTCTCCCAACCTTGGGATGCCGTTGTCCTGGAGACAGGCAGGGCCCCTGTGCCCATCAGCGGGCAGCTCAGGACTCTTCTGAGCAGATGAGCCCAGGCTGCATGGCTGTGGGTGTCCACACACACGCGGCCACAGAGCCCCCATAAGGAGCAGCCGGGGTGCAAAGCACTGACCGGGCGGGCCAGACCCCGCAGCCGAGAGCAGGACGAGGCCTCCGCCCCCCTCTAAACCCTGGCGTTCCTGTCTCTAGACAAGTACAACGACTTCATCGAGGCCAATCGCCTTGAGGACTCCCGGGAGCGGATGAAGACGCTGCGGAAGCTGGTGAGCGAAGAGAGGTGGTAGGGGCCCTCTGGCCTGAGGAAGACCCCCCCAACTCTGGGCTTCCGTTTCTGCACCTGTGCAGGGGGTGGTGATAAGGGGGTTTGGACACCCTGAGGTGTGGAAATAGGGGCCCACCCGTCTCCCTCTCTGCCCAGATCCGGGATCTCCCAGGCCACTACTACGAGACCCTCAAATTCCTTGTGAGCCACCTGAAGACCATCGCCGACCACTCGGAGAAGAACAAGGTGGGTCTTGGTGTGGACAGAGGCCAGGGAAGGGACACGGATGGGAGGACTCAGCTTGTTTCCACTCCTTGGGGTCAGACAGCAGGCCTGGCATTGACAGATAGGGCCCCTGCCCCAGCATTTTTTTTTTGCCATGCCTGGCAATGCTCAGGGCCGAGTCCTGGCTCTGTACTCAGGGATCACTCTTGGCAGGGCTCAGGGGACCTTATGGGGTCCCAGGGATCAAATCCAGGTCGGCCACATGCAACGCAAGCTCCCTACCCACTGTGCTCTGTCTCAAGTTTTCTCTCCCAATTTTTCTTTAAAAAGTCATTCTAGGGCTGGAGCGATAGCACAGCAGGTAGGGTGTTTGCCTTGCATGCGGCCATGCGGCCGACGACCTGAGTTCGATTCCTTTGCCACTCTTGGAAAGCCCGGCAAGCTGCCGAGAGTATTTCACTCTCATGGCAAAGCCTATAAGCTACCCTTGATGTATTCAACATACCAAACACGGTAACAAGTCTCACAATGGAGATGTTACTGGGCCCGCTCGAACAAATCGATGAACAACGGGAGGACAGTGCTACAGTGCTACATGCTAAATGAAATGAGTCAAAAAAACAAAAGTCATTCTAGGGAAAAAAAAAAAGAAGTCATTCTAGGGCTGGAGAGAGATGACAGTGGGTAAGACACTTGCTTTGCATGGGAGCCAACCTGGGTTTGCTCCCAGTACCCCCTAGGGTCCCCCAAGCCCCTTCAGCAGTGATTCCTGAGTGCAGAGCCAGGAGTAAGCTCTGAACACTGCTAGATGTGACCCTCAAATCAGAAAAATAAAAGTCCAGAAGTCACTATCCGGGCTGGAGCAATACCACAGCGGGTAGGGCGTTTGCCTTGCATGCGGCCAACTGGGTTCAATTCCCAGCATCGCATATCATCCCCCGAGGACCGCCAGAGGTAATTCCTGAGTGCAGAGCCAGGAGTAACCCCTGTACATCGCCGGGTGTGACCCAGAAAGAAAAAAAAAAAGTCACTATCCCACAACACCCCCCCATGCCAGCCAGTGAGCTGCCCTGGTGCTGCCCCCACCATCCTGCCCTGGGATGGGGGAAATGGCTCTGCTGGACCAGCCCCCTCCCTCACACTTTTCAGTCAGTCCTCATCCGCACCCCTTTGCTTCGGAAGTGGACGGGGTGGACATTACCTCACCTACTGTGGTTCCCTCTCCAGACCTGTCCAGTCTGGCACAGGGTGGGCGTTGGGGCTGGGCACTGGCCCCTGGCCATTAGGCTTGTGGGTGAAATGGGACCTGTGCTGAAGTTCCCAGGATTCCCCTGGCTTAGGCAAGGGCAGCTGCCCCCTGAGCCAGGAGCCGGAGGGGCACGCAGTGAGGGAGGCCAGGGGCCTGGGTGTGTCCACACTGACCGGGCCCCCTCCCCACCCAGATGGAGCCCCGGAACCTGGCCCTGGTGTTCGGGCCCACACTGGTGAGGACGTCCGAGGATAACATGGCCGACATGGTGACGCACATGCCCGACCGCTACAAGATCGTGGAGACGCTGATCCAGCACGTAAGCAGGTGGCGCCCGCCCGGGCAGGCTCCTGGCCGCAGGGGTGCTGCACTGGGAAAGGGAAAGGCGCCTTGGAAATTGGCTCTTGGACAACCCCTGCCCCTGAGAATCAGGAGGCCCCTGACCTTCCACGAAGCCTGTGGGAGCTCAGGCAGGGAAGGCGAGAGACCGCAGGACTGCAGGCAGAAGGGGTGGGTGCAGGGGTAGGTGCAGGGGTGGGTGCAGGGGTGAGTGCAGGGATGAGTGCAAGGGTGAATACAGCGGTAAGTGCAGGGTTAAATGTGGGGTGAAGGCAGGGATGAGTCCAGGGATGAATGCAGGGGTGAATGAAGGGGTGGTTTCAAGGGTGAGTGCAGGGGGAAGTGCAGGGGTGAATGCAGGGGTAAGTGCAGAGGTGAATGTGGGGTGAGTACAGGAGGTAAATGCGGGGCACCTCTGGAAGCCGGCACAGACAAGTGTGGAGCGGGGCGGGGGGGGGGGACAGTTTTCTGGAAGGAGATGGTGGTGCTCAAGGTCGCGCGAGCGGGGCCTGGGGCCAGGGCTTGCACTAAGCCCCTGTGTCTGCTGCAGACCACATCCCTTTGGTACTTTGGCGTGGCCAAGCTGGGGTGTGAGGAATCTCCGTTTTCCCCCTGACTAAAGAGAATGTAGAACGGCCAGCAGAGGGCGCAGTGCCCCAAACCTGAGGCTGCACCGCCCCCTCCTGGGCATTCAGGGATTTAAGTTTTGTTTTTTTTTATACTCAAGATTTTCTATTCCTGACCTGGTAGAATCACAAAACACCAGAGACAGGCCCAGGGTAGGAAAGATGCTCAACAGTGGCACACGCGTACCTCATAGGGGCAGGTCCCTGAGATCTGTCCTTGGCATGCCCCCCTCTCCCCAGTACCTTCCAGATTGGTGGTCTTGGGACCCCATGCACCCCCTTAATAATTTAAAATAATTTTTAAAAATATTTTGAAAAGACAGAACAAGAGTGCCTCTGTCAGGAGAAGTTGGCTTGGTGGAAGCAAAGGGACTGGTTGAAGAGTCACAGCCCAGAGTTTAGACCACAGCCGTGTAGCCAGCCGGTACCTTCGTCCTCCCCTGGGGGTTTGGGGGAGAGGAAGGACAGCACAGTGAGGCGATGAGAGGACTCGGTCACACTGCCTGTGTCTGGGGCTTGTCAGTCACTGTCAGCCTGACTGTGGGGTCCCAGCCCTGGGCACCTCCAGCAGGTCAGGGGAATGCAGGGGTGAGGGTAGGGGTGAGGGCAGGTTAGGGAGCCCACCCCCGACTGCAGCTCCTTTGGAAATATTTAGTTCCCCAAAACGTTGGGGGACCCCTGGGGCCCCCATGGTATGTGTTTGGGACAGCTGGGAAGAGGCAAGCTGATCCTGCAGCTCCAGCTCTAGCCCTGGAGAAGCCCCCAAGGATGCAGGTGTGTGGTCAGCTGAGGAGTCAGAACAGCAGTGAGCAGGGCGAGGAGCCCTGAGGGCGTCCCCACTTTGGGGGTGGGGGGGCCATCTGTGCCTTCTTCCTGGGCTGAGCCATGTGCCTGGCACTGAGTAAGCCTGTACTGTGGAATGAATGAATGAATGAATGAATGAATGGCTATTGAGGTGATGCCAGGCTGGGCGTTCCCACTCAGGGCTTCATTCCTGGGCAGACTGACTGATGAGTGACAGAAGCTGGCATGAGGTCTTCTGGAAAGTAACAGTCAGGTGACAGGCAGGAAAAAAGCCTTTTATCCTGGGCACCCCTGAAGCCTTCCATAGACTTTTTCTTGGGTGGGGGGGGGTCACACCGGACAGTGCTCAGGGCTTACTCCTGGCTCTGCACTCAGGAATTACTCCTGGCGGTGCTTCGGGGACCATATGAAGGTAAAAATCATATGAAATATTTCATTTTTCATCTCTTTCCATTCCTATTTTTGTTTTTCCAAAAACTTAGAATTTTTACCTTAAGGAATTTCAAATTTCACATCACAGATCTGAACGGGGCTTTCAGAAAGCCCAGCCTGCCTGCCCCTCAGGACCCTCTAAAGACCAGGGGCGGGGCAAGCTCTGAGTTGTCAGTATGGGGCCCTCAGCAGGACTGGGAGAGCAGCATTGGGGGGCGTACTACAGCTTGTGAGCTGAAGTCATGTTTATGTGTATGTACATGTGTGTGCAAACGTGCACATGTGTGTACACATGTGCACATGTGCATACATGTTTGAACATGCATACATGTATGAGTGTTTTATGTGTGGGCATGTGCATGTGTGAGAACAAGTGTATGTGTGAGCATTGTGTACATGTGTGTGCAAGCATGTATACATGTGTGAGCATGCGTGTACGTGTGGGCATGTGTGCATGTGTGTGGAAGCATGCATACATGTATGTGTGCAGGACTGTGGAAACAAGGAGCATTTCTTCTTGGGGGCGCCTGTCTGCACTCTCCAGGCCCCCAGTGGCTGCACTGTCCTTCCACACTGGGGGTCCCACCCTTTCTCTCCCTCAAGGCCTCTTATCACTATGGGGGCTCCTTTCAAGGCTCCACCCCTTCCCTCAGAGCCTTCCCTGCCGGCCAGTCTAGGCCTGGCTTTGCTAAGCAGAAGGGGGACTTTCTTCCCTGCGGGCGCTCGCCCAGCCCCACTCTCTCCCGGGCTAGGTCCACTGGACCGAGACAGTTGTGGACGTGTCCCCGTCTTCTCTCAGTCCTTTCCCCGCTAATGTTGTCTCTCCTGTCTCCTCCGCAGTCAGACTGGTTCTTCAGTGACGACGAGGACAAGGGAGAGCGAGTGAGTGACGTGGGGGGCAGCGGGGTGAGGAAGGTCCTCGTCCTGGGGGGCCCAGGCTGGTGGCGGAAACACCAAGTCCCCTTTCCTCAGGCAAGTCCAGCTTGAGGCGGGGGTGGGGGGGCGTCAGGAGCTGGCGGCCTGGTGCCCAGAAGGGCCCGTCTGAGGGGACGTGCAGCCCCTCCCCGCCAAGGGAGCAGCTTGGCCTCTGGGCTCCAGGCAGCAGGTGGAAGCTGCCCGCCGCAGGCTCCCCAGCCCTCTGCAGACACGCTGGCTGACTGCCCCTCTGTCCGTAGACCCCCGTGGATGACAAGGAGCCTCAGTCGGTGCCCAACATCGAGTACCTTCTACCCAACATTGGCAGGACAGTGCCCCCTGGTGACCCGGGATCAGGTGAGGCCCGGGCCAGGGGGTGGGGGGCTCTGCATTCCTGGGGGTCCAGAGGCTTCCCGCCCTACCCCCTGAGACTGGGCTGTGGCTCGCTCTGAGGAGGGCCTGCTGGGAAGGTCCAGTCAGTGGGGTGCCCATAGGGGCTGGCCCCTCCCCACCCCGGGTGGCGGGACTGGCTCCCCTCCTTCCCATCTCTCCCACAGCTTCTCCCCCCCCTCGGGCTGTGTTTTTCTGGGCATGTTCCTCTTTTTAATTTTTCTTCCTTTTCTCCTTCTGCCTCTCTCTCCTCCCCTGTGCGCTCCTCCCTCCTCACCCCTCCCCGCCTCCAGCGGACCTGGTGGAGATTTAAAGGGTACAGTGCAGTGTCGTGCCTCGGTCACTAACAGTGGCGGGTGATTATAAGAAGGTTGGGCAGCCCCCCGGGAGGGGCTGTAGCTCGTGACCCCTCCCGCCAGCTCCCCCTGTTCCCCTAAGCCAATGCTAGAACTTTTGGCCATCTCCAGTTATCCAGGCTGGACTGGGACAGGCACCAACCTTTCCAGACACCTCTAGAAATACTCTTTCTGCCTCAGTCACCCCTGATGGCAGGACCCCTCAGCCATTTCCAAGGCTCTGCCCCCTCCAGTCACAGCAGTGAGGACACATAAAAGGTCACCTGTCCTGGATCAGAATCATAGTACAGCCGGGAAGGCAGCAGCCTTGCACACAGCAGACCTGGTTTCAACCCCCAGCATCCCATATGGTTCCCTGAGCACTGCCAGGAGTGATCCCGAGAAATAAGACCTGAGTACTGCTAGGTGTGACCCCCCTATAAAGGGGGTGTTGGAGCAATAATGTAGTTGGTGGATTGCAGGACGCTTGCCTTCCTCTATCCCCAGCACCCTACATGACCCCCTGAACCCCACCAGGAGTAATCCCTGAGCACAGAATCAGGAGAAAGCCCAGAGAACCACCAGGTGTAGCCCAAAGGCTTAAAAAAAAAAAAAAGAAAAAAGAAAGAAAACAGAACATGGCCACGGTCCTTCTGGGCTCCAGCATAGCCCCCACCCCTGGCCCAGCTGCCCCGTGGTTCTTGAGTTCCAGCCTCTGCAGAGATGCCCATTGGCTGCTTACATAGGGGTAGGGCTGGCGAGGGGCACCCATCTCTTCTGATCACCCGCCGCAGTCCCCTGCCCTGTGTGTCTTTTGTGTGGTGCCCCCATCTGCTCTCTCACCTGGGGGTGCGGGGAGGTGGGGCGTCTAACTGCTTACCAGAGTGTGTGGGTTAACCGCCCCAGCTCACCCCAGCCTGGGAGATGAGGTCACCGCCACTGTTTGCTGGTTCCTTCTCCCCACCCCCACTCCTGTGATTTCATGATTCCGGTCCCCAAGAAGAAGAGAGGTCCCTGCTAATCAATAGGGTCATTGCCCCAAAGGCAGTAGACCTCTGGAGGTGTTTCCTGTGGCTAACTCCACCTCCTGCACCCGCCCTGCTCTGATCAGCCCCCCGCCCCATCATCCTCATCATGTCCCAGTGTGGATATGGGGGTTCATCTCCATGCCCATGTGGTCTTCATGTGTCCCACGCATCCGTGACGTGCTGTGTGTCACTGCCGTGGTGTGTGGTCTGCATCTGTATTTGACATTTTCTCTCTGGCACTTCAGTTTCAGGGCCAGGAGGGTGCGGGGAGGGGCTGGGCCCTGGACAGAGGCGGTGTGATGTCACTTCCTGCCCCCAGAGGGACAGTAATTGACGTCACTGTCTGTCCCATCCTTCCCCACGTTGGGGCCGGGAGGGGCAGGTCTCTGAACCCCTCTCTGAACCCTTTGAGGGAATTGGGCTCACGGCTCCAGCTTCCTCTGCCCTGATCCAGCCCTCATTTTCCTTTGTTTATCGCCAACAGATTCCACCACCTGCAGCTCAGCCAAGTCCAAGGTGAGTGCCAAGGCCGTAGTGGAGGCTTCCTCCCGACTAGACTGCTTTGCTCTGTGGCCAAAGAAGGCCGTTCGATGGTCATTAGAGGCCCAGTGGGCACAGCCAAGTGTCCACGGTCAGCTGAGAGGTCATTCCTGGGTAGCACATGATGAGATAGAAGATTCTGGATGTGAGTTGGGTGACCAGGAGGCAGCCTTGCCCGGGGAATGGAGCCTGAGGTCTGGGCATCCCTGGCAAGTTCCCTTCCTCCTCTGGCCCTCCTCTCTCATCTTCCTCACTCCCTGGAGGATGCCCCGATCCCCGTAAGGGGCTGACAACCCATGGTCGGATTTAACAGTCCTTGGGAGCCCTGAGCCAGCAGAAGGAAAAAAAAACAAAATCACGAATGCACCAAGGAGAGAGTTCAAAGGGTTGGGCCGTGTGGTTCCTAAAACAGGTCCCATGAGTGCTGCCACAAGTAATCTCTGAGCACTTTACAGGGAGGAGCTTCCCCAGCCTTGCCCCCGCCCCCAGTGATGAGGGGTGAGGCCTTGAGCTATCTTGCAGGCCCCATCTCCACGGTATCTAATGACAAGCTAAGGAAGCGTGTGCTGCCTATAGCCTCAGTGTAGGGGGCTCCTGGGGAGGCCAGGAGTGGGGCACCGGCTGCTAGGCATGGGGCATCTTCTCTTGGTGCCCAGGGCTTGGCCCCTCACAAGGCTGAATCCTGAACACCCCTGCTTTGTTATCCCCTAGTTTGAAATAGGAAGTGATGGCCGGGGGTGGGGGGTACAGTGATTACAGCGCAGCAGGGGCAGCTGGCAGCGTGGGGTTGCCCAAGGCTTCCTGGGTTGAGGGGACTCCCCTCATCCCTTTTTTATTCTCTGAACATGGATGGAACAGCTGGTACATGCCAGGCGCTAACCCACATTCAACTCACCCTCTCAAGGAAGCCAGCTGGGCACAGCTGGTGCAGGGAACAAGTGTACAAGCACATGTACATGTAGAGGTGGGCACAGGGTGGGGTCCCTCTCCCCAGGCTCAGCCCCTGGTGGCTGAGGGGTTGCCCTGGGGAGCAAGATTCATCTCACAGATAGTGAGAGGGCACTGGGGCTGCTGGGAAGGTGCCCGCAGGTCCTAGAGAGGGAAGGGCGGGGGGCTGCCCGACCCCCAGTGCAAACCAGGGAGGGCCAAGTGGCTCTGCAGGAGTCATACAGTCATACAATATTCCGACACCGTCCCTTCACCAGTGGAACCTCATGTCTTAAAATGTGGGCCGTGACCCCATTTTAAGAGGTACTTAAATATCAGGAGGGTCCCTAAAACGTCCACAGGTTTCTGAGTGAGCAGCGACCAAAAATGAATTCAAATCAAACACATAATGAATCGAGGTGTTTCTGGCAGCGCTAGCCCATGTTGCATTTCTCAGGTGAAAAGGGATCCTGAGTGGATAAAGGTGAAGCAACCCCATCCTGGAGAAGGGGATTTCCCAGGGCCGAGGACAGAGGCGAGAGAGAAGCTGAGAACAGAGTCCTGGGAGTGACTGATTCGGTGCTCAGGGATCACTCCTGATAGTGCTCAGGGGACCATATGTAGTCCCAGAGATGGAATCCGGATCAGCCTCGTGCAAGCAAGTGCCTTAAAGCCTGTACTGTTTCTCCAGCCCAGAGCACACTTATACTCCCACTCACAGTGGGATGAGAGGAGGAAGCGCCTCCTGAAAGGCTGAAGAGAGAGAAGACAGGCAGAGAAAGGGGAGTGGAAAACCAGGCTGAGGTGGCAGGTGGCCATGTGGCCTCTGCTGGGGTGTGGGAAAAGGCCAGGTCCCAAATCTCCCAGGGGCCAGCCTGAGAGCAGTAGCAGGGAGACACCAGTTTCAGCTTGGTCATGAGGGATTCTCAGGCAGCAGAGGGTGGCGGGATGGATGGGCTGTGGGGGACTGTCATTGTGGGGTTTTGGCTGAGGGTGGAGTTTGGGGGAAGTCAACTTGGTCCACTGTCTAGAGCAAGCTATGGTGATTCCAAGGTCGGGGGGTGGGCGCAGCGGAAGTTCTGGAGTGGATACTGCAACTGCAGCTGCACAGGGATGGGGAGGCTTCACTGAAGCTAATGGGGTTGCGTGGCTGCTCTTGGGCCTAGGGAGAATGGGTGTGGATGTGCGTGTGTGTACTTACGGACCATGAGTGCACGATGTGTGAGTGTGTGTATGTGAGTGAATGTGTGTGTATATGTATTACAACATGTGAATATGTGAGTACAAGAGTTTGTGTGTATGTGTGAGTACTGGTGAATGTGATTGTTTATGAGTATATGTATGTATATGTGTGAGTGTAAGTATGTGTATGCATGTATGAGCATGTGTGAGTATATGTGTATGAACATGTGTATGTGTACAAGTTGAGTGTATGTGTATATATGTAAGAGTGAATGTGTATATGTAAGAGTGAATGTGTGTTTGAATGTGCATATATGTATGTATAAGAGGGTGTGCTTGTGAGTCTGTCTGTGAGTGTGTGTTTGAGTCCATGTCAGTATGAGTTTGTGAATGTGTCTGTGAGTGGGTGTGTGTGAGTATATGTGTCCGAGTGGGAGTGTATGTGTCTCTGAGTGTGTCTGTGATTATGTGTGTTTGTGTCTGAGTGGGAATGTGTGTATCGGTATCTGTGAGTGGGAGTGTATGTGAATGTCTGAGTGGGAGTATGTGTATGGGTGTCTGTGAGTGGGAGTGTGTGTGTAGGTGTCTGTGAGTGGGAGTGTGTGTGTATGTGTGCGGGTATGTGAGTGGGAGTGTATGGGTGTCTGTGTGAGTGGGAGTGTTTGGGTGTCTTTGTGAGTGGGAGTGTGTGTGTAGGTGTCTGAGTGGGAGTGTGTGTGTGGGTATGTGTGAGTGGAAGTGTGTGGGTGTCTGTGTGTGTCTGGGAGTGTGTGTGTCATTGTGTGAGTGGGAGTGTGTGTGTAGGTGTCTGTGAGTGGGAGTGTGTGTGTGGGAATGTGTGTGTGTGGGTGTCTGAGTGGGAGTGTGTGTGTGGGTATGTGTGAGTGGAAGTGTGTGGGTGTCTGTGTGTGTCTGGGAGTGTGTGTCATTGTGTGAGTGGGAGTGTGTGTGTAGGTGTCTGTGAGTGGGAGTGTGTGTGGGAATGTGTGGGTGTGGGTGTCTGAGTGGGAGTGTGTGTGTGGGTATGTGTGTGTGTGGGTGGCTGAGTGGGAGTGTGTGTGGGTATCTGGGAGTGTGTGGGTGGCTGAGTGGGAGTGTGTGTGGGTGTCTGGGAGTGTGTTTGGGTGTGAGTGGGAGTGTGTGTGGGTGTCTGTGTGAGTGGGAGTGTGTGTGGGTATGTGTGTGAGTGGAAGTGTGTGTGTGGGTGTCTGAGTGGGAGTGTGTGTGGGTGTCTGTGTGAGTGGGAGTGTGTGTGGGTATGTGTGTGAGTGGAAGTGTGTGTGTGGGTGTCTGAGCGGGAGTGTGTGTGGGTGTCTGTGTGAGTGGGAGTGTGTGTGGGTATGTGTGTGAGTGGAAGTGTGTGTGTGGGTGTCTGAGTGGGAGTGTGTGTGGGTGTCTGTGTGAGTGGGAGTGTGTGTGGGTATGTGTGTGAGTGGAATTTGTATGTGTGGGGGTGTCTGAGTGGGAGTGTGTGTATGGGCGTCTGTGTCTGGGAGTGGGAGTGTGTGTGTGTGTGTTAGTGTGTGGGAGTGTGTGTGGGTATGTGTGTGAGTGGAAGTGTGTGTGTGGGTGCCTGAGTGGGAGTGTGTGGGTGTCTGTGTGAGTGGGAGTGTGTGTGGGTATGTGTGTGAGTGGAAGTTGTATGTGTGGGGGTGGCTGAGTGGGAGTGTGTGTATGGGCGTCTGTGTCTGGGAGTGGGAGTGTGTGTGAATGTCTGAGTGGGATTGTGTGTGTGTGTGTGTGTCGGTGTGTGAGTGGGAGTGTGAATGCCTGTGTGTGGGTGTCTGTGTGTCTGGGAGTGGGCGTGTCCCTGTGTCCCGGGGGCCGCGTCTCCCCTTCCCGGGCCCTCCGTCGGGGTGCCCGGGGCTGACGTGCCGTGTCCCCGCAGGGCTCGTGGGCGCCCAAGAAGGAGCCGTACACCCGGGAGATGCTGGCGATCTCCTTCATCTCGGCCGTCAACCGCAAGCGCAAGAAGCGGCGGGAGGCGCGCGGCCTGGGCAGCAGCACGGACGACGACTCGGAGCAGGAGGCGCTCAAGGCGGGCCCGGGCGGCGCGGAACCGGCGCCGGCGCCGCTGGCGGGCGCGGCGGCACCCGAGGCGCGCGGGGCGGCGGCGGCGGCGGCGGACACGCGCTCCATCGTGTCGGGCTACTCCACCCTGTCCACCATGGACCGCAGCGTGTGCTCGGGCGCCGGGGGCCGGCGGGCGGGCGCGGGCGACGAGGCGGACGACGAGCGCAGCGAGCTGAGCCACGTGGAGACGGACACGGAAGGCGGCGGCGCGGGGCCCGCGGGCCGCCTGGGGCGCCGGCCCTCCTTCAGCTCGCACCGCCTCATCCCCTGCGACACGCTGGCGCGCCGCCGCCTGGCGCGCGGCCGCCCGGACACCGAGGGCGCGGGCGCGGGCGCGGGCCGCGGCGGGCCGCGCGCCGTCGAGGGCCCGGGCTCGGCGTCGTCCAGCAGCCAGGAGTCGCTGCGCCCCCTGGCGGCCGCGGCGGCGGCGGCGCTGGGCGCGCGACCCTCGCGCCTGGAGGCGCTGCGCCTGCGCCTGCGCGGCACCGCCGACGACATGCTGGCCGTGCGGCTGCGGCGCCCGCTGTCCCCCGAGACGCGGCGGCGCCGCAGCAGCTGGCGGCGCCACACGGTGGTGGTGCAGAGCCCGCTCACCGACCTCAACTTCAACGAGTGGAAGGAGCTGGGCGGCGGGGGCGCCCCGGAGCCCGCGGGGCCCCGCGCGCACAGCGACAACAAGGACTCGGGCCTCAGCAGCCTGGAGTCCACCAAGGCGCGCGCCGCGCCCGCGCCCGCACCCGCGGACCCCGGGGCCCCGCACGGCCAGCCCCCGCGCCGCTCGGCCGCCGCCCGCCTCCACCAGTGTCTGTGACGGGGCTCCCCGGGCGCGCCCCCTTCCCGTGCCCGGCGCCCCCCCTCTCCCCAAGGTCATCTCTGTTCCCCGCACCGAATTGGGGCCGCTGGGGTCGGTGGCCGAGAAAAGGGGGTGCCTCTCTGTGCCTGCACTTAGGGACCCCCGTCGGCCGGGGCGGGGCGGTGGAGAGCCGAGACCCCCAAGTCTCGGGCTGAGAGACTGGGTGTCGCTGGCTTTTCACTTTTCCTTCTACCCCACCACCAGCTCCTGCTCCTACCGGGGGGGGGGGGGATGTGGGGATGGGGGGGTGGAGAGGGCACCTGCCTTAGGTGCGCACTGGTCTGCCCCACCCCCTTGCTGCTCTTCAGACCGGAGAAGGGGTGGTGACAGCGAGTGTCACCAGGGTTACCCCCCCATACCCACCTTTTCCCAGCCTCTAAGTCCTGGACACCCTCCCCCCGCCAAGAAAAATAAACAACAAAACCCGGCAAGCGCGTTGACTATGGGGAGTTGCTATTCCCCAGTTTGGGGAAGGCTCAGAGTCCCCCTGACTAGACTGCCCTGTTCTGTCTTGCAGGGGTGTCTGCTGCACACTCGGGCACACAGACGCCCCGCCCCCCAGTTTATCCACCTTAGGATGGCCCCAGTCAAATGCCCCTGTCTGTCTGTCTGTCTGTCTGACTCACGCACACAGCACACACCGACTCGCTGCCTGACTTGGGGTCTGAGCTGGTTCCTTTAGGATGGGCGGGACCCAGCCCCCTCCGCACCCCCCCATGTTGTAAATAGATCACGAGCCTCCCCCACACACACATACACACACCCTCACTCATTCCAGGGAAGCCCCATGGGTTGTGAACCCTGCTGCCCCCCCACAGCCCCCTCTCTCAGTACCCCTCGTTTTATGCAAAGACTTGCTGTAGATTTCTCCCTCCCCTCCCTCTTGTAAATATTGTCTCAATGTGTAACATATTATAAAGAATTTATAAGGATTTTTAAAGCTGTTTTGCTCATTTAAAAGAAGTGTTGTAACAGTGTTGGAGCCGCATGTCCCCTTCTACCGTGTGCTTTGACACACCTCTCCAGGCGACAACTAAGATTTCCCGCTTCTGAAAAGTTGTGTCTTAAAGTATAGTCTATATCTTGGAAATAAATGGCCTTCCTGGAGGCTGGAGTCTGCCTTCTTCTTGCTTGTTTTGGAGGGTGGGGTGGAGCGGGAGGGGGGTGACTGAAGGGAAGGTTGAGGCAAACTTAAACCTCCTGGCAGCTTTGTGGGGTTTCCCATCTGAGCAAGGACTTGGGCACAGAGAACCTGCTAGAAGACCCATGATCCCTGGGTTCACTCCCTAGCATTGCAGGAACACTGATGCAGCCACACAGCAATACATAGATGATTCTATTTTAGATGATTTGATTTGATTTGTATTGCTTGGGGGCCGCATCTAGCTTTGTTCAGGTGTTACTCCTGGCTCTGTGCTCAGGGATTACTCCTGGCGGTGCTGGGGGACCATACAGGATGCCGGGGATTGAACCTGGTTCAGCTGCGTACAAGACAAATGCCCCACCTGCTGTACTATTGCTCCACACCCAAATTATTTAATTTTAAAAAGAAAAGAACTACTAAGATGACCAGGCTAGCTAAAATGCAAGGGCACTAGATGGTAGTTTGAGTTCACACAAAGAAACAGTAGGATGATGATAGGGATCAGGAAAGACATTATAAAGACTTTTTTGGGGGGGGGGGGTAAATCGTTTTTGTCTTTAAAGGGCAGCTGTATAAAGAATTACTGCAAAACTGTTGACAGGCTTATGCGTAAAGATGAAGTTTGTATGACAATCATGAAGGAACAGGGAGGGAATGGGGTTACAATGAAACAAAGATTTTGTATACTAACAAGATAAATTAAAGGGGTCAGAGGGATTGTACAGCAGGTAGGATGTTTGCCTTACACATGGTTGACCCAAGTTTGATCCCTGACATCCCGTTTGGCTTCCTGAGCACTGCCAGGAGTAATTCCTGAGTGCAGAGTCAGGAGTAGCACCTGAGCATTTTGCTGGGTGTGACCCAAAAAGACACACACAAAAAAAGATTAAATTAGAGTCAGGGGCTGGAGTGATAGTACAGCTGGAGGGTGTTTGCCTTGCATGTACAGATCCGGGTTTGATCCTCAGTGCTACATATGGTTTCACAAGCCCCACCTAGAGTGATCCCTGAGTGGAGAGCCTGGAGTAGACCCTGACACCACCAGTTGTGGTCCCCCCAAAACAAGAAGATTAAGTTTGAATCCGTCTATTATATTTGGGGGCGTGGGATACCTCCAGAAGTACTCAGGGTCATTGCTCAGGAATTCATCACCTCCTATGCTCAGGGGACCATATGCAGTGTTGGGGATTGAACCCATGTAGGCCGAGTGCAAAGTGCCTCAGCCCCCATACTATCTCTCTGGCCCTATTTATAGTGTGTGTTTTGGTTTTGGGGGCCACACTGGAGGTGCTAGGGGTAACTCATGACTTTGCACTCAGAGATCACTCCTGGCGCGGCTTGGGGAACCTCAGGTGCTGAGGATAGAATCCAGGTCAGCGACATGCAAGTCAAGTGCCTTACCTGTAGTACTGCCACTCTGGCTCCATCCACTTGTCAGTTAAAGACCCCCCCCCCCACACACACACTTAAATGTGCCATGCTTCCAGAGTTGGTCCTGCTTCCTAGTGGCACTTTTCATCATGGCTCTAGATTTCACTCAGTCATTGCCTTTGCTTTCTCAAAGTGAGAATGGGGGCCTCCCTGCTAGACACTGAACCTCATCCCATGAGCAGCGGTGGGGAGGGGACATCCTCTGACTCTGGCAGGATGAACTGACTGCCAGCCCAGCACAGTTCCTGGTACTTGATCTCGACCTGTCCACAAGTGAACGTTTGTGGCTCGGTGGCAGAGCACAGGCTTCGTATGTGAGAGGCTCTGGCTTTCACCTTTGGCACCACCAAATTTTTTTTGGGGGGGGGGGGCTGAAAAAGCACATGAGGTTTGGCCAGAGGGCTGCTTGGCAAGGAGCTCAGAGATATGGCTCAGTGATAGAGTGCCAGCCTGGCCAGCAGGAGGACACTGAGTTCAATCTCCCCTACTCTGCACTTGAGGAATCCCTGGGACCAGACAAAAGTGCTATTTCTTTTGTTTTTGTTTATGGCCCACACCTGGGGTTACTCAGGGCTTACCCCTGGCTCTTAGCCCAGGAACCACTCCTGGTGGGCTTGGAGGACCAGAGGGGGTGCCGGGAATCAAACCCGGGTCAGCTGCCTGTGAAGGAAGCACCCTCCTGGGCACACTTCCACTTCGACCCCTTAAGGGCTATTTCTGGTGTACCAGGATCAGATTATGTGAGCTCTGATCAAATAAATGACGACAAAGAGAAGGGAGTGGTGGGAGCAACTAGTACAGCAGGTAAGGAACTTGCCTTGCACGCAGCTGACCTGGGTTCAAGCTTCTTCATCCCCTGAGCACCACCAGGACTGATTCCAGAGTGCAGTTAGGAGTAACCCCTGAGCACTGCCCAGTCTGTCCCCCAAACTAAAAAATTGAAAAAGAATTTTAAAGAAGTAAACTAAAAGTCTCTTTCTCAGTCACCTAGATGCACACGATGCTGGCAGCTCCTCACCGGCAGAGGGGAGGCGCTGAGCACTGTTAGTCCACCTTGGCGTGGACTTGCACCTTAGAAGAGGCTCTGACTTTCACCTTTGGCACCACCATTTTTTTTTGGGGGGGGGTGAAAAAGCACATCCAGGATTCCCTCCTAGCCCTGGTGGGCAGTAGCGCCCCCCACACTCCTCCTGGGCCCGGGATATACGTAGGGCTAATCGCTGCTTGGGGTTCCCTAACTTTCATCCCACCCAGTCCAGCCCTTTCCAGGGTGAAGGGGGAAATAACGAGACAGCAGGTAGGAGATCCAGGAGAGGAAAAAGAAACCAGTTTTATTGAAGCCCCAAACACTCGGCTAGAAAAACCGAAAAGGAAAGAGAGCAGGGAAGTGGGGAGAAGAAAAAGGACATTAAAAAAGAGACAGAAAACACAGCAACCCTTTCCATTTAGAAATTGTCAAGTTACACCGACAGAGGTCACAGAATATCCACAGAAGCTGCCACTGCTACACCAACACGGGCCCTACAGGGGTGACAGGGTGAGGTGCGGGGTCAGGCCCGCGGGACCCCACTGGGAGCCCCTGTCCGAGCCTCGGGCCTGAGGCTCCCGGGGAAACAGCATATTGTGGCAGGGGTGGGAGAGAAACCCCCCATGCGAGTAACACAGCACAGTGGGTGGGGGCTGGGGGGCCAGGTACAGGGGTCCCCCCAGATGTCTTAGTTTTCTCTTGGTCAAGCACACACTGATGGACGGAGTAGCGAGGCGCATGCAGCTGGGGAGGCACGTGCTGTGGGCTTGGAGAGGACCTGAGGGGTGCTGGGGAGGGCAGCCGGGGCAGGTGGGGCAGGGAGATGGTGCACACGCACACACGTAGGCTCGCGCACACGCACACGCGCACACACACGTGCACGCTCACAGCCTCCACGCACAGCCATTCACACATGATAATACGTTACGTATATTATCATCTGCACACCTGACGCGGTCCCAGGCAGGCTGCACGCACTGAGTGCACACACGAGTGGGTGGGAGTGGTCACGCGCGCGCACACACACACTCACACGCGCGCGCATGCACACGTACCGCGCGAGCACACACGCACGCACACGGAGGCGGCACGCTCCTTGCAAAGCCTCTCAGCCAGAAAATGTGCAGGAACCAGAGTGAAAGATGCGAATCCCACGGGGCTCCACGTGGGGGGCGGGGCGGCAGGGCGGGCCGGGCACGTGGCTCCCTCCCCCCGCCCCTCGTGGGTGGAAACCTCCTCCCCACCTCTCCCCCACAAAGGGACAGTCAACTCAGGACAGTGACAGTGGGGGGCACACATTCAGATCACTGGGCTGGGGGCAAGCGAAAAGTAGCAAGCAAAGAGTAAAGGGGCGGAGGGGGACGGGGACATCACTCCCCCTTCCCCGCCCAAGCCAGGGTGGGTGGGGTCTCTGTACAGCCAATCAGGTCAAAGCGCGTCACCGCCCCACCCAAGCCAGGCCCGTGTGCCCGCCCTCCTGCCCCTCCCCCGCCCTAACAGCGGCCAGGAGGGAGCCGTGCTTCCTTTTTTTTTTCCTTTTTTAAATATTTATATATATTTATATTACGTATATTATATATATAATATGTAAATATATTTTTAAAACAATATAAAATGTTAAGACACTTCACTTAAATGTAAAGAGTTGCCTGCAATTAAAAGTAATTGCATCATTTATGAGGTCCTTTTTTTTTTTCCAGGATTTTTTTTTTTCAGGAGGGGCTTTTTTTCCCCCTCTTTTGTTATTTTTCAAAAAGGCTTGCTTGCCTTTGTACAAAAATGATCCAAAGCTAGGAAACAAGGATGAATCAACCAAAAAAAAAGAAAGAAAAAAAGAAATGAAGAAACCCAACCCAGTTTCCCCCTCCCCAGAGTCGACAGCTCCCCCGGCCCTCCCCAAGCACCACTTCCGGCAGGCCCCGGATGGAGGCGGCTCCCCCATCCATCTCCTTTCTGTGCTTACTAGGGGAAACTGACTCCTACAACTCCACTGTGCTTCCCCACACTTTGTGCTGCAACCAGCAACCCTGCTGCCTGGGGGAACGCCCCATCTCCTCTGGACCCCTCTCCTCCCCCTGCTAGGCTTCACTGTCCTCTCTGGGTGGGTGCTGCAGGGCTGGGTCCAAAATCAGCCTCTCCTCCCCCTCGGGGCCCAGTGGGAAGCCTCACAGCCCAGGGCCTGGGGGGATCACCAGCTCCCCACTTAAAAGCACCCCTTCCCTGAAAGATCTGAGATAGGAGGGTGAGAGGCCAGATCCCCCGACTGTAGGATTGATGCTGTCCTGGCTACCCTCCACCCTAGCCCCTTTCCTTTTGTCCCATTTCCCTCACTGCCAGACCCTTCCCACCGGCCAGGCCTCAAAATCTAATTCTCTAGGCCCCGCCTTCAATAAATAAGGTAAAGTCCGTGTAAGTGCTAAATCAGGGAACTAAACGTACAGAACACCTCTCCCGGGGCTGCCCTCTCCCAAGTCAGGATGGCGGCTCCCCAACAGTCCCAAGGGCCTCTTTTCCTTGCCCTCCATCCCAAGCAGTTCCTCCCCTTGGGGAGCCCCATGAAGCCCACACCCTTCCCCCAGGCCCAAATTCAGGAACCTCCCGCCCAGCCAGGGGCCCCTCAGGCAGGGAGCCCAGAGTTCCATCACTTCCAGGCTCCAGGCGGGAGGGCTGGGGCACCTCCAGGGCCAGTCTCCCAGCAATGCACCCCATTTTGCAGCCAATCCATTGTCCGGGGAGTCCTGTGGGTAGGTTTCCGAGGAAGGGGAGAGGGTGTCTCTGCGCTCCAAGGCTCCGTGGCTCAGTTGTTTGAAGAGCTCTTGGGAAGGTCAGGGAAGGCGGGTGGGAAGGAGGGCGGGGACTTGGGGATGGACATGGAGGAAGAGTGGGGGAGAGAAAGGCAGGGATAAGGACCGGAAGAGGGCCCTTCCGGAACAGGAAGTCAAGGGAAGGTGGTGTGTTTTGGCTTTTAGTTTGACTGTTTTGTCTTTTACTTTTTTATTAAAAAAAAAAAAAAGATAATTGAAAGAGAATGCTTTCAAAAAAACCAAAAACACCCCCAGGGGATGGTATATAGGGGGGGGCCATGCCTGTGGCCCACCCTAAGGAGGGTCCTGGAGAATGGGGTGGGGTGTGGGGAGATGAGGGGACAAAGTGCAGGGGGAGAGATGGCAGGGGTGAGGGGGGACAGGCTGGGGTGGGAGTGTGAGGGGCCTTCTAGAAGGAGATGGAAGAATTCCTCGCCCCAAAGGAAGTCAATACGGGAATGGAGGTTCTGGAAGCCGAGGGCTTTTCTGAGACTGGGCTCGAGGTCTCATTCGACCCGCTCATTTCTTTAGATGGTTTAGTGGCCTGGAACAAAAACAGGGGTCAGGGGTCAGAGAGAGGAGGGAGAGCCTTCGTGCTGGCCCCCCGGAAGTGTTAAAAAGGAGAAGCAACCCGAGGGGTCACCAGAGAGAGTGGCCCCGGAGACAGGGGAGGGGGGCCAGACAAGGGCAGAAAGGGGGGACACGAAGGGGGTGGGGCGAAGGAGCCGGGACCTGGGTGCGAGGCCCGCGGTCACTGGGCGGGGAGTGAGAAGGCGGAAGAGGCCAGAGGCGCACGCACAGGGGGACCAGCCCGGGGCGGGCAGACAGGGTGATGGGGGAGAGGCAGGGGAGGAGAAGGGGGGGGAAAGAAGAAGGGAAAAGTTAGCTGCCATGGGGTGCCGGGGAGCTGGGGAGGGCCCCCCCCACTGCCAGCAGCCCAGCCAGGCCTCCTCTCCACGCTGGCATGTTCTGCTGCGGGCACTTTCCTAAGGAGAAAAGGCCACGCCCTGGCCTCAGTGGCCACCAAGGAGCTATGCTGGGGTGAGCAGGAGCCCCCTGTAAGCAGAAGGCACTTGAAGGACACAGGGTCCCTAACAAGGGAGCCAGGCATTCCTTGGCCTTGCTGAAGGAGGGACACGGCCTGGAGACTCATGGATGGGGTGCTGGAGGGGGGCTCCCGCCACCTCCCTCCAACCTGGGTCCCACAAAGCCCTCTTGGGGTCAATGGGGAGCCCTGACATCTCTGCTTTGCTCCCCACACCGTACCCGCTGCCTGTGTGTCCCCCTTAGGAGAAATCAAGGTGAGCCCCAGGGACCCCTTCATCACTGCGTCCTCTGCCCAGTGCCACCCTGTGCTGGACTGGCCCTGCTTGGGGCCTCCAGCCCCCGGCCCGGAGCTGAATTCCTTTCCTCACCAGCAGAAATGAGTCAGCGGCAGAACCTGGTCCAGGATGCCCAGGGCCGTGGCAACGCACGCAACACATGCAGAAGCTGCCAGTGTGCGCGGCCCCGACTGACTCCCCGAGTCTCCCGGCCAGGAGAGGCGCCCCCTCCCAGAGCCCCAGCAAAGATTCCCGGGGTGCACTGTGAGTGTCTGCGCTGAAAATTTCTTTCGGGCAGCCCTTGCTCTGAAAGCCTCACCACAAAGACAGCCAAGACCCATGTCTCTGAGGCTGGGAAGCCCAGCAGTACCCTGTGTCACCTCTGCCTGGGACACAATCCCAGAGTGCCCTGTGTCCCCTCAGGCTGGACAGCATCCCACAGTGTCCAGTGTCCCCTCAGGCCAGAACAGCGTCCCACAGTGCCCTGTGTCCCGGGGGGGGGGGGGGGGGAGGAGGGGTGTCTGGCTCTGACACCTGCTCCAAGCCCTTCCCCAAGACTCTCCCCCTGAGAATCTGACTCCCAATTTGGGTCTTGGGGGCCATACCCTGCAGTGCTCAGAGCTGATCTACTTTTTGGTTTTTTTGGGCCACACCCAGGAGTGCTTAGGACTTACTCCTGACTCTGCTATGGGGCCATATGTGGTGCCAGGATCAAACCCGGGTCACCTAGTGCAAGGTAAGCACCACGCCCCACCCCCGTACTGAGTCTCTGGCGCTCTTCACTCAGGCTCACTCAGGGCAGGTTAAGGGGACAGGTTGAGTGCAGAGAGAGCGTGGAGTCAGCATGCAACTTCCCTGCTCTTCTCGCGCTGGCTCCAGCCCTGGGCCTCCTCTCACCTCGCATGACAGCTCTGCGGCAGCCAGCATGGAGCACCCCTGGCTCAGAACTTCGGCTCCCACCCAGAATTTCCCGGTGGCGCTTCTGCCCCTCCCGTCACTCAGGTACAGGAGAGGCAGGTCCCTGGGGTTCAGTGAGCCCCTTCCAGAGGACAGTGCTCTGTCCCTCACAGGCTCCGCCCATGGAGGAGCCTTGGCCAAGCTCACACACTGAGCGGGAGGGGCACGGGAGCTGGAACCTGCAGCGCAATGGGCAGCTCTCAGGAGGGCACCGGGCACCCTCTAACCAGAGCTGAGGGGCCCTGTGGATTTGGGAATACAGGGGACAGGGGAGGGGATGAGGGAGAGGGAAGGTGAGGGGATGAGGGAGAGGGACAGGGGAGAGGGATGGGGAGGGGACAGGAGAGAAGGAGGGGGAGGGAACAGGGGAGGGGGGAAGGGGAGAGGGACAGGGGAGAAGGATGGGGAGGAGACAGGGAGGGAACAGGGAGGAGGGGGAGGGGACAGGGGAGGGGACAGGGGAGAGGGAGAGAAAGGGGAGAGGGATGGGGAGGAGCAGGGAAGGAGAGGGGGAGGGGCAGGGGAGAGGGAGGGGGAGGGGGAAGGGGGGAGGGAAGGGGAGAGGAAGGGGAGGAGAGAGGAGGGAGGTGGAGGGACAGGGGACAGGGAGGGGAAAGGGGAGGAAAGGGAAGGGAAGGGGGAGTGACAGGAAGGGGGAGGGACAGGGGAGAGGGAGGGGGAGGGACAGGGGAGGGGACAGGAAGCCCAGGAAGAAGTCGGAAGGAGGTGCAGGAGCGAGCGGTTAAGACCCTCTTTTCTACTCACTTCTAAATTAATTACCAAGAACATGAAGATGCCTTGTTAAATGAAGAGAGAATGAAAGATAAGAGAAAGTAAGAAAGACGAGAGTGAGAGAGGGGCCACAGACAGTACAGCAGGGAGGGCACTTGCCTTACATGCAGGCAACCCAGGTTTGGTTTGTGGCATCCCCCTAGCACCGCCAGGAGTGATTCCTGAGTGCAGGGCCAGGAGCAACCCCCGAGCACTGTCAGGTGTGCCTCCCACCAAAAAAAAAGAAAAATGAGAGAGTGAGAGAATGAGAGACACAGAGACAGAGAGGAGAGACAAATGCGATCCCCTGAAACCTTCGGGAGCAGTCCTTGAGCACAGAGCCAGGAGTATACCCTGAGCACTGCCAGGTGTGGCCTCAAAGCCAAAAACAGAGAGAGCGAGAGAAGAGAGAGGAGAGAAGGCCAGAGCCGCAGCACAGCAGGCAGGGTGCCTGCTTTGGTCCCCAGCACCCCGCATGGCCTCCCCAGCCCCGCCAGGAGGGGTCCCTGAGCACAGAGCTACAGAGCTACAGAAGCAAGCCCTGAGCACTGCTGGGTATGGCCAAAAAAACAGGGAGGGAGGGAAGGAGAGAGGGAGCGTGCGGGAGAAGGGGAGCAAGAAGGGAAATGGACATGCGCTGACCTGGTTGCAGGGAAGGTTCCAGGGCTGAGGCAGGACAGGAGAGAGAAGGAGGGGAGGGGAGAGGTGAGAAGGATGAGTGGAGGGGAGAGAGGAGAGGGGGGAGGAGAGGGAAGGGGAGGGGAGGCTCGGGGAGGCTCCTGCGCGGGTGGGCCCCTGGGCGGGTGACATTTCCTGAGTGGAAGCAGCTGGGATGAGGCAGGGACAGATGGCGCTCGGCACCAGAGGCTGTGGTGTGAGGGGCGGAGCGGCCGGGAGAGAGGAGTGAAGAGGGAGGCTGAGGAGGACAGGGAGCAGGGCCCACTCAGCAGGGCGGGGCCTGGGAGTGGGGGGTGCGGGGTGGTGGGGGGCAGGTGAGAGAAGGGGAGGAGCCCCCTGACAGTGCTGGAGCCCGAGGAGGGGCTGGTGGGATACTCTGGAGGGACGCCCCAAGCCCCCACCTCAGGACCCGGCCTTAGCATCCCACCTGTCAAGTGGGCGCAGGGGTGCCACGAGCCCACCGCAGTCCCCAGCAAGGACACCCCACCGCTTGAGGCACCTCTTGGGCTGCAAGGAGAGACCTGGGGAGCTTATCCCCCACCATGGGGGCATGTCTGGGGGGGTCCTTGGGAGGGGACAGGCCAGCAGCAAACCCATGAGGCGAGGGTGTCAAGCGTGTGCGTGGATCTCACACACAAGGCTGAGCGCGGGCTGGTGTGGGGGGTCTTCCCTCCCCCCAAAGCCATGGGGCCCGGGCAGCCTGGCTCCTTTGAGCAGCGCCCCCCTCTGTACCGGAGGTCCCAGACCTCCCATCTGCGCCCAGAACCTTCTTCGGCGCACAGACAGTCGCTTCCCTGGCCCGCCACGGGAGTTGTGCAGAAACACAACCCCCGCGCCTCTGGGTTCGCAGAAACACGAAGAGGCGGCTCCACACACCTCCCCCAAGTCCCGGCAAGACCTGAGAGGGCACCGTGCCTGGCCTCCCTGAGTCCCGGGGCCCACTCAGCACCCCAGCCTGGAGGAGGACACCTCAGAACTTCTCCCTTTGCCAGGGAGTCCTGGGTGCTCTGAGAGGGGCGGGGGGAGCAGAGTCGAGGGCCACCGGGGCCTCCCACACTCAGGGATCCTGGGCGGCCACTGGCTGCCCGCACCCCCTGGCACAGCTAGGAGAGGGCCCTCTCGGCCCGCAAGGGGCCTTCCAGAGGCAGGAGAGAGAAGATGGTCCAAGCCTGGAGAGATGGCACAGTAGGTAAGGCGCTGCCTGCACCCCACATGGCCCCCCAAAACCTGCCAGGGTCACTCCTGAGCACACTGGGTAGCCCCCCAACCCCTTCCTACTGAAAGATGGGGGTGGCCAGGAGCTCCCGGGCAGCAGAGGAGGAGGCAGGACTCAGGGCTGGGCCTGGAGGTGACCAGGAGCCCCGGCAGGGCGGGCACGCGCGGGGCCTCACCTGCTGCTGGATCCGCATGTACTCGGCCGCCCGCTGCTTGCTGTGTTTGCCTTTGTCGGGGCTGCCCGCCGGACCCTGTGCCGCCTTCAGCCGCGAGGCCCCCGGAGTCACCACCTTCATGGGGGGCACGCTGCCACCGCCGCTCTGCAGGACAGGAAGAAGGATCGGGGTTGGAGGCGCCCGGAGAGGCCTGGCCTCAGGGGAGGGTCTCCAGGGATGGGGCCTCCTGGGGAGGATGAGGGGCTCGAGGCTCGAGGAGCTGAGTCTGGCTCCCAGCCTGGTCCAGGACCCGAGCCCCCTGCTCTGATGCCACAGGTGAGAGCACAGGACAGGGCTCCCCACAGACTCACAGCGTCCCTAAGGGCATCTCTGTGGGGTCCTGGGGGAGCCCTGGAGCCGCTGAGCCCCAGGGAGGACCGGAGGCAGCACCCTGGGCACAGAGCGCTCACTGGAGACTGGGGGGGGGGGGGGGGGAGTGGCAGCCACTAAAGAGAGAGTGGCAGAATGGGAGGAGGAGGGCAGTCCCCAGAGGCGGGCAAGGCTGGCCCCAGAACCACCCCAGCCCCCAGGTCAGTCCAGAAAGGCTGTGGGAACAGAGACGCAGCAGAGAAAAGACAGCGACAGAGTCAGACCCGAGAGGCGAGGGGCGTGGGACCGGGAGAGGGAGAGAACTTTATTCGTGGGGTGACAGGTACAGAGCAGAGGGGAGGCCTGAGCCCCGGGGAGACCAGCTTCCCAGCCTCCCACAGGCCCTGCCTGCAAAGGCCGCCAGAGCCGGGCTGGCGGGGTGCGGGGCAGGAGCGGAGCAAAGGCTGCCCGGAGCAGGGTCGTCCCTGCGGGGGCTCCCACAGCCCCCCACTCCCCGCAGCGCTGAAGGCAGAGACTGAGATTCACAGGCAGGAGCAGGCGCAGGAGAGAAGCAGCCACCTGCGGGCCGGGGGTCGGGGGTGGGGGGCTGCCAGGGGAGCCCGTGGTGGGCGCCAGGCCCATCTGACTCAGGGTGGCCTCGAGCTCCAGGAGCGTCTCCTCCAGGCTGTCCATCCGCGGGGCGGCCGGGCCCCTCACTGCACAGCCTCGGCCCTGGGCAGGCCCGTCCTGCTGCTCCCCACGGCGGTGCTGGGGGGGCGTCCTGGGGGTCTCCCCCTGCGGGGTGACAGCCATGGAGGGCTCCTGAGGACACGAGGCTGGGGGTCCTCTCTCCTCTGGGAGGCAGCCTCTAAGTCGGGGTCTCTTCACCGCCACCCCTGCCTCCTCGGCGGGCACTGAGCTGTCCCCGAGCCACATGGCCTTGGTCACTGCCCCCAGGGGCACTGGAGGGGCATCCCCGGCCCTCCCGCTGCCAGCCAGGTTCCGGGGCCTCGGGGTGGGGGGTGTCCCGGGACGGGCTTCCTCGAGTCTGGCCTCTGCTGGGGAGGCAGAGTGGGGGGCGCATTCCGTCAAGACGATCCGGGGAACGCAGAAGGCCCCAGTGCTGGGGGCAGCCTGGGGGAGGAGAAGACAGATGAGAATGGGACCCCCTCCCCACTGAAACTGCTGTGCTCACCCCAACATTCCCAGGGGCAGTCGGGCAGTGAGGAGAGTCTGGACAGACAAACTGACCTGCCCAGTGGGAGCAGAGCTGGGACTAGAACTCAGGGTTCTCCCCGGCCCCCCCGCCTCCCACCCTGGGCAGAGATGCCCGCTCCCCCCAGCACAGCGCCCACGGCCAACGCGGGGAGCAGGTGTCTTGGGCACGCACTTCCAGGCTGCCCATCTGTGCGTGGGACCACAGCCCCGCCCACTATGTAGGCACAGGCTGGGAAGGGGGCCCAGGGAGGGCCCCATAGCTGCAAACTTGCTGAGGCCTGGACTGTGGAACCTGAGGGGGGTCACAGCCCCACCTCAGGTCAGGGGTCCCTTGCCTGGCAGGACATGAGGAGTCACTTTCCAAGCTCTCTCTAGGGCTTCACAGCCGCACCGGGCCCCCATGGCTGGGCAAAGTCAGACCCTCTGTTCTAGGAACCTTTCGGGCTCTCTGGCCTTGGAGGGGACTGGGCAGGGGACCTCCACCTCCCACCCCTCAACCTGAGTGACCCGGGTCTAGGCTTGAGCATCCTTCTCCTGCCAGTGTCTGCCCTGGACATCCTCATCCTTCCCAGGACCCACAGAATCAGAAGGTACCTCATCTTACAGATGCTGAGGGTGACAGGGACCCGGGAGTCATCCCAGGTCGCTGACCCACAGCCAGTGTGGTTGAACGAGGACCTGAACCCAGGACTCTAACCCCAAGTGTTCTTGCAACTAAAAAAGGCTGTGGGGAGATTCACGGGGGGCGGAGGGGGGGGAAGCAGAGACCCCAAGCCCCCTCCCGAGGTGACCCACCAGCCCTACCACCTGCTTACCTGGAGTTGGGGGTGCAGGCTGGGGGGGCAGACAGGGCGCCCCTAGCCTGCCCGGTTCCGCTGCCCGACGGCGCCTCAGGATGCAGAGGGTCAGCCAGGCCCAAGTGGCCAGTAGAGGGGCTTTGCCCACGGGTCCCCCGGGGCCAGAAAGGGGCAAGGGCTGGGTGCCACAGCCCCAGCGTGAGTGGAGACCCTGTGTCCCTACCCCCAGGCGGCTCTTCAGGACACTCTGGGCCTAGCCTCTGCCCGGCAGATGGCACCATCCATCTGCCTGGTGCCCATCTGCTCTCCCTGGCAGAGAAGACAAGGCACCACCCCAATCACGCCAGGCCAGAGACCAGGGGGCGGCAGCAGGAAGTCCTGGGGGGCACTAGAGGCTGCTGCCCCAGCTGAGGGGGCAGAGGGACCCCCACTCAGACCTCCTCCCCACACACAGTTCCCAGGGTGGGAGGAGCAGCCACCCCCTCCCCCATTCCCAAGGCAGAGGAGAGAGAAGTGCAGCAGAGAGCAGGGCGGAAGTGAGCGCACGGAGAGAAGCCCTGAGCCCGAGTGTCCATGTGGAGGCCCCAGAGTGGCGAAAGGTGGCCCCAGGGCAGGCGAGCAGAGAGCAGTCCAGGAGGTGTCCCCAGCTCACCCCTGGTCCGTGAGACCCCACTTGGCACAGGCAGCAGAGCAGAGGATGGAGAGGGGGTGGGGACGAGGCACAGTCAGAGTCTGAGCTGGCCCTAAAGTCAATGTGGGCACGAGATCCGAATTCCAATCAAGGCAGGACCCAAGACCGAGCCACGGCTGGGCGGGCTGAGCGCAGGCTTTGCACGCTGAGCCCTGGAGTGCCCGTAGGAGCGAAACACAAGCACAGCGCTGGGATTGGTCTGAGCTCCGCCAGATGTGGTCCCCAAAGAAAAACAAAACAGCCCAGTGAGAACACAGGGGTCGGGCGCTTGCCATAGCTGTAAGCAGCCACCATCAGACACGAGCATCACCAGGGGGTCAGTCTGGAGCACAGAGTCAGAGTAGCTCCTGAAATAGATGGGAATGGACCCCCGTACCCCCAAACAGAACAAAACCCAGGCTTTGGCCCAACCTGAACTCTGACCAAAGATGAGAATCAAGTGTCTGGGCCAGTGGCCCGAGAGGAAGCAAGTCTGGCCGAGAGCACGGCCCCCGGGGCTGCAGGAGGAAGGAAGGGTTAGAGGCTGCTGCTGGTGGATGCAGTTGTGGCGGGTCTGAGCAGGCCAGCGTGACAGGTGAGAGAGGAAGCTGGGGGGCACAGGCAGAGAGAGAGAGCCCTGAGCGGGGGGCAGCCCGTTACCTTCCATGCGGGGCCCGGGCCTAAGCCCCCAGGGGGCCCTGAGTCCTGGGGGGACAGCAAAGTGGGGATCTGCTGGCGACGGGGCGTGGGGGGGAGGGAGGACACTGAGCTTCTCTCAAACACCTGGGGAGCAGAAGGCGGAGGAAGGTTTGGAGGAGGGGGCACAGTGAGGACCAGCCAGGGGGTGCTTGCTTAAGGCGGAGGCACCCGCGGGGAGGCGTGGCATGGGCATGGGCGGCCACGAGACTCTGCCCCCCTCAGCCCTCACCGCACCAGGGGCCACTCCACTGGCCACTCCGCCCTCTGCTTTGTCTCCTGTTAAAGGGCCTCAGCGGGGAGCCCAAGGCACCTGGGTGAGGGAGTGTTCCAGTACCCTGCTTAGAACATCAGAAAATGGTTTCCCAGGCCAGGCTCTGAGATGCCAATAAAAATCTCAAACAAGGGACCAGAGTGATAGCACAGCAGGTAAGGCACCTGCCTTGCACATGGCTGACCTGGGCTTGATCTCCAGCATCCCATAGCACCACTAGGAGTCATCCCTGAGCGCAGAGCCAGGAATATGCTCCGAGCACCACCGGGTGTGGCCAAAAAATAAAGTCAAGCAAGGATGCAGAGTGACAGTACACTGGATCGGGCTCTTGCCTTGCACGCAGTCAACTTGGATTCCACCTCCAGCACTCCATTTGGTTCCTTGGGCCCTGCCAGGATTGATCACTGAGTGCAGAACCAGGAGTAAAGCCCTGAGCATCACTAAGTGTGCCCCAAAAGCCAGAAGGAAAAAAAAAACACCTCAAGCAGAGAAGGAAAGATGCTCCACGGACTTTGCATACAGGAGGCCTCCAGGTTTCGGCTCTGAGCATGCCCAGTGTGGCCGCCCAAAACTAAAGCAACAAGAAACTCCCGATTCAAGTCTCTGCAGGCAGAGGTGTGGGAGCCCCTGCCCCCATCTTACAGGGGGCAAGCAGGCACTGGCCGGGAACCACACAGTCCACCTTCCTGGCCACCTGCCCCGGGCTCAGCCTGGAGGGGAGAGGGATCAGGGGGTGCCCCAGTCACCCACCTCCAGCTCGGCGATGATGCGGTCCTCGTCGTCCTCGTCCTTGATGGCTGAGGCCATGATGGGTGGCGTGGAGGCGGGGCGAGCCACCTCCGACACGGCTCGACGCAGCTTCACTTGTGGCTTCTGCACCTCCAGCTCCTCCGATTCGGCCTTCTGCAAGGCGCCGGCCCCGTTACCTCCAGCACCCGCTCCCCTGCTCGGCCACGCCCCACCACCACCCCAACTCATGTGCCACTTCCCAGTCCCTGGGCCAGCAGTGTCCCGGGCAGGGTGCTACCTTGATGAAGTTCGAGTCCTTCTTGCTGGTGACCACCACCTCGCCGGTGCGCGTGGTCGTCAGTCCGTGGGAGGAGGGGAAGCTCCGGCGGGGTGGGGGCGGCGGGGGGGACTTGGAGGGCTTCTCTGTGCGGTATCGGGGTACTGTGAGCTCGTCTGCGGGCAGTCGAGGGGCAGGGGGATCAGTGGGCACCTGATTCTGGGGAGAAACCCGGCTCCTCTCCAGGAAAGGGACAAGGCTCTGGGAAGGACCTTCTTTGGGTGCCTCGGCCACTGGTTCCCTCACTGGGAGCGAATGAGTGATGCAGAAGCTCATGGGCCCCCAGAGCTGCCTCACTGGAATCCACAATTTAACAACCCCCCAGTGTGGAACCCCCAAGCTTCCCTGCCTCTTCTCTAATCTCCTGGCTACCTGCCCCCTCGCCCCTGGCCCGGCACAGACCTTCTGCTGCATCCTGTTTTATTTGTTTAGTTTTGGGGCCACTCCTGGCTGTTCTCGGGGCTTACTCCTGGCTCTGTGCTCAGGGATCACTCCTGGTGGGGCTCAGGGGACCAAAGAGGGATCAAACCTGGGTGGGCCATGTGCAAGGCAAGCACCCTCCCAAGCTGTGAGGCCCCCCTTTCTGCCTCTCCCCCTTGGCCCCGGATGACCCTGCCCACCACCTTCTGCCTTCTTCCACCAGGCTTGGGGGCTATTTCCAAACAACCTGCAGGAAGGTCAGTAGAAGCTGAGGCTCCTCCGCCTCTGATCCCCCATGGCTCCCGTCACCCCCAGACACACCACAGCTCTGGGTCCTACACCATCCACTCCCGCCCATCTTCCAGCCTTGCTCAGCTGGCCACATCCCCCGGGGCCCTGCTTGGCAGTATCCCAAAGCTCTCCCCTGCTACAACCTCACCAGCCCCCTAGACTCCGGCTCATGCCCTCCCTGGGAAGCCTGGGGAACACCTGCTTGGTCCCAAGACTCCACTAGAAAGTTCTTCCTTTAGGAAGCCCCCTGCTCTTAGGGCCCCCAGTCCCCCTGCACCTACTGCCACACTAGCCCTTGTTCTAGCTCAGGTTTATACATGAAGCACATGACTTAAGCCTTAACCTTAGCATCCCCATCTGTAAATTGGGAATAACGACCGCATCTGCCTCCTAGGGCCTGTATGAAACTAAAGGGATGAAACCCCGGGAAGCACGCAGCATTGGTATCACAGGGAAAGTACTTGGGAAACGGAAACGCGCGTCGTGATCCAGTTCACCGCTAGCCCCCCCCCCCCCCCGCCCCGCACGGGAAGCAGTGTCTGCCCCCTACCCCACCACTTTCGGCCCACCATATGGGCCTGCTGGCCGCCACAGTGGGCAGGGGAGAAGCAGGAGAGCAGCTGTAGCCCATACTTCTGGGTCTCCCTGGGTGTCTGGGAGAGGTCCCAGCACCCCGAGCGCAGGCTGCCCTGTCCCAAAGCCGTCCCTCCCCAGCATCCTCTCCCCTAGAGTGGGGATGGGCTCCCCCCCACTCCTACCTGAGCCCCTCCTCCCGCTGGGCTCCGTTCGGGGCGCTGCTTTCTGGCCATGGGGGACCTTGGGGGGCTTGTGGTCAGGGGTGGGGGCCGCGCCCGGGTGGGCCTTGCCGGCGCAGTCCAGGTCAGGGATGGCCTTCAGCAGCTCGGCCTGTGTCTCTTCCAGCAGGCGGTTGATGTCCTTGGCGCTGTACTGACTCAGGGCCGCTCGCTTCTCCTCCCAGTCGCGCTCGGCAGCCTGCAGGGGAGGGACGGGGGCTCAGGCCAACGCTGCCCCCTTCGGTTGTGTTTTGGGCCCTCTCAGGTGTCTCCCTGAGTGTCCCCGGAACTCTAGAAGGCCACCTCCACTATCTACTGCATTCCAGATCCACCCGTGCCTGACTCCAGACATTCTCGGTGGCTGGTTAGATTGGGGTGGGGTGGGAGCCCAGCTCCATGCTAGGGGACCGCGTGGTGCTGGGGACGGAGCCTGGGGCTCCGGCACACAGAGCTGGAGTGCCAGCCCTCTGTGCATGCTCAGCTCAAGCCTGGGACTGTCTGTTCTGTCCCAGCAGCCGCCGGCACAGCTTTAGAATATGCTTATCCTGGCCTGCGATGGAGCTCAGAGAACTTGTCTCGTCTGAGTGAGGCTCTGGGCTCAAATCCCAGTACCAAAAAGGAGAAAAAAGAATTGGCTTTTTCATCTAACAGACCCTTTGTCACCTTTAATAAATTCCCAGACTTCCTGGGGGAAAAGACCACCCCCGCCCCCACACTAAATGGGCAGGCCAGTAGCCGGCGGCACCTGTCGCCTTGGATGGCCATGGCAGCGGGAATGTGGGTCCCCTTGCCCTCCCCAATCAGCACCTCCACAGATACTGCCTTGTCCACGCTTCTCTTGCCAGGAGCGTCGAGGCCTTTGCCGGGGTTGCCTCCCTTGGGGAGAACCGGGGGTCCCTCGGCCGGCCCGCTCAGCTCATGGAGGTGCACTGGGGGACTGGGCGGAGGCATCTCAAAGTCCAAGCTCTTGCCAAAGTCGCTCTCAGCCGCCACCTTCTTGGGGGACTGACTCAGGAGGTTGTTGGGGGGTGGCCACACTCCCTCATCCACTTGCCTGTTGGGACGAGAGTTAGGACAGCTGTGAGGCCAGCAGGGTTGGGAGGGGAGCCCCGTGGGAGGCGAGCTCTGGGATCTGGGTGGGAGAAAGCGGCACCCGGCACCCAGGGGAGGCATGTGGATGGCAGCTAAGGGTGCCTGGGTCAGGACAGAGGGCCCAGCCCGGGGAATCAGGACCAGGCGTGAGGCTCGTCTATGGCCCAATGCGGGGAGGGAAGCACCTGCGGATCTGTTCTTTTTTTTTTTTTTCTTTTTGGGTCACACCGGCATTGCACAGGGGTTACTCCTGGCTCTGCACTCAGGAATTACTCCTGGCGGTGCTCGGGGGACGATATGGGATGCTGGGAATCGAACCCGGGTCGGCCGCATGCAAGGCAAACGCCCTACCCGCTGTGCTATTGCGCCAGCCCCGGACCTGCGGATCTGGGCCAGCGTGTCCGTGACCCCGCGGCAGCGCTTGAGCAGCCCGTCCAGGCGCTGTGGCTCCTCCTTCAGGAACTTCACGGCCTCCACCTCCACGCGCAGCACCACCCGCATCTTGCTCTGCAGGCCCGGGAAGTGAGCTGCGGGCACACAGAGAGGACGGCGCTGGGTAGGGGGCAGCACGCAGGCCCAGGGAGGCTGGGAGTAGGGGTGGGGGCAACGGGGAGAGCCCCCAGCCTGGCGCCAGGCTCACCCTTGAGCTCGGTCAGCGTCTCCCCCGAGCTGCTTCAGCACCAGCGCCTTCTCCTCCAGCTCGGGCCCGGGCACCAGCCGGTGGTTATGGGACACGTCCCTCTGGATCTTTTCCACCGACTTCTCCAGGTCACTGCAGCCACAGAGAGACCCACTCAGCCCCTCCGGTCCCAGCCCAGCCCCCTGCAATTGGGAAGCTGGAAAGAAATCAGACCCACAGTCAGAGCAGAATGAAAAGCCTGTGACCAGAGAGATAGTACAGCAGGCACGGCACTTGCCTTGCTCGTGGCCAACCAGTTGGACGTGGTCAACCCAAGTTCAACACACCATATGGTCCCCTAAACACAGCCAGGAGTGATCCCTGAGCACAGAGTCAGGAGTAAGCCTTGAGCACCACCAGGGGTGAGAAAACAAAAACAAACACACAAAAAAAGACAAAACAAAAAAATAGAAGAATGAAAATCCTCTTACTCGGTCACATGCCCAAGTGAGAACAGAAACACAGAAGCTCTGGGGCAGGTTCAAAAGGGCTCTGGGCCCTGTGGAAGCCCCCACAAAGATGGGTGCTACAGCAGGAAGCTCCCTCCCTGTAACCTGCACCCTCAGACCAGGGGAGCAACAGAGAACTGGAGGAGAATGGGAGGCCAGGCCGGAGCATCTCTCCTCTCACCAGGTGGCATGGTCACACCCTTCCAGTGATGCTCAGTCTCTTTCCTTGACAACAAAAGTACATAATACAGATCCTGCCAGATCCCAGAGTTCGCCTCCCACAAAGCGATGACACAGCAGACAGAGCACTTGCTTGCATGCAGTCGACCAAGGTTGCATCCCCAGCACAACATATGGTCCCCTGAGCTCTTCCAGGAGTGATCCCTGAGCACTGCTGGGTGTGACCCCCATTCCAAACCAAAAAGGCAAAGGAAAAAAAAAAGCGCTTGAAATTTTCAACTGGTTTAAGCTGAGCAACGTGTGTTTAAAAGCCCACCTTTCTAAAATGTACATCACACCAAGTCACCAGTCTCTGTGTGGGACCTGGGATGGTTTCTGCATTCTCAGCCAAAAACCAAAGTCTAAACTCTTCAATGCAGCCAGGAAGGACATGAGGGCAAGGAGCTGCAACACAGCCAGACTCAAGACATCTGCAAATTCCAATCCCAACTCTGCCTCTGCCGTCCCTAAGGGGAGAACTACTCTCTCTGGGACTTGACCTCTTCTTCTCCAGATAGGGGTGCTGAGAGTCTCACCCTCCTGTGTAAGGATGAAATGGGCTACTGCAGAGGCCAGAGAGAGAGAGCGAGAGAGAGAGAGAGCGAGAGAGAGAGAGAAAGAGAAAGAGAGAGAGAAAGAGAGAGAGAGAGAGAGAGAGAGAAAGAGAAAGAGAGAGAAAGAGAAAGAGAGAGAGAAAGAGAGAGAGAGAAAGAGAGAGAGCGGAGAGAGAGAGAAAGAGAAAGAGAGAGAGAAAGAGAGAGAGAAAGAGAAAGAGAGAGAGAAAGAGAGAGAGAGAAAGAGAAAGAGAGAGAGAAAGAGAGAGAGAGAAAGAGAAAGAGAGAGAGAAAGAGAGAGAGAAAGAGAGAGAGAAAGAGAGAGAGAGAGAAAGAGAGAGAAAGAGAGAGAGAGAAAGAGAGAGAGAGAAAGAGAGAGAGAAAGAGAGAGAGAAAGAGAGAGAGAAAGAGAAAGAGAGAGAGAGAAAGAGAGAGAGAGAAAGAGAGAGAGAGAAAGAGAGAGAGCGAGAGAGAAAGAGAGAGAGAGAAAGAGAGAGAGAAAGAGAGAGAGAGCGAGAGAGAAAGAGAGAGAGAGAAAGAGAGAGAGAAAGAGAGAAAGAGAGAGAGAGAAAGAGAAAGAGAGAGAGAAAGAGAGAGAGAGAAAGAGAGAGAGAGAAAGAGAGAGAGAGCACTCAATGGGCTGGTGCACATGTTTTGCATACAAGAAACCTGGGTTCATCCCCAGGCAGCATTCTCCCCCAACAGTGAGCTCCTGAGCATCATCAGGTGTGGCTCAAAATCCAAACTGGATTTGGATTGGAGCTGGAGAGAGAATACAGGGGCTAAGGCATCGGGAGTGATCCCTGAGCACAGAGCCAGGAGTGAGTTCTGAGCACAGCTAGGCATGACCCAAAAACGTCAACAACAAACTAGATAAATTGACCAGAGGGTAAGGCACCTTGCCTTGCATGCGGCCTGCCCTGGTTCGATCCTTGGTACCACATATGGTCTCTAGAATATTGCCAGGAATGATTCCCAAGCTCCGCTGGGTGTCTAACCCGCCTCTCCCAAAGGACTGGGCACCCAGCAAGGGCTCCTGAAGATGCGAAAGCAAGAGGCAAGAGGGGATGATTTTTAAAATTTATTTTGGTTTGGGGTCACACCTGACAGTACTGAGGGTTTACTCCTGGTCGTGCTCAGGGGACAATATATGCTAACAGAGATCGAACTGGGTAAGGCAAGCACCTTAAACTGTACTATCTCTCTGGCCTCAGATGCTCTTGTTTTTGTCTAACAATGCTCCCTGTGCTTGAATGTCTTGTTTCTGTTTCGCATCCTCCAGAGCTTCTGAAGTCTGTGCTTCTCACTCAGGACCATCACAATGCCATTTCTGCAGCCGAGGAGACTCCATTTACCTGCACAAACATGCACACACACAACTATTCCTCATCTCTCTGACTCTCTCAAGGGGAGCCTCTCCCCCACGCTCAACACTCGGGAGTTGAGGTCTGGTTGCCTGTCCCCAAAGACCCTACAGCTCCTGTGAGCTGGCTGGGCACCCCCAGGGTCACCAGCCACAGAGACCATCTATATCTTCCGGATTCATCTCTGTCTGAAGCAGAGAAGTCTGAGAAATAACCGCAGCATGAATGACAGGCAGGGCTCCTGCCCAGGTAGGTCACCCCAGTTCTGTCACACCAGCTCCGCTCACCCACATTCCCGACAAAGCCCATCTGGTGCATATCAGCCCCATGATCCAGGTGGGAACAACTTCTGAGTCTCAGTGCTAGCAGCCAACAGACTGGCTTTCACCCAGAGCTCTGTGTCATCAACCATCTCCGCCTGCCTCATACATCTCCATCCAACTGGCAGATGAAAAGAGGGACCATGTGGTGCTGAGGACAAAGTCCTGTGACTCAGCGCTTCTGGCTGAAGAGCCAGCTTATGCTCAGCGCCTACCCAGGTCAGCCTTCACGTTCATTCCTTATTTAATCCTCACCACAAAGCTCCCAAGTGGGAACCTTGATCAGCCCTGGTGTGCACACACAGACACAGACACAGACACAGACACAGACACAGACACACAGACACACAGACACACACACACACACACACAGAGTAAGTAGCCCACACACTAGACTACATTTCCCAGCCTCCTTTGCACTTTCAAGGGACCATGCCATTGGGATGGAGCCAATAAAATATGTGCTAAAGGGCAGGCTCTACTTCTGTGAAACGCTCCCCCAGAAGCTCTTCCATGTCCTTTCCCCCTTCCCAGTGGCTGAAGGGCAATGGCCTTCTGGGTGATCTGGGAAGGCACATCCTCAAATTCAGAACGGCAAGTCTTTCATCAGCCTGGGCTGCTGGATCCCACCCACCCAATACGCAGGAGCAAGAAAGAGACACCTGTTACTTCTAAACTAGGGCATAGCATGCTCCCAAAATTAATACAAGCGGTTTGGCATTGAGAAACAAAGCACATGGGGCCAGGGGCAGAACTCAGTGAACGAGCATTTGCTTGGCATGTACAAGGACCTGGGTTTGATTCCCAGCACTGCAAACAAAGCAAAATCTACCTCAAGCAGTGCCCAGTGTAGCCCTGGAGGCTCCAGCACCCTGGGCCTGAGCAACATCCCCAGGCACCAGCACTGGGTGCTCTGACCATCGAGTCAGCCAGATACCACTAGGAACGGCCCCCGGGACCCTGAGAACCACTTGGGAGGTCCCCAAAATAAGACAAAAATTGAAAAACACAGAGCTGGGAGCTGGAGTGACAGTACAGCAGATAGGATGCTTGCCTTGCAAGTGGCCAACTCGGGTTTGAACCCTGGCACCCCATATATGGTCCCCTAAGTATTATGAGAAATGATCACCGAGCACAGAACCAAGAGTAAACCCTGAGCACACGGGGTGTGGCCTCAAATATAAACAATAATAACAAAAGAAAGAAGGAAAGAAAGAAAGAAAGAAAGAAAGAAAGAAAGGAAGGAAGGAAGGAAAAGAGGCACGTGCCTTGCTTGTAGACCCCAGTTCAACCCTGGGCAGGCAGCATCTTTGATCTCCCCAAGCCCCACCAGGTATGAGCCATGAGCCCAGAGCCAGATGTCAGCTCTGAAGACCTCAGGGCTGCCCAGTGTAGCTCAAAGACCAAAATCTAAATTAAATTTTGAGAGGGCTGGAGTGATAGCACAGCGGGTAGGGCATTTGCCTTGCACATGGCCGACCCAGGTTCGATTCCCAACATCCCACATGGTCCCCTGAGCACTGCCAGGAGTAATTCCTGAGTGCAAAGCCAGGAGTAACCCCTGAGCATCACCGGTTGTGACCCAAAAAAGCAAAAATAATAAATAATAATAATAATTAGTTGAATTTTGAAAAAGAGGGTTAGTCGTCACAGGCCACACAGTGCCCTCTTCTGAATTAGCTCTGTTCTCCTGAGGCTCATGTCAACCAGGACTAATGTTCCTCACACCCACCCACTGCCTGCCACAGGGGTGGGGGCAGAATAACCTTCCTCTGCTGTGTGTGACTCCTGACCTGCTCAGGATGGGCCAGTCCTAAACATGTGTGTGTGTGAGTGTGCTTTTGCATGTGTGTGTGTGTGTGTGTGTGTGTGGTGGCAGAGAAAGTCTCCCATTTAAAGTGGACCCAGACATGCCTGCAGGAGGTAACAACACATCAACCCACAGGTGGGAAGAATGAAGATCCCCTTAGATTCAATCAGCACCTCCATTTTCTGATCATCCACTCTACCCAAGTTGGGGGACCCCATTCAGAGCTGCTCTGCAAAGGAGTCCCAGACTGACTAAGTCTAGTTGCATTAACAGCTTATTTGTTTTGATACTGTAAGTGCTGGGGAGGACCCGGTGGTGCCGGGAATGGAACCCAGCATCCCCACGTACCCTACAAAGCCCAAGGTTAGGGGAGGGAAGGCTGCAGAGGTCTCAGTCAGAAAAACTCTCCCCAAGGACAATGTCTAGACAGCTCAGGGACAAGCTAGCAAGATGGATAGTACGACAGAGTGAAGCATCAAATCAGCCTCAACTTGTAGTAAGATGTGGGGCAAGAGGAAGGGGTGACAGTAAGAGCACAGGAGGGATGGGCCTTCTGATATACCTCAAGCCGGGCAGCAGGGATGTCATGGTTTGGGTGTGGTCCAGCCCACGGCCCATCTATAGGAAGGCAGGAGCACCCTTCAGAGAGGATGGGGAATCTGTCCAAAGCTACTATTTCAGCCCCCAAGTTCTCTCAAGTGGATCATCAGTCGGAGCAATGGGTTTCATAACAGGGTGAGAGGGGGGGAGTCTGTATGTTCTTGGAGAACTGAGGCCCCCCAGCAGCCGGGAACCAGACACTCAGAGGACATGAAGCCCTCCTTTCATCTCCCCTGCCGCTGTGTTTTATAGATCTCCTTTCATTTTCCTTTCATGGGTCTCAGTAAAGTCCCTTTGAAAATTCCAGTCCAGCTCTGCTGTGAAAAGGGGCCAGGAGAGGACACAAAGCTTGAGTAAGTGCTATTCTCCAGGTGAGCAGGGACAGAAGCTGCCAGTCTACTTGGAGAAATGACTGGACCTGACCACTAAGCTCTCACACCTGGTTCGATGGAGAGACCCCCCTTACTACATCCCAGCCAGCCCACAAGAGGTGGTGGGGGCCTTTGTTTGTGCCTCACTCTCAACCACCTGTGGCTGTGGGCCTGAGGCTGATGAGCAGGGCCTTCCCAGGGTGCCCCTTGTAAGAGATGGGCCTTGGTGACTTGGTGGGGGCAAAGGCATATTACAGCAGGTAGGGCACTTGTCTTGCATGTGGCCAACCTAGGTTCAATTCCTGGCACCCCACTGAGCCCTGCCAGGAGTGACCCCTGAGTTCAGAGTTAGGAGTAAGCCCTGAGCACTGTTGGGTGTGGCCCCCCAACCAGGACACACAAACAAAAACCAAGACAACTTGGAGAGGACGCTGGGTCCCTCTGAGCAGACTCTCCTGACTCCCCGAGTCATTGGCCAGTGGAACCCCAGTCCTCTCTGAAAGAAACTGCAAATATCTCGGAGCCGGTGCAGAAGCAGCGGAAGCACGGAAAAGGGCAGAAGGTTCTGGACAATGCAGCCTCCCGGGGCTGGAGCTGCAGCTCACTTTTCGGGGACCTTGGACACAGGCCCTCAGACACCAACAGTTCACAGGGAAAGCTGTGGGGGGCTGCGGGCACTCACTCAGCGGATGGACAGCAAAAGGTAGTGTCCCTTCAGTGGTGCTAGACAATCGAATCTTGGCCAGACAGCCATTTGCTAAATTTGGATCAGAGGACTATCTCCTGTTAACCCTCCCATGCCCAACAAAGCATTCTCTACTCCTCGCTCCTCCTGAAAAATGTGCGGGCCTGCTTCAAAGGAGGAGGAAGGCCTGAGATCAGGTGTGGTGGCAACTGGCCAGCGGGCATCCAGCAGAGGCGGCTGACCCAGCACGTGCCACTCCAGGGCTCATTTGCACGGGTCAGGATGAAAGGAGGTAAGAGGATGGAGTGAAATCTGGAGGCCGCAGGAAGCCAGCCAGGGGGCCATTAGGCAGCAAGACCAGAGCAAAAGCAGGCGAAGAGCCAGGTGGGGAATTCAGGAATGGTGCCAAATGATAGTCAGAGGCTTGTGGTTCACAGAGAAATTTGGCCAGAGAGAGGAAGTTGGCTGCAAAATAGACCAGTGTCACCTGTGACTCAAAAGGAAGGGAGCTGCGCCCCGCAGTGAAGCCAGGTTGTGGGGCATCCCGGACACGCACACCCCCACCCCTCCTCCCACCGGGACCCGCCTCACTTGAGCTGCTGAGTGATGAGCTCCTCGTCGTTGAGGTAGCGCAGCCGCTCCTCCTCCACCAGGGTGCGCTGTCGCTGCAGCGGGTCCTCCTGCCGCCGCGCCGCCTCCGACACGCGCATGCTCAGCTCCGCCTCCGTGCCCTTCAGCAGCGCGCGCAGCGACTCCTGGTTCTGGAGCTGCGGGACGCGGAGGGACGCAGATGGGCCGCCGGAGCCCGGGCGGGCGGGGATGGAGGCGCGCGGCAGGGCGAGGGCCGCGAGAAGCAGCGAAGGGTGGGATGGAGCGGGGCAGAACCTAGTTCTGGGACCGATGGAGGCAGGACGAGGAACAATGGGAGCCGAGGAGGGAAGGGGCCAAGTTAGACGGCGCCTGGCTGTGGTCGTGAGCAGCAGCAGCGGTAGCCGCAGCGCAGGGGTGAGGCGGTGGGGGTGCAGGAGGACAAGGAGGTTCTGAGGAAATGGCGAGGCAAGGAGGGCAGGATAGGCATCGTGGGGACAAGAAGTGGCCGGATATCAGGCCCTGAGGCTACAGGGCTGTGACCTACCCACCAGGACGGAACAGTTTTTTTGGGGGGGAGGGGGGCGGATGCTGGGAGGGGGAAGGGAACTGACCGCTGCAGCCCAGTTCTAAGGCCGAGTTGGGGCAATGGGGGGGGTAGATCTCACCCGTGGCCCAGATGGCAACTCCCTGCCCACTCTCCAGCCTGTCTCTGCTCATTATTCTCACCTGTCTGGAGCGGGCACGGCTATGCCAGGCTCCTCACTGGTGGAACCATCTGCCAGGCGGGGCAGGACGGGAAAACTCAGGAAGGGGGAAGCTGAGGGGTCAAAACAGCGGGCTTGTGCCCCAGGAATGGAGGCTGCTGGACAGGAAGGAGCGGAGCTGCTTTAAGGGATACTGAGCGGGGGACTAGGGCTGCAGGAATGAGGAAGAGCATTCAGAGAAGGGGCAGGAGGGCTCAGGAGAGGGGGTGCCCTAAGGCTCAGTACAGGAGCAGAGACTCATGAGTGTCCCACTTAAGGGAGAGGAAGAGGCCAAAGGATTGAGAGAGAGATCCAGTGAGTGTCTCTGGGCTGGAATGAGGGGGTGGGGGTGGGGCAGGACGGCTGGGGAGGGGCATTTGGGTGGGGTGGTACCTGAAGCTTGCGCAGTTGCTGGAGTTGGCTGCGCAGGTCGCTGGTGCTGTTCTGCAGGCCACGCAGGTAGAGCTGCAGCTGCAAACGGCTGATGGGTGTGGGCTGCCCAGCAGAGGCACTGCCCGCGGAGGGCTGGGGTGGCCCCGACACTGGGGTGGCCCCGCTGCTTCGCCCACCGGAGCCACAGGCTGGAGAGAAGGGAACACAAGGATGGGAGGGAGGGTCACCTCGTGAACCCAGACAGGCAGGGGCAAGGGCAAGCTCCTGCCCCAGCACAGTGGTCATAGAGGCCGCAGTCTCTGACTTCCTACCCCACTGAGGTGGGCATCATTGGGTGGTGCAAAGAGTCAGGGTGAAGCACAAGGCAAGGGAACTCCCAGCATATCTATGGGAGCCGGCCAAGGGAGCTAGAGTTTTATCAACCTCTTTACAGAGTCAGAACCTTGAAGCTCCGTGGAGGGGGCCCCTGTCGGGGGCAGGGGCAGAGAAGGGAGACTCACGTGCTGAGGGGGTGGCCGCTCCATTGGAGCCTTCAATCTTCTCACTGTGGCACAGGGAAGAGATGTCATCGGGGGGGCCAGCCTGGCCCCAGACTGTCAGAGCTGGGGTGACTTCAACATAACCTCAACATAACCTCCTCCAGCCCCTTGTTCTCAGACTGGAGTCCCAAGGAGGGCAAGGATTGCATCCAGGGTCATGTGGGCAGAAATGGACCCAGGAGTCAGGACCTGGGCTCCTGTTATCCACGTGCTCTCCCCGGGCCCACTGCAGCCCTGGGTAGGGGGTGTGTAACATAGAGCCTCACCTGGGTGTCTCGGGCTCCGAGCCTCGAAGCAGGGCACTCTGCACCAGGCCTGTGAGGCTCGCAATCTGCTTCTCCATGGCCTCCATGCGCTCCCTGGGGATGACGGGGGTGCTGAGAGCACCTCAGGGGCTCGGGGTCCCTCCCACCCATTACCCTCCCCCCAATTCCTAGGAGTAGACTATAGAATGGAAGATGGCTAGGGAGATAGCTCAGTGGACTGGGCAGGTGCTTTCCATGCAGGAGGCCCTCGTTCGACCCCCGGCTCTGCACCCAGTTGGGAGTAGAACCTGAACATCACCAAGTGTGGCCCATGAAACCAAGAAAAAGTAAAAATAGAGATGATATCATTCTATCCTCAGCTGCCTGAACAGACAGTCCAGAGGGTCCCAGTGCTCATCAGTCCAGCCGCAGTCTCCACCCAGTGGGGTACAGCCTTCCTTAGAGTCAACCTCCCCCTTCCCCGCCTCGCCCCTCAGCCCAGCATCCTGAATGCTCCCAGGCTCTGTGTCCGCCTGTTTCCCCCACCTGATATGCCGACCTCTCTACCTCGTCTCAGAAGTCACCCCAGAATCCCCAGCAGCCTTTAGGAGTCTCTCCTCCTACCCCAAAAGTACCCCCTCCAAAGGGTACAACTGTTTGTGTCTCCCCCAAGAGGCAGGTGGGAATGGGGCTCGCCCCACGTGGTATGGAAGGTGCCAGAGCAGGGTGGACAGCAGAACTGGGCCAGTGGGACTTGCTGTCAGCTCTCAGCAATGCTGCCAGGGGCAGAGGGCCCAGATCAGTGCCCGGGCACCTCCTCTGGCCCTGCACCCTTAGGAGCTGGAAGATGGGCCAGGGATCCCAGCACAGCAGCTATGGGCCAGATGTGCTCTCTTCCCCACTGTGTTCCCCAGCACCTAGTGGATGGACTTCAGCCGGCCCCGTGCTGGACAGCTCTCGCCTGCCTGGTCTCCTCGAAGGAAGCGCACCAAAGGAGTCCGGCGCTTCAGCTTCAATTTTATTTTGGGCCACATTCAGTTCCACCATGCTTAGTGCTTGAGGATTGCTCCCTGCAACCCTCAGGGGACTGTAGGGGTGAGGGACGGTACCCAGGGCTCCAACCCTTTAAGCTATTTCCAACCCCCACCTCCCAGCTCAGCCTCAATATTAGTTGGGAAAACTGAAGCTAAGGGAACAGATGCAAACCCAGGTTTCTGCCCCTCTCACCCCTCAGATCTCGCTGAAGCAAGGAAAACGCCCTGTCTCTCCCACGCCTTCCCATGCATTTTCAAGATGCTGACAATCCCTCCAGCCCATCCTGAGTGTGAGTCCCGGATGCGCAGTCCTCGGTGTGCCCCTTCCCATGTCATGCCATGCGGCACACCACCCCCTTACCCCGAAAGCCGGCCCCCCTTACCTGGTCTCGGTGTCCTTGGCTGGCACCGGAGGCCCGAACCCGAGGAGGGGGCGTTCCCCGGGGCCGGGGAAGAGCTCAGGAGGAGGAGCTCCGGCCGTGGAGGAAGCCCCTGCGCTGCGGGTCTTGCCCCCTGGACTCTCGGCAAAGACCGACGAGGACCCCGAGTCCTTGCGGAAAGACTGACGCACCGGCGAGCCGCGGCTGGGCGGCCCGGAGTAGGGGCTGTGCGGCGGCGGGGGTCCCCCGGGGGGCGCCGCCACGTCGGCCAGCTTCTGCGGCGACGACGGCGGCAGGCGGAAGCCGTAGCCGTCGCCGTAGAGCGGGCCGCCGCCCGCCGCCTTGTAGAGCGAGTCCTCCAGGTCCGACTGCAGCGCCGCGGCCGAGTAGGTGCTGAGCGAGCGCACCGAGCCGCGCTTGTACAGGCCGCCGGCGCCGGGGTAGGCGAACGGGTCCCCGGCGGCCGCGGCCAGGCTCAGGCGGCCCTCGTGCAGTAGCCCGTAGGGGTCGGCGTAGAGCCCCTCGCCCTTCACCAGCACCATGCCGCCCGCCTTGCCCGCCAGGTCCTCGTCCGGCTTCACGTCGCGCCGCTCCAGGATGGCGCTGGGGCTGGGGCTGACGCCCTGGGCGGCCGGGGCGCCTCCCAGCCGCTCAGCCGCGTGGTGCACCGGGCTGCCGGCATACGAGGGCGGCCGGCCGCCAGCGTAGGAGAGGCGCGAGCGCGAGGGCGAGCCCGACGGCAGCCCCGACGGCAGCCCCGACGGCAGCCCCGACGGCAGTCCCGGCGGCGGCGAGCCCGAGGTCAGGTGCGGCGCCGGCGACAGGTTGTTAAGGCGCCGTGTGGGTGACGACTCCCGCGATGCATACACCATCTCTCTCTGGGCAGAGGACAGACAACCCCCCCACCCGCAGGATCTGGTCACAAGGGGGATCCCTCTCTCCTCTCCGAGGGGCGAACAGCTCACTCTCCATTCTTGGAAAGTCCCTGCTGGGTCTGCCTGCCCCTCTCCCTCCAGTGGGGTCTCTGGGACCCTTTTTCCATCCGGGCTCCTCCCAGCATGGAATACAAAGTGACCGGTGGAGAAGCACCACACAGACCACACTCAGCCTGACCTGCAGAGAAGGGTGGCCTGCAAAAGGGGAAGGGGCCGCTCCTGGAATAGGGAGGTGCAGACAGCTAGGGAAAGTGGACCATGGGACAAGAGAATCCCCATATGGTCCCACTATTAATGGTGGCCAACCTCTGCTTCAGCGCCTCTGACGTCTCCCCCAAGGCTAGCTCTGGGCCCTGGTGACAGGTGACCAGATCCCATTTTCCCAGCCACCCCTATGCTCTGCACCCCCTCAGCCATACCCGGAGATCCCCGTTGGTGAGGTGTGAGCCAGGGAAAGCAGCGTAGAGAGGCTCCTTCCTGTAGATCTTGATAATACTGCGGTCCTGGATGTCCCTGGAAAAAGGGGTACAGGCAGTTACCATCCCGTGGCCTCGCGACGCCACTGCCCAGTTAGGATGGGTGGTACCCAGGGAGGGGGCGGGGCGACGGGCTCCGCGAGGGGCAGGCTAGGATTGGTTATAAGGGTGGGGCAGCCCGCCCCGCCCCCTGGGACCACGCCCACCGGACGTCCTCCAGTTCGTAGAAGACGTTGCGCGCTTCATCTTTGATGAGGATGGCGGTGTTGGGCGACTTGAGCATGCCCATGGTGAGCTTCTGCGGGAACATGTGCGCGATCAGTGCGTGCAGCGTGTCCAGGCTGCTGACCTCGTGCGTGATGTGCACGCGCCGAGTCTCCTCTCCGAACTGGAGGAACAGCACCCCTGCGAAAGACACCCGGTCCTGGATCTCAGTGCCGCCGCCGCCGCCACGCCGCCGGCCCGGGGAGCGCGGGCGACCTTTGGGGGCCCCGCTGGGCTCGCTGGACCCTCCGGGCCCGCAGAGGCACGGTCTGAGGCCCGATGCCGCCCCGGCGGCGTGCAGATGTACCCAGGCACTCATGCGGCCGGCCTTCCGGGCACCTTGCGACCCAGCCCTGGCTGCAACCGAGAAATGGTTTGGGCTGGTGCAGGCAGGGCCGAAAGAAAGTCGGGAAGGGCGGAAAGCTGAAGAAGGGGAGTCAGGGGGGAGGAGGGGAAGGAAACAGAGGTCGCGGATGGGGATGAGAGGGAAAAAGAGGGTCGAGGAGTCTGGAGAGGGGGGTCGAGGAGCCGCGGAGGTGAAAAAGAAGGCAGAGGATAGGCAGGGAGCATTGAGGAGCATTGAGGGAATGGGAAAGGGGACGGAGGGATCGCGCGGAGAGCAGAGCGGAGGGAGGAGCTAGCGGCCGGCAGGCGGGCGGGCGGGAGGTACCTGGCGAGCGCAGCTTGGTCTGGCTGGCGGAGCGGGAGAGGGGCAGGCTCTGTCGGAAGCGGTTCATCCTACTGAAGCCCAGGGGCAGCTCAGCCTCAGACATGGTCTCCAGCGACTCAGCCGAGGCGTAAGACAGCTTGGCTGCCTGATCTGCCAGCCCGGGCTGGGCTCCCTGAGTGTGGCGTGAGCTGCGGGTCTGCGGAGAGGAGAGGGGAGAAGGGGAAGGGAACAGGACAGGGCCAGAGGAACCAAGCATGAACCCCTTCACTGGGTGGCTGGCACTGTCCCCGTCCAGGCCCTGGAAGCCTCCTTCAGCCGGAACACAGCCAGGAGGGTCTCTTGGATTCCAGACTCGCCACAGGGCTTGCAGGAGAGTACCCCAACCTCATGTGCCCGTGGCACCCCCTGAAGATTAGGACTCAGAAGCCCCAGGAAGCCGGAGCTGAAACCAACTGAGCAGGAGCCATGGGCACGCCTGCTATTTTAAGCTTCCCAAGAACAACAACAACACAAATTTGTCACCGAGGTGAGCAGCGGAATCGTTGAGCAAATTGGGGCATTAGTTCCAGACATTAATTAAGCGGCGGGTTTGTGCGCTACTGCGATTTCTCCTTCCTGGGTTGGAGAGGGTGGGCTGGGGGAGAGAGGTAGGGCCCGGGAGAACGCAAAGAGAACCACGTACCCCAGCTCTGGAGGTCTGCAGCCCCCTCCTGGGATCATGGTGATTTGGAGACCCAACCTAACCCCCAAAGCCAGAGGGAGCCCGGCTTGACTCTCCCCACCTGGTGCATGCAGTGCACATGCTGAGCCCCAGGGGAACCGCAGGGTGGAAGTGCCAGGCCGTGGCCCCTCTCACAAGGAACATGCTGCCTGAGTTCCTGCAAGGCCCCCAATACCCACTGGGCAGCCCCTGACCTACAAGCCACGCTGAAGGGGGATCGCTGCGGGAGGGAGGGAAGGTTGCCACCCAGTTAGGCAGGGCAGCAGGAGTAGTGTTGGGGGGGATCCCCATTTCTCTATTGCTCCTTAAGAGCCTGGCTCTGGAGCCCAAGAGACAGCTCCACAGATTGATCGCATGTAGGAAGCCTGGGTTCAATTTCCAGCACCACATGGTCCCTGGGGAACGACCAAGAGTGACCGCCCAAGCAACAAGCTGGAAGTAACTCCTGATCATCATTGGGTATGGCCCCCAAACCAAAAAAAAAAAAAAACTGCTAGTCTGGTTGCCTGGCTGAAGTGGGGGCCTGTCACCCCAAACCACAGGCCCATTGTGCCCTAGCCTCTCTCCCTAGTCACTGTATGGAAACTTGTTTAGTCCAGGGAGAGAAAGGAGGATCCATACACATGTTGGGTACATTCTACCTTTTTTTTTTTTTGGTGGGGGGAGGTCACACCCAGTGGTGTTCAGGGCTTCCTCCTGGCCCTGTGTGCAGGATCATTCATGGCAGTGCTCAGGGGACCAAATGTGGTGCCAGGGATCAAACTGGGATCAGCTGTGTGCAAAGTAAGTGCCTTAACCTCTGTGCTATCTCTTGGGCTCAATATTGGGTACATTCTATATACAGGGTATATGTATCCTTAGATACATATCACCATGAGGAAAACATGTTGCCTAATTATGCTTTTCAAACCAACTGCCAATTTTTAATGAATGACTCAACTCCATGAATGTTAGTTATCCCCAGGTTGGAACACTGTTTTCTCTTTTCATTTGATGCTTTTCTTTGCCAGGCGAGTTTTGCACAACCAGAATATATTACTTTTGTAATGAAAAGAAAAAGTAAAAGTATTTTTTAAAAAGAAATCACTTAGGGCCAGAGGGTAATACAGTATGTAGGGCACTTGCCTTGCATGCAGCTGATCTGGGTTCAATACCTGGCACCTCATATGATCCCCTGAGCCCTGCCAGGAGTGATCCCTGAGTGCAATGTCAGGAGTAAGCCCTGTGCGCTGTGCACTGCCAGGTGTGCCCCCCTAAAAGAACCACTTACTCTCCTCAGCACCCTCCTTCCTCAAATCCTAATTAGCCCTAATTAATCTCTTAAGTATTAACTCAATTTATGGTTCCAATCGGATTAGCACTCTTGAAAGGAAGAAGTATCTTCCTAAATGGGCACTGGGCCTGGCCATCTCCAAGGTGGCCTCAAGGACTGGGGGACATGGAAGGTCAAACTTGGGTGCCTTGTGGCATGCAGCCTGAAGTAGCCACAGCGAGTGCACAGCTGGGCACATGTGGCAGAGGCAGTGTAGGAACTGGGTATATTTGGGGGGGCTGCCTGTGCTTAGACCTGGGCCCCATGGCTGATAAGTGCCAGCTCTTGCCACAACCAGGCCTGGTCTAGTGGCTGTGGGATGGTCAGGTCTGTGTTGCAAACAGAATGAGGCAGCCAGTAGCCAGTGACCACAGTGGCCTTGCAGGGCCCAAGAGAGGTGAGCCCATAAAAAGATGGAACAAGAGCCAGGATGAAGGGGGCAGGGATGCAGGGGATGCTGCCTGCTGAAAAGGGAATGGGAGGAGAGGAGAGGCCCACGTCTCCTGCCAGCCACTTCCTATCTCTGTTCTGGCACATGGCCCCTCTCAAAGCTCACTCCAGGCTCTGTATAAACTCTTCCGAGAAGGGGGAAATCCTGATAGTCCTTTGCTGCACCCTGGGAGCCCCGAAAGCCCTCCAGCCCTTGGCTCTATCCCTGATCTGGATCCAGGTAGAGAAGAGATGGAAAAGGTCAGACTTCTTGAAGGTGGTGTGAGGGGGAATTCCATTCATGCAGAGCCCACAGGTAGAGAATAGGGGCTGGAGCACGGACACCAATCCAGGGAGAAGCCGGCAGAAGGCAAGTGGGCAGCAGACGGTCTGTCTTTCCCAAAGGTTGCCCACAGACCAAACCAGAATCTCCAGGGGAGGGGCCTGGAATGCAAAATTTTGGTCACACACCCAAGTGCCTCCCAACTCCAGGCATGGGAAACGAGTCAGCATCTCGGATTCTATTGGCCACAGAGGACCCCGTGGAAGGCTTGCTGGAAGCCACGCCTGTGCTCATTCTTCTGTCTTGACAGCATCTGGTGGAGGCACTGCTGACCTGTCTGAGAGGCACAACCAAGGCCTTGGGACCAGTGGAATCTGCACTGGGCAGCGAGCTAGTTTGCAGAGACTAGAATTCAGACTAGAATTCACCATCAGGCCACCGGGTTCTGGGCTCCGTACAGTGCATTAGGCTTTTGGTTCAGCCTCCCAAAAGGAGTGCTCAGTTATACCACCAGCTCTCTGGGGGTGGAGGGGATCAGGCAAGATGACACTGGCAGAGTCTGGGGTGAAATACCCTCAAGCTCTGTCACTGAGCCTGGGATTTGGGGGCCAGAGTCTTAGAATGCTAGCAGCAGTGGATCTTGGTTTAGCTCTGGGTCTGGATGCCAAGGAAGGTGGGGGAGGTGCTCCCCTGGGGATCAGTAAGATGCTCTAGGTGGGGCAGACAGCTCTCCCAATGCAGGGGCGGGAGCTCCCCAAACTCTCCAGAGGAGGCAGGAAATCACCCACCTCTGTGCTGAACTCTTCACTTGGGTAACAGGTTTGGGGGGAAAGGCTGTGAGTCTCAGGAAATGAAAAAGGGAATGAGGGCCCCATCATATCCCCAGGATCACCCTGCAAGGTTCAGTCTGACTGCCGAGAACAGGCCACTCCCAGCAAGAGGAAACAGCCGACGCATCTCTCATTCCCCAATGACCCTGAAGGCTGGGGACAGGGGTGTCCCTAGCCCAGATCCCCAGCAGAGAAGCCCCAAATGCCCACACTAGAGCCTCAAGCCCCTGGCAGACGAACCCAGACACTTAAAGCAGCATCCCCCAGGCCCCTGTGCCAAGCGGGTGCAGGGAGGGGGCAGGGCGGGAGAGCACATGCAATTGCCACGGAAACAGAAGACCACCACTGACCTTAAAACTCCAGTAGTTTGGCTGCTGATGGGAATAAGAGAAGAGATGGTTATGTGGGGGCCAGGGTGGGGACGCAGGCCAGGGGAGAGGCCTGTGGAGCTCAGCACTCTGCCGGGGCACTTGGACCCTTCACCCTGCAGGACCAGGAAGGGGATGGCACCCCTTCCATTCAGGCCTTCTGCTGCTCCAGGCTGGCAGGGATCAGGGGGACCAGTCCAGATGTTTACAAGTCCCTTGTCACAGTAACTGCTCTGAAGGAGAAGGCACAGCTGATCATAAGAGACGCTGAGATGTATCAGAGCTGCGGGGTGCGAGCAATGATGTCTGGAAGGCCAGGAAGATGCCTGGAAGAGGTAGCCCTGTGGTCAGCTCTTGAAACAATGAGCACCTAAGGGCTGGGAGGAATGGCTTGTGGGCAAGAGCCAGGGCAGGCCCGCTAGGAGTGCTTTGAGGAAAAAGACAATAGTCCCATTTTGCTGGGGTGGGAGACCTGAGGAAATAGGATATTGGACTCGGAAGAGGGAGCCCCAGAAGTGGGCCCCTAAATACCATGTGACAGCCAACTGGCCAGACAAGCAGGAAGTGCATGAGGAGAGCAGAGTGCAGTGGAAACTGAACCTCAGAAGGATGACCAGGCAGGGGACTGAAAATGAGGCTGGGCATGGGGGTCTGGGGGGGCCAGGTGGGAGAGGGTATGTGACACGATGGGCCAGAGTGCACAGACACCACCTCAAAGCCCTGGGCCATGGACAGGGAGCCCAGGACAACAAGGGGAGTCTTGTGCCCATCCACAATAAACTAGGGTCACCCTGTTTTCCCTGGAAACCAGAAGGCCCTTCCAGATGGCTTGGGATGAGGCAGGCGTGGCCTGGAGGCTGAGCTGGTTCTTGGCAAAGCCAAGGGCACCCTGCTGACCGGTGCCAGCCTCAGCAGGAAGACAGAGGCTGCAGATGGCCTGCCCCTGAGTGCCTGGCACCAGCAGATGAGTTTCCCAAGGCCTTAGAGCCCCTGGCAGAGAGAAGGCCTCCCGAGAGTCTCCATGGGGGAGGCCAGCACCCCCTTGGATGAGTTGATGGTTGAGAGGGAGGGAGCCTAGACCCAAGTTCATTGGGTGAGAGCTGGGATGAAAAGGTTCACTCGCCACGCCCATCTCTCCCCCTGGCATCAGCTCCAAGAGATATAAAAGAGTCTCAAATTGGCAGCCGTGTCTGTGCCCAGAGACTCAGGGCCCCTGTGCCCTGGAGATGCCCACAGGCTGGAGAGACAAGTTCCAGCCACAGATGCCTGTGCCTTGGGAGGGCCTGAGGGAGTGCACCCTTGGGGGCAGGCAGAGGGCATGAAAGGTTGAGATGGGAAACCAAGGTGTGTCTGTAACCAGGGCAGGGATATGGGGGTGTAAGCCACCCCGAGTCCATGTTGGGTCACACACAAACTCAACACCATCTATGGAGGATAACCCCACCCATTCTCTGAATTCTGAACCCCAGAAACACCCACAAAGGGACTTGAGCCAGTGGAGAGCAGACCACTCCGTCTAAAGTTGTCCCAGAAATAAACTCAGGGGGGCAGAGATACTCCTAGCAAGACTCCCCCCCCTTGCACCCCCCCCCCACACAAATACACATAGGAAGCAGTTCCCACAGGGTTCCGACAGCGCCACCCCAGTCACACCCCACATTCCCCCAGAGACTGGAACACCTACGCTTGGACCCTCACCTATCCTCACACTCTCAGGCTCCACCCTCTCCCCCACTGGCCTCCAGCCACCCCACTGGCCACGGAGCCAAGCATCCTGTCAGCAGGGGAATCCCAATTCTAGAGGCAGCTGGTGTCCCAGCCACCCCCAAAGCCACCACGTGGAACTCAGCACTGCAGATGGTTTTGGCCCTCCCCGCCTTGAGAAGGACGATGAAACCCGGCTCAGCCCTGCTTGTGCCCGAGGTGCTGATGGGCACCACCATGGCACAATCAGACTGGAAGGAAGTGGGGACTGAATGACAGGTGAGGCAGCCACACCCCTCTGGAGGCAAAGTCCCCCCACTGCCTGAGCTGGGGGAGCATGGGGTGGAGCTGAGGTCAGCATCCTGGGCACCAGCATCCCCCTCCTCCATGCAGCCCCCAGGAATGAGAGGCACAGTGTCCTGCGAGGGCACAGGGATGGGAAGGCTGTCATCCCTGTCACTTTCCAAGGTGTGATACCCAAGGCACAACCCTGGTAGTGCTAAGCAGGGGCTCATAAGGGGAGCTTCTCCAGCCCCAGAGTTTTCCGGGTTCTCCCTCCAGAGCCCACTATGACAGTGGGCACTGGGTTTGTCCTCCCAGACTCCCAACATGAATGAAAGAATGCACCGAGAGGCCCAGCTCCTGGAGAGGGGGTGTCTGGCCGCTGCTCCTCCATCTTCTGCCTCCCCCCTCCCACACACACACCCCTCTCAGCCTTCTGGACCTTTCCTCTGGGAATGTCCCTGCACCAGAAACCCCCTGGCAGGAAGGGCCCAAAGGAGGTGTGCCCTCACTTCCCAGAAAAACTCCCTTCCCCCTCCTCAGGGAGAGGACCCTAAGAAGGGCTGATCTGGAGGGACCTGGTGGGGACTCACGGCAGGGGCCAGCACTCAGGAGCGGGGTGCTAAGCAGGAGAAGGTGGCAGCTTCCCTAAAGGGATGAGACCGGTGGGGGTGGGGTTCCTCCCCGCCAGGATAGCCGGGCGGAGGACTGCCCCACTTCAAGCCCAGCGTGAATACTGGCCTCTGTCCTCCAGCCCCGCAGGGCTGCGGTCTCCCCACTCCCCGAACCCTGAAGGAGCAGAGCCCTGCCTGCTGAGAGCCCCCCCCACCACCCGGACGGCTAAGGGGCTGAATGACCTCGCCTTGACCCCAAGCTCCGCCAGGCAACTGCAGGGAAGGCGACCCCGCGCGGGGCGCAACCCGCTCCTGCACCCCTGCCTCGGGTGCGTGCACGAGCGCAGACACCCACCTCTCAACTCCTGCCTACACGCGGCCCGTCAACACCCGCCCCCCACCCCCAGCCTTAGGCTACGTAAGGCGCCCCCAGAGCGCCGGCCTCCCACCGCGACGCACACGCCCGCCCCGACCCCCGGGGGTGCTTCCCCAGTGCAGATGGCAGAGTCGGGGTGCGGTGCGGTGGGGCTGGGGGTGGTGGCTGCGGGACCTGCACCGCGCCGGGGGCTCGGGCGCACCCCAGGAAGGTCATGACTTTCCGCGCCTGGGAGAGGGGGCCGCCCCCCACCCCCGCCGCATTTGAGTGCGGGTGGGGGTGCACGGAGACTCCGCCGCGGCCGCGGGCGGCCGCGGTGGGGGAGGGGAGGGGGCGTTTCTCCGGGATCGGGAACCGCAGCGGCCCGCGCACCCCCCGCGGGCGCCGCGCAGCGAGCCCCGCATCTCCGTGCCCGCCGCGGAATCCCAGGAGGTGCCCCCGGCCCCGCAGCCGCTCCCCCTTACCTGCGGCCACAGGTGTATGCACGGCGCCCCCGGGCCCGGGTCCCGCGTCGGGCGGGGGAGGGAGGGCGGCCCCCCGACTCCCACCCGCCCCGGCGCTCCCCTCCCCCGACCGCCTCCGCAGCCACCGCCGCCGCCGCCGCCGCCGGTGCCCTTTGCTGCAATGCGAGAGCCGCCGCCGCCGCCGCCGCCGCCGCCGCGCCGGCCCGGGCCCCGGTCGCCCCGGTAACCGCGACTCCACCTGGCGCGGCGCGGCGCGCGGCCGAGCTCATCCTCTCGCCGCCCCTCCCGGCGCGGCCCCGCCGGCGCAGCCCCGCCACGAGCGGCGGAGGCTGGTGGCTGCGTCGCCGCCGCGGTCACCCGATCCGCTGGCCCCCGACTCGGGTTGCAGGACGAGGGAGGGAGGTCACCGGGCGGGGGATTGGGGGGTCCGGGGGAGGGGCAGCCTGGGAGTGTGGCCTCTGCTCTCCCCGCCTAACCAACCCCGGCCCCCAGGGCCATCTCAGACCGTCACCCACAAAGGTCTGACCAAGCCGGGAGGGAAGAGGAGGAGGGGGAGGTGGTCCTGCCTGTCACTCCCTGTTGGGTGGCAGCTGGGTGACTGTCCCTAGGATCTCCCAAGACTCCATTCCCAGGGAGTCCAGGATGCCTGGGCAGTCTCCGCTTGCTTTTCGGCCTCTGCTGTGTGACTCCGGCCTTTGCTGACCGTCTCTGGCCCTGCCCTTGAAAGGAGCCTGGTACTCAGCCACTGGTGTGGGAAGAATAAGCAGCCCCACCAAGGAATGCGGGGACTGCTGCAAAGCCCCCTTTCTCAGGAGTGACCAGGCGCCAGCCAGGGTCCCCTCATGCCCTCCCCTCCTCCAGACCAGACCCCATATGACAGTCGGGTCTCACTCCTGTCCATCACCTCAGCCCCGTCTAGACCCCTGTCACCGTGCACCTGCCCCTGCCCGTGTCTGCCCCGTTCTGGCCTCCACAAGCACCTCCTAGCAGCTCCAATAGGCCCTTCCACTCGCAGACCCATCTTTGTTCTGAAGTTCTGTCAAAACGCGGGAGGAAGTGGGCTGAATGCCCCACAAGCAGAGCCAACTGTGCCAACTGTGCCAATCGGGTGCTAGACTTGCCTTCCACTAGGCTAAAAGGTCCCCGGAACTGGAGACCCGTGTCCTGGACAGGCCCCTCTTACTCTTCCTTCTCCAAATCCCTTCCAAAATAAGGAAGCCCGCTACCCCTCTGCAGGGGAGTAGGGCACCAGAGACCACTTGGCACCCTGCCCCTATACCTCCTTCTCCCTCCAATAGCTGAGTGCCCACAGCTAAGACCCCGAAATGTGCCCTTCCCTACTGCTTCTCACTCCCCGCTGGCCTGGCGGGCCTGGTATGCTCCCAAGCCAGTGTCCAGACCTGAGCTGGCAGACAAGCCCTGTCTACGAGTACCCTTGGCTGACAGCCACCTAACCCGCCAGGGAAGCAGGGAGCAGACTCAAAAGAAATGACAGAGGCCCAAGACCTCTGAGAAGGCTGAAACTGAGCCTTCGAGAGCACGAGAAGGTGGCGAGAGAGATTCGGTGAAGAACTTGCTGAAGACCAGACGAGGGAGGGTGGGGTCTTCCAGGAGATGGAAAGGTCAGGTGAAATGAGGGGAGAGGATGAAATGACCTGTGGTGGGGGGCACTAGGTCTGGAATATCAGAGACTCCAGAAAACAAACGTGGGGGTGTACTCCTATTGAAAGGTGAAAAGAATTGAAAAAAAAAATCCTGGCTTCTGTGCCACACCCCGAGGGGCTCAGGACTTACTCCTCCTGCTCAGAGATCACTTGGAATGAACTGAGGGACCATATGGGGTACCGGGGATTGGACCTGGTTTGGCTGCATACAAAGCAAGATCTCTACCCACTGTACTATGTCTCTGGCCCCAAGAATGGGGGAAAAAAATTGTTTTTTGCTATTGGCCATACCCAGCAGTGCTCCGTGCTCTGCCCTCAGGAATTACTCCTGGAGGTTCAGCGGACCAGATGGGGTGCCAGAGACCAAACCCGGGTTGGCTGCATGCAAAGCAAATGCCCTACCCGCTGTACTATCGCTCCAGCACCAAGAAAAATTTTTTTCTTTCTGAGTCCAGAAATCTCCCTCTTCAAAAACATTTTCCCCAAAGCTTAACCTTGATGCAGGTTTGGGGGGGATGGGTAGTAGCGGGAATGGGAATCAGACAATTGGCGGGGGTTGGAGTCTCCAGAAAATGGGGGTTGGGGGCTCCTCCATGCGATAAAGGGATGCAGAATAAAAATCCTGGTTATCCCCCTCCAAAAAAACTCCTCCCCAAAGCCAAAGTCCGCCATGGACTTGTGGGAGGCAGTGGAGGTGGGAGACTCACCTGGGCGGGCTGGCTGGCCCCGGAAGGGGTGGAGTCGCCGTGGAGGTGGGAGCAGAGGGAGCTGAGGAGGCACACGGGGTCCACGGTCCAGCCGCCAACCTGTGTGTGTGAAGCGGGGGACACCCCATTAGGGGGAGCGGGCAGGAGCCGCTGGAGGAGTGGCCTGGGCAGGGCGGGCACAGAGCTCACGGGCACAGAGGCGGCCCCTCTGACGGGGCCCGCAAGGGGCAAGGGTCTCTCATCTCCGGCCCTACTTCTGTGTCTGGATGTCTCTCTCCTGTCAGGCTCAGGTGCTCCCCTGGAGCCATGCAAGGGGCCTTCCGCTTTGGCTGCAGCTCGTCCTGAGGTCCTCTGCCATGCTGGACCCTCTCCCTGCACCCCTCACCGCTCCCTCCTGTGTCCTCACCAGACAGGCGGATCATCTGCTGGGGCCTCAGCATCGCCGCCTCTATTCCCAGCACCCCAGCCTCTGTCCCCAGCACCCCTGCCTTGTTCCCCAGCACCCTTGCGTCTGTCCCCAGCACCCCGTCTCTGTCCCCAGTCCCCTTGTCCGTCTCCAGCACCCCCGCCTCTGTCCCCAGTATCCACACCTCGGTCCCCAGCACCCCTGCCTTGTTCCCCAGCACCCTTGCCTCTGTCCCCAGCACTCCGTCTCTGTCCCCAGTACCCTTGTCTGTCTCTAGCACCCCCGCCTCTGTCCCCAGCACCCCCGCCTCTGTCCCCAGCACCTGTCTCTGTCCCCAGCACCCTTTCTTCTCTGCTCTCTCAAAAGGAAGCAACTCCTCCTCCTCTCCCACCCCGAGCCTCTGCCCCTCCGCCCTCTGCCATCCAAGCATCTTCACTCATAACACTCATCCCCTAAGGCCGCACCCCCACACTCGGGCAGTGAGCAGAGTGCCCAAGGCCAAGACAGGTGCAAAGTGGGTGCTGGGCTTTGGTTCTCTTCCTGAAGTGTTTCCAGGCACCCTCCGCCTGCCAGGGAGTGCTTGGTATAGAAAGGGCTCTCAAGCACACCCCTGCCTGCAGCCCCTAGAGGACCACACCCTGACTTCCTCTTTTCCAGGCCAAACCTCCACACACGGGTCTGTGACCTGTTCTCTCACCGTCCACTGACCCTTCCCTCTCTGCACCTCAGGACACGAATTCCAAGGTTCTCCAGACCAGTCCTGCTGTTTCTCTCATCCCTCCTCTCCTTCAACTCTGGATCCTGGAACGCCTTCTCCCCTCTGGCCGACTTCTCTTCCTCGACACCCCCCACCCCCAGTTCAGTCCTCCACCGGAAGCAGAGGTCACTCATCTCCTGGATCCCAGCCCCACTCCTCAGGCCCCAGCTTTCTCCCCACACACCATCTCCCATGTGCCAGAGCCAGCTGCTCCTCTCAGACTCCCCCCACCCCACCTGTCCCTTCCCCCTCCAGCCCGCTATCTTCTTCCTCTTTCCCTTCCTTTCCCCAGACCCCCACGGTCCCCTCCCACTTGCCATCTCAAAACAACTAGGCCCCCACCAGCTGGCCCCACTGTTTCAGTCTCCCCTCTCCCCTTGATCCTTCAGCATTGCCGGGGGACCCAGAGCCCAGAGCAGCCCCAGCCTGCACTCGTCTCCCACCTCCCACCACATCTTCTCTTCATGCTACCTCTTCAGACCCTTTTCCTCCTTCTAAGACAAATAGAGAGAGCACTTCCTCCAGGAAGCCTTCCCAACTGCCCAAGGCCCCTCGTCCGCAAGGGGAATGAACTGTCCTTTTCTAAGCTCCATCCAGATCACAAATACCCTGGCCCCTCCTTTCAAACCAGAGCACACAGATGGGCTTCCCCGATGGAAAGGCTCCCCGATTCAGATCCAACTCAGCTCCCAGGAGAAAGCAGAGCACAGGCAACACCCCCACCCCACAGGCAGCCAGGGGAGGGGGGTGGCGATAAGGGGGGCTGTAGGAGCCAGAGTGAGGAAGCAAACCTCCTCAATGCCCCCCTCCCCATTCTCTGCGAGGAGACGGGCATGAGGACATAGCTCCTCCTTCCTAGCCATCCTGAGGAGTACCTGGGAAGGGGAACAGAGCGAGACATGTGTGGAAGCAGGGTGCAACGCCCCGAAGCCCAAGCAAAATGACGCTGATGGAATCGTGCCACCCTCCCATCAGCCCCTGACTGGGGGAACTGTGCCTGCGTCTGCAGCCCTGACAGTGCCTCACCGACTGACACCTGGAAGCAGAGGGCTGACTGGGGGCTCAATTCCCCACAAACCTGGAGACCTTACTCGGACGGAGAGAGGTGTCTGGGCTCCCAAGGGTCTGGGGAGCTTGATGAAGGCAGGTCCCGCTCCACCAGCTCACATGGGAGTCCAGGGAATCCCCCTGCTCCCTGTGGTTGGGGAGAAACCAGACACAGAGAGGGATGTCCTCTAGCTCAGAGTCACACAGCGAGGCTTGGGAGGCAGGCCCAGGGCATGGGGTGCAGCTGCCAACAGCCTCCCATGTTCAAATCAGTCAGTGCTCACAGCTGTCCCTCTTGTCCCTCTGCTTGGCCCCGGAGCAAATTCACAGGCCGCTACCCTTCAAGTTCCAGCCTGGCAAAAAGCTGCATGCCCCCATCCGTCGTCCCCCAGTCTCTCCGAGGGCGCCAGAAAGGCAACCCCGGGCATCCACACAACCCCCCAACTCCGCCGCTGGAATCATGAGAATGAGTCTGGCGACGCCCACTCACCTGCTCCCGCATCCTGTCCTGCTGACCCCGCAGCGCCAGGGCGTGCTGCGGGTACTTGCTCTTCAGGTGGTCCATGAAGGCATCGCGCTTGCGCTCGGCGTCGGCCTTCTGCAGCCCGCTGAGCGCCTCGAGGCTCTGCGCCGCAATCACCGTGTGGCGCCGCTCCGACGTGTGCACCAGCCCCACGTTGGAGAAGCGCCGGCCCCCGCCGCTCCCGCCCCCACCCCCCAGGGTCCGGTACTCCCGCGGGTACTCCGCATCGTCAGCAGACAGCATGGGGGGGCTGCTCCGCTCCGGATCTGCGAGAGGGGAGAGGGGAGCAGAGCGGGGTCACTGGGAGCACGGGGCCTGTGGGGGGGGTGCCCGCTGCCCACAGGGGGCAGAGGCAGGAACTGGGGGGTCGGTCGGGGAGCAGGGTGGACAGTCTAGAGCTTCAGGGATGGTGGGGACCAGGGTAGGTCCAGGCTTCTGGCCCTTCTGCCCTAGGTTTAGAGGGACAATGCCCACCGGTGGGAAGGATTTGGTAGAAGGGGTCTTGGGCACTCTGGATAAGCAGAGTCCGCCTCCCTAATGCTGGTGTGACCAGATGAGGGACGAGGAGTCTCCTTCCAGAAGCTTCCAGAAGGATGTGGAAAGGAGCCTGCATAGTCTTCCTCTCTAGTATTCTCTAGGGAGAAAAGTCTAGCCTCTTCCCTCAGACTAGCATGTCCAGGGCACACTGCAAGCCCGGGGGTTGGAGAGTGGGGGTGGAAAAGGGCAAAGATCAGACCTGGGACTTCCCAAGGCGCTGGAGGCTCCGGGTTGGGACACAGGGGACCTCCCCTCCCTCCCCACCCAGAGACAGACAGACGGACACACAGGAGAGGCAGGGCACAGAGAAGACAGTGGGAGATGGGCTGGGGATAAACTCAAAGGAGGAGAAGCAGACAGAGCAGTTCAGGCCCTCACCTCGCTGCCCCCCCCCCCCATCCACACGCCCAGGGCCACAGGAAGCACAGGGACGAAGGACAGCACAGAAGCAGCAACAGAAAAGGCCGGGGGCTGAGGTTACCCCCAGAATCAGAATCCCCTCCCCTCAGGGCCCAACCCAAAGCCCTGCCCCCCACCTGACTGACTTCAGCCTAAATGCAGACCCCCCTATAGCAGGAAGAGGGGTCCTACAGTGTCCCCCCTTGCCCTGGAGGCATGCCCCAGCCATCGTGCTGGGCACTGAACAGATGTGCCCACCCTCACCTGAGAGGTCATCTCCCCAACACACCGCACTCCATAATCCGTCTCAGAGTTAACCTCAAAGCCACCCCGCTAAGCGGAGTCTCCAGCAGGCACTGCCATGGACCACTGGACCCCCCAGGGGGCTCCTTACAGGCCAAGTGGGGTGAAGGGGGAGGTTGTGGATTCTGGAATCCAGTCAGGGCACCTCCTTCCGGTCCCGTCTCACCCCCTCCCTGCACACAGCCACTGGCTGTCAGGCCTCAGGCTTGCAGGCTTGGACACCCCTACCCAAGTAGCGAGTGAGATCAGCCACAATTCAGGGGAAAGCACTGCTCTACTGCACTGCAAATGCACAAGCATACACGTGTACACACACATGCACGTACACGCACACACACCAGATATACATACACACCACATGCATGCATACACATGCATATACACACACACACACACACACACACACACTCTTCCCTCTGCTATGACCGAGGTGTGAGTAGTGCCCAAGAGATCCCAGCCCACCAAAACCAAGGGAGGGACAGCTCCCCTGTCACATAGCTTCCAAGGGCCTGACCTCATCATCACAGCCTGTGGGAGTGGCCCACGACTGTCGGAGGGTTACTGTGGTTCTATTGCTAAGACAGGTTACCAAGGCCAGAACCGTACACTGACATACTTAAAAGCCTCAGTGTGCTGGGCCGGACCAACAGTATAATGGGCCTTGCACAGGACTAAATCGGGTTCAGTCCCCAGTACTACACATGGTCCTTCAAGCACACCAAGACTGACTGATGAACACTGACAGGTGTGATCCCAAAACCAAAAACACAAAAAAGGCCAGAGCAATAGTACAGCAGGTAGGGCTGCCTTGCACGTGGCTGACCAGGGTTCAATCCCCAGCATCCCATATGGTCCCCTGAGCACTGCCAGGAGTAATTCCTGAGTGCAGAGCCAGGAGTAACCCCTAAGTTTAACTAGGTTTGATCCCCCCACTCCCCCCCCCAAAAAAAAACACTAAATGAACCCAGTGTGTGCAGCTGAGTAGAGACATTCAAACAAACCGAGCGTGGGAGTCCCAGGGTTCCTCTCCAGGCCTGGGGCCTGGGGTTCTCCCTCTGTGCTCACTGCCTCCCCACCCTGACCTGGACCTGGGGGCCTCAAAACCAGAACCAACAAACAAAGACCTGGAGAACAGCAGTGCTGCAGGTGTGATGGCTCCACTTTATTTCGATGGGGAATAATAGGAAGCCCAGAAGGGCCCAGAACTCTGTGGGGTGAGTTCCCAGGAATAATCAGGCGAGTCAGCAGCATCCATGGTCAAACTCAAGCGTGTGGATGAGCCGCCCTGAGCTCTCACCATGCCGGCCTGTGTCCCTGGGAGGGAGGGCCTTTGTGAGCTGGCCCTGACCCTTCCTAGGAAGCTAGACACCGGGGGCCTCTGCCCAGGGCAGGGGGCCAGTGAAGGTGGCTGAAAGGGAGGAGGCAGCACAGGTGTGCTCTGAGCACCAGAGAATCAGCCCAAGCTGGTGGAGGCAGCGTCCTGTGTCCTGTGACTCTTGCCCCCACCCCCCACTCGGATTTGCAACTGTCCCCAAGCAGCCACTCTCTAGGACATGGGTTTGGGGCACTCCTGACCCCTCTCTGCCCTGGGGTGGCGTGGAGGATTCTGTTATAATCTTGTGGCTAGAACCCCAGCTCTGGAGTCCAGCCCCAGCCCAGCCTGAGTCTGAGGGACCTTCCCCTGTGCCAGCCAGCCATGCCCACTGCGCTCTCCTGGCACTGCAGATGGCCATGGGGGAAGCCTCCAATTCTCTCCTCCCCTCCTGGCCCCTGCTTCCTTTCTTGCCTCCTACGGGGGTTTCAGCTCACCTGAGACGGGCAGAGGCTGTGGGGAGGTCCAGGGTCAGCCAGGCCTTTCCACCTGGACTAAAGGGGCCACTACTCCATTTCACTGTGGCTGTGGGGAACCCCACACTAAAGATCAGCTCCAACCCCCTACCAGGCCTGGGCAGAGGGAGCAGTAGAGCTAGTGGCAGAGAGGGGTTACAGGGCAGGAGGGACAAGCTGCTCTGGGGTTTGGGGGTAGAGTTTGCTTGTGAAAAGGCTCCAAATCAGCAGAGAACCTTGGGATCCTGGGATGGGCTGGGGTGGGGTAGGTGAGGTGGGGTGGGAGCACGCCAGGGTCAAGGGGTCCCAGCACTCCCCCCATTGATGCATATTGCTCTCCTTTCTGAGGGGCTCCAGGGCCTGGGAGGACTGATGCAGCTTCTGAGTTGGGGGTCCATCTATGGGCCTTCAAAGAAGGTGTTTGGGGTGAGGTTGTGGCTCAGGCATGAATTTCTCTCCAGAACCATACTACACCAGGTAGGGTGCTTGCCTTGCACGAAGCTGAGCTGGGTTGATCCCCAGCATCCCATATGGTCCCCGAGCAGCATCAGGACTAACTCCAGGAGTAAGCCGGAGTACCACTGGATGCAGTCAAACATCCCCCCTCCCCTCCCCCCACTGTCCCCCCAGCCGCTAAATAAAACAAACAAAAAACAATCTTGCAAGGCAGAGCAGAGCACAGGGAGGCTGTGGCAGGCCGGAGACACCCTGGATCAGAGTCAGCTGCTCCCTGGGCCCCGTGACTCCCACTTAGTCATTGGGTCCCATTCCACCGGGAGCTCCAGGCACGGAGCTGTAAAGTGGGTGTGACCCTGCCCGGGCGGGCGGAAAGGAGGGCAGGGCTAGACAAAGTCATCCATCCGAGTGGTGGCCTGGGCAGCGGCTGGCCCTGCCTCAGGCCCCTCTGGGAGGACAAGGAGCCCAGGAAAAGGTCTGGGGATACATGCTAGCAAGCGGCAGGGGGCCCAGAACCCCTGCAGACCAGTACTTCCTGACCAGGCTGGGCTCCTGCGCTGGCAGCCAGAGTTTCCCAAACAGTTTGGCCTAAAGCGATGCACAGGGGTTACTCCAGGCTCTGCACTCAGGAATCACTCCTGGCAGTGCTCGGGGGACTATGTGGGATGCTGGGGATCAAACCTGGGTTAACTGCGTGCCAGGCAAACGCCCTACCGCTGTACTATCGCTCCAGTCCCCCTGAAGTCCCTTTTCCAAAAGCAATATCCCTTAGCTGTCCACTCCCCCTGAGAAATCTACCTTCCTTAAGCGGACAAACAGAAAGCACCCCCAACTGCACCCTAAAACTATTGCCTGCTGGATCATTCCAGCATTCTCTGGGAGAGAGTACTGCCCACTTGGGGAAGCTGGCAGGGGTCATGGGGGACAGGAGGACAAAGGGGCCAGCAGGGCTGGACTCTCCTGGGGCAGGTACTTGGGGACCGAGGACTACAAGGTCAGGAGCCATGGTGGGATGGGGGGACAGGGAGGGGCAGAGCTGGGGCAGGGGTGCGGGGCTGCAGGACCGAGAGACAACCCTCCACGTATGGACATTTGCCGGGTCTCTGGGTATGCGAGGTGGTCAAAAGTTCTGAGTCAGGGACTGAAGCCACAGGGAAGGGGCCTGGGTGACTCCTTGGGGTTTGCAGGGCGAGAAAGGACAGGGCAGGGGAAGGAGCCGTTAGGGTGTGGGGGGCGGAGAACAGGGGGAGGCACCCCCGGTGACTGGCTTCACCAGGCACTTGGCTCCACTCCCTGCGCCCCATGCAGGTTCAGGACCCTGATTCATGGCTGTCCGGAAACTGCCCCTTCTTCCCCGTGAGGTCACGTCACTCATGATGAGACTGAAGATGCCCAAGTGACAGTGACACCATCTCACAAGCCACTGAGCCCTTCCTTCCCTTTCAGATCTAGCCTCTCCCCGGGCTGCTGCCAGTGACATGTGGCATGACGTCACACATGATGTGTCACCTTCCACGGGAGAGGGGTGAGGAGCGGGAGGCTTGGGGGAAGGGGAAGCCAAAACCAGGGAGCACCAAGACTCAGCTGTAGACAAGAGGAAGGAGGCAGCGGCAGAGCGTGGGCACAGTGGGCGGGATGCTTGTCTTATATGCCGCCAGCCTGGGTTCGATCCCCGGCATTCCATTTGGTCCCCCGACACCGCTAGGAATGAATACCTAAGCTCAGAGCCAGGACTAAGCCCTGA